TTTATATAATTTTAAATTAAATCAGCTATTTTCATTTTTATTTTCTTAAAAATCATCTCTATATCTATGACATATTCAAAATCTAGATAATTTTAATAACTATTAGAATTTTGGATATTTATCTTTTTCTCCATCATCAGTAATAATAAATGAAAGTCTATCTTCTCAAAAAATGATAATTTGTTAAATTGTTATTTCAAAATTGACATCTACAATAAAGCTTAAGATTTATTTTAAATAGAAAAAAACAAATATCTAGCATATAATAATCTAATCTAATAATTGTCTTTATTCTATTTTATACATTGCTCATATAAAGATTTAATTTCAAATCTGAAGAACGATTTATAATGATATTATACTTTTGATGTTTAACTATTTACAAAGATTTTTCTTCTTGCATCATAAAATTAATTTTATTAACAAAAACAGTATCCTATAGAAGAATTATAAAATGAAGGATCTCTTTACTATTCTAATGTTTGTTATCTTTTTTCTAATTTAGAAATACATCCTTTTTTAAGATGTTTCTCAATCAACCCTATTATTATATATTTCTTATCCACTGATGAATTATTTAATTAGTATAAATAATAAATTTTATTCAAGATTAATTAACCAGAAATGCCATTCTACATCAAATAAAAATAAACAATTTTATTTTAAAAAATGCTACCCAAAAAATTCAAAAACACACATATTATAATTATGCATAAAGAATCATTGATTTCTTGATTTAATTATAAAACTGATAATTCTATTAAAAATGTTATAAGAACACCCAATAAACTGATAATTAGATGCTAATAAAATTAATTCAATTGAATATATTAAAAAGATGGTCTATCATTTCCGAAAAATTAATTATCTAGTAATTTCAAAGTCAATAATATTAAAATAATGAGGTATGATACCTAATAATTGTAATTTTATTACATAATGAGGGATTGATTAAATATGAATGCTATTGAGTATGGCTATTAAGATTTTAAATATAAAAATATCCAACATAATTTACTTATTACTGCAACTCAGAAAATCTATCTTTAAGTTGACATTTTAATAAAAAAAAAGTAATATCGATATCATCATTAATGTATTTAAAAATAACCCAAATAGAGAAAGGAAAAATATCAAAGCAACATTTGTATAGTTTTACTTTAACATTTAATTCCAATCCAAAATTTAATGATTGAATAGTAATACTTCGAGCTATACTTAAATAAAAGGCTAAAATAAACACCAGTAATATAAATCGATACAAGAACTATAAAGCTATATTATACCATTAATTTAATACTTTCAAAGAAGAGGATTTATTTTTCTCGTTTTTTACTTCCTTACTGCTTATCACTCCTAAACAAAAATATGTAAATGGAAAGCAAAACCCGATTATTAATATCGTAATTAATATTATTGAGCTTTATTGGCATAATTTCTCAGGGTCAAAATATGTTAGAATTTACAAATAATCACTCAAATCACCTTACCTTTTAATATTATTCTCTAATTCCCTATATTCCATTTCACTAAAAATAATCTCATATTTTACAAACTAAAAAGATTACAGTAAATTTGGAACAATCCTATCCCAACTAAACAAAATGCTTTTGCTCTAGAATTTTTTTTTAAATTCTGAACTCTAAACAAATAAAGGCAAAATTTTTTCATGAAAATATCGAAAACTCAAGACTTTACTTTATTTAAAGTATTTTATATTAATAAATGCATAAATAATTTGATATTTTGAAAACAGAATTATATAGTTAAATATTGATATTCTTGAATTTTCAAATATACTATATTATAAATAAATGTTAGCTTTTTAAAATCATTAATTAAGCTAATTTTATTTTATTCTAGTGTTTAGAATTTATTAAAAATATTTATAAAAGCCAACATATATCAGTAAATGTAAACCACAAAATTTTTAGACTTCTGATTTCTAAAATAATTTATAGAATATATTTCTTTATCCTTTTAATTCGTTCTTTAAATATTTATAACTATAAACGTTTATTATAGATTAGAGAGAAAAATAATTATATTTAGATTTATAGTTACAAAAAGGCTGTTAAAGAAACTAGAAATATATTGTTTGACAAAAATTATTCTTCTGATAATAATAGGAATTTCAATAATTGGTTCTTATTGGATTGTAATTTACACTTTTTCAGCTATAATTTTTACCATTTTATTAAAATTGACCTTATTATCATACTTTATAATCTCATTTTTCATTTGTTAAAATATAATATAAATATATGAAATTCTTTATAATTTTAAGAGTTGATGAGTTATATTATGGATTGAATATTTATATTAATTGTTTGCTATAATGAAAATTATTATAGAATACATTAAAATCAGAATTATTGTTTTAGCAAACTTAATATCTAAAGTTAGAAGAGCCAATATTTTGCACATAGATTTGTTTAATTGAGTTTAGAATAAAAAGGATAAAATTAAGTTGTTGTATATATCAATGATAATAATTTTTTTATTTTAAAAGAGAGAAAAATAAAGTCAGGTCTATTAAATTAATTCAAAATTGAATTTGGAATTCAAACATAAAATTTGCATTACTGATTATAAATTAAATTATTCATTTAAAAATTGTTTACTTATACTAAATAAATAAATCAGTAAATATTTAATTTTATCTTTGAGCATAATTAATCAAAAAATATTAACCAATTCTGTAGCCCTTCTCTCAATCAGTAAAAGGGAGCTAAATGCTCTAAATATTGAAAAAACGAATTTAGTTGTAATTATTTAGGACTACACATTTTATTTTCTAATTCACTATTTGAATTCATATTCTTTTGATTAGATAACAAAAATTAGTTACACAAGATAAAACCTCTTCATAATAATTTTATACAATAATTATCTACTAATTGATATCCATGATAAATTAGATAATTTATATACATAGTTTTATAAAAGAGAAACTATTTGACAACAAAAGAATTAGAGTATTGGATTTTTATTTTCATTTATAATTTAAACAATATTGAAAAGTTAATTTAAATTCTAATAATTACCAAGAATAATTAAATAACTTCTAATTGTTGGTGGAATTTATAAAATTATTAAAATTTGAATAGTAAAAATTAATTTATTTCTTATTTATGCATACCTTCAGCTTATAAATTTAGGCTATTTCAAAAAAAAACTACTAAATAAAATTAAATAAATAAATATATGAAAATATAATCAAATATAATGATTAAGTATATAACATAAATGAAATTATTTTATAAAATTAATTTTTGTATAATCATCTTCATACATCTATCAGTATGAATCTTTTTTACTTGCTAATATTTTTGAAGCCTTTAAAACCATACAGTAATATAATCTTTAAAAATTTTTAACTAATCTAATAAAGTTAATTTATATGTCATTCTAAACTATTTCATCTCAAGAAACTAGATTATAAAATTAATAAATATGATAAATGAGCAATATTTATAAATTATTTCGTTTATAAGTGATGAAAAGTTTAACTAAATTTTCTCATTAAGATGCCAAAAATATTAGGATAAAATTCTTTCTTTTAAGTTATATTATATATATTAAATATTATTTTAATTAAATTTGAATATGTAAAACCAAAAAAAGACTTGTAAATTGTAAATTCAAAGATAATAATAACCAATTCATTTATAGAATGTTGTGTATTAGGAAAAAAATAGTGAATCTTTTTGTAAGCTTTTCTAAAATAACAAATTCATATCAACTATTCCTAAAGAAGTAATAAATAAGAATAAATCTATTATTGCTAGAAATAAATCATTATAATTATTAAATTTGATATTAAAACATCAATCACATAAAAAAGTTAAACAAGATAATCTTAATGATACTACTATTTATAATAGTCTAATTATAAGATAATCATTACCTGTAGTAAAGAAAATTAACTAACCAATTATTTCTTGCAGAGAAAAAAAATCGCATTCGGTATAATAGTCAAGAAGATATTCAAACCCTAAAAAATAAAGTATTGTATCAATGCTCAGAACCAAAATAGGCCCATGGTGACATTGATATACTGATAAGAAATACAATATATTTATAAATTTTATTTCAGTATACATAATATATTTTTAAACAAATGTATTGAAAACATAGAAAATATAATTATCAAATTAAACTCTCTAAAATACAATTTAAGAATATATAGTTATTATACAAAAGAAATGATGATAGTTTATTTGTTTCAGTATTTCATATATTAATAAAACGTAAATTAACTTACTAAATTCTCATCATTTTTAGTTGTATTCTTAGAGTGTTTCCCTAAAATGCCATGATTAATTTCATATTTGATTCATTTATTAAATTAACCAATATTGGAGATTGAAATTCAGGACTTTTTTGAAAAAAAAATTAGTTCGTTTTTAGAAATATATCACATATTTTCGTTTTTGTTAAATATTTACAAAATTTATTAAAATTATAGGTCAAATTTGGAAAAATATAATATTATTTTCTCTAAATAATTATATAGTTTTTTAAGTGACTATTCTATTACCTTTTGTTTAAATACATTTACGGTTAGATAATTTCTTTATTAGATCTTTTTTATAACTTATTCATATGATTTTGAACGAAGCTTTTTGGAACACAAAAATAATTTTTAAATTCTAACAAAAATATTTGTTTATTTTTTATCAATAAGATCATCAATATTCTAGAGAAATATCATTATCAGAGTTTTGAAAAGTAGATAGTAATGAAATATTAATTAATTCAAAAGAAAAAGGGACACTATTTTAGAATATTTTGATTATAGAAAAGCGGCAATATTTGGTAACGACTATAGAATAAGTCAATTACATAATAACAATATTTTTGAGTTCATATTTATAATTAACATTCATGAAGAGAAGTAAAAATTTATGTGTGAATTTGAAAGTATTATGAATGGCTTTATCAGAAAAGAAATAAGAATTATGTTTAAATATTTTATTTAAATAGAAATAAAGTGAATAGTATGGGAAAAATGGCAATATTCAGTCTGCAAAGAGTAGCGAACGTTTTTTCATGAGAGTACTGTGATTTGTATTAGATAATGAGATTATTTTTGAAAACTACAGATATATTTTAAAAAATTACTAATTTTTGTTTCAATTTAAGGTTGTACATTTCTTCTTTGAGAGTTGGATTTGTAAATGATTAGATGTTTAAATCATTTAAGTATTGACAGATTCTTTCCTCTAGATCATTAACTTCTTCAGCGGCATCATAGCTTGAAGTTCTACTTAGACTATCTTCAGTAGTCCAAGATTATCTTAAGCTATCTCCATCAGAATTATCACCTTAAAATCCGCCTTTAAGCAAGTCCATCTTGACAACAAAAGATTTAATTAACTATATAAATAATACAAATTTCAGAGATTATAATTGCATTTAATTCGATATATTTAAGCTCACATCTAATATCATCTAATTCGATGAAAATGCTAATTAAATATGGATTTATCATATTTTGAAACTCCAGGGGATTTACCTGAAGAATTAAATAAAATTATGATAGTAAAATATTAGTTAATAATTTATTCAAATATCAAATGCAAATGTAACAAAAATTAAAATATCATATCTGTGTTGTATTATAAATGAAATACAATCAAATTTTAATAATATTATCATGAAAATAATTGATTACTTCCTTGTTTTTTAATACATTAAATTTAATGACACATTTATATTTATATTTATATATATGTATATATTCAAAATATCAAATAAATATACTCTGAATATTAGTATCGAATAATAAAACTAATTTAATCTAATCAAAGCTTAAATTGTAATGTATATACGGAAACATTATGGATTCATTTTAAGTAAAATTTTTTAATATTATTCTCAAGAAAACTTAAATAATTAAATTATTACAATATGATAAATTAGTTTTTTATGCTAAAGAAGCATTTTTGTAAAAATTCTTAAAATAAATCTTGATAGATTGTTAATTCAAAAATAAATGAAATTTTAAATCTGCTTAATTTCCATTAACAATAGTTCATGAGTTTATTGCAGTTTGTTAAAACTTGATTAGATATTAAAAATTAGATATTCAATTATTCATCGAAGATGTTTGTAACAAGTCAAAGAGCAAAAAGCAGAAGTAATTAAACAAAATAAGAGATTTTGAATATATTTGGATGATTCTTGTATAATTGCAAATGAACATAAGTTTTAATTTTAAATAAAGATAAAAGATGGATTAGAAATATTGTTCCTATGATAATCTTAAGATTTACAAATGTTCATTAAAATGGAAAATTTGGAAACATTTAGCAAAAATATTGCACGCTTACTTTTTAATGGTTGTGAGATTATCAACGTTAACTGCTGAAGGTAAAGTTACTATCAGGATTTCCAGCATAAAATCAAGGACAGCGAATGAAGTAAGAGAAGAAACAAGATTGGGAAGAGAAATATTAGATGATTATGGTATCATATCTAATAATTAAGTGATTAAAGTTTTAATTAATTCAAAAGTGTTGTATACAAATTATAATAAATTTAGTATATTATTTTAGAAAACTTATCATATTAATAATTTGATTGCAGGGAAAGAAATCACAGTGATTTGAGCATTTAAAGAAATTACTAATTTAAGTTAACTAAAATTCATAATTCAAAACAGAAAATTCAGTAGTTTTTATTCGTCTTTTCTATCTTAGAAATCCCATATGAAATTAAAGTTTAATTTAAGAATATTTATAAATCTTCTTCTCTTTAAAATTAACAGATCAAATCTTCTGATATTTTTAAGAATTTCAATAATATTTACAGTAATATTGCTAAATTAAATAATAGAATTACATTCTCCTTCAAAAAGAAAGACATCAAATAATTTATTAAAATCTTCTTTTTGTTAGTTGTTTCTGAAAGTAAAATAACAAAGGTAATTCTATTNGTTTTTTAATACATTAAATTTAATGACACATTTATATTTATATTTATATATATGTATATATTCAAAATATCAAATAAATATACTCTGAATATTAGTATCGAATAATAAAACTAATTTAATCTAATCAAAGCTTAAATTGTAATGTATATACGGAAACATTATGGATTCATTTTAAGTAAAATTTTTTAATATTATTCTCAAGAAAACTTAAATAATTAAATTATTACAATATGATAAATTAGTTTTTTATGCTAAAGAAGCATTTTTGTAAAAATTCTTAAAATAAATCTTGATAGATTGTTAATTCAAAAATAAATGAAATTTTAAATCTGCTTAATTTCCATTAACAATAGTTCATGAGTTTATTGCAGTTTGTTAAAACTTGATTAGATATTAAAAATTAGATATTCAATTATTCATCGAAGATGTTTGTAACAAGTCAAAGAGCAAAAAGCAGAAGTAATTAAACAAAATAAGAGATTTTGAATATATTTGGATGATTCTTGTATAATTGCAAATGAACATAAGTTTTAATTTTAAATAAAGATAAAAGATGGATTAGAAATATTGTTCCTATGATAATCTTAAGATTTACAAATGTTCATTAAAATGGAAAATTTGGAAACATTTAGCAAAAATATTGCACGCTTACTTTTTAATGGTTGTGAGATTATCAACGTTAACTGCTGAAGGTAAAGTTACTATCAGGATTTCCAGCATAAAATCAAGGACAGCGAATGAAGTAAGAGAAGAAACAAGATTGGGAAGAGAAATATTAGATGATTATGGTATCATATCTAATAATTAAGTGATTAAAGTTTTAATTAATTCAAAAGTGTTGTATACAAATTATAATAAATTTAGTATATTATTTTAGAAAACTTATCATATTAATAATTTGATTGCAGGGAAAGAAATCACAGTGATTTGAGCATTTAAAGAAATTACTAATTTAAGTTAACTAAAATTCATAATTCAAAACAGAAAATTCAGTAGTTTTTATTCGTCTTTTCTATCTTAGAAATCCCATATGAAATTAAAGTTTAATTTAAGAATATTTATAAATCTTCTTCTCTTTAAAATTAACAGATCAAATCTTCTGATATTTTTAAGAATTTCAATAATATTTACAGTAATATTGCTAAATTAAATAATAGAATTACATTCTCCTTCAAAAAGAAAGACATCAAATAATTTATTAAAATCTTCTTTTTGTTAGTTGTTTCTGAAAGTAAAATAACAAAGGTAATTCTATTAATTTACTTAATTAAATGTTAACCTACCCAACCAAGCGCCCGATTGAAGGCACAAGAGTGTTTTGAAACTTTTCTGTTTCTATAAAACTCACATTTTATTTTTAAATTCTTCTGTAATTCAAATGGAATAATATGTGAGTAGTCATCCAAAAAACCATTTATTGATAAAAATCACACATTCTATTGAATTAATTAAAAGAGTAATCAATATTGATATATTGTTCTGGATTCAATTATTATACTAAATATTCAACTATTTGATCAATCCCTTTAATAAATTCAACTTCTACATCGTAGTTAGCATAAGCTCTTAAGATATCAAAAATCAAATCATTGTACTTAAAGTTAGATTGAATGTACTTTTTATCTAATAGTTTGATACACTTAAATATTTGTGAATCATAATAAGACTAGCAAAATTTTAGTTTTTAATATATGTTTGAAGTATGTTTTTTCATTTAAGTATTTTTTATATCTGTCATCCAAAACCAAGTAGCGGGTCTTGAATTAGATAAAATCCCAAATCTTATATTTCTTTTTAATTCATCTCTCAAATTATTGAGTCAAATTTACAATTCAATTTAGTTAAAAATTCTTGGTTTGTATAATCATTTGCCATTCAATTCCTGACCATGGTTTCTTTTCATACTTATTCTTATCATAATCAATTATAATAATATTACTTTTATCAATTAATTGTTTCATCAATTGAATCCTCAATATCAAAAATAATTATTACCTCATCATTAGATTATCAATTTCGTAGTATGAATCTTTCTACCATTTCTTTTTTTTGTATTTGCTTTTTCGATCTCATTATCCCGTTTTTTTCTACCTAAACAACAAAACATTATATAAATAAAATTATTAAAATAAAATGAAATGAAAACATAAAGAAATCGTTAAAAATAGATAAAAATATGCTAATACTACCAACTTTAGGTCTTTACTATTTGTTACCTTTGAATTAATTATTGAATTAAATATTGGAGAAGTTTAATTATAAGTTCCTAAGTAATTATCAGAAGATGTCTAAGATCTGAGGAAAGGACTTAAACTGATAAAAAAATAGGAAATCTATTGGATGGGTTTTAAATCGTTTTTGATCAAGTTGAACTTGATAAATATTCATTTTACGAATTTTTTTTAATTCATTTTACTCTATTCTATTTTGAAGGTTTATTCTTGGATTTTAAAATAACTTCAAAAAAATTAATTAGATTTTATTATCATATTAAATATAATATTTTGGATGGTAATAATGGAAATATTAATTTACAAGAAAAATAATAATGAAATGGTTCTTTTATAAATCTCTAATGAAATATTAGAATGAAAATTCGAATTATTTATTTCTAAATTATAATATCTAATGATTATATTCTACAATGATATAATACTATATTATAGTGAATAATTAATTTTTTAAATTTCAACATTAATTTAAGGACCAAGATAGCAAAATATTTATCAGTATGAAAAGAGAATTTACTTTTCAGAATTAATATAAACGATTTATATCAAAAATTATAGTTTAGATAAATTAATTAATTTTTAAAATATATTATATTCTTTAGGATTAAGAAATTAAATTCAGAAAAAAATTCATAATATGCTAATCAATTTTGATAATTAAATAAGAAATTTAATTCTGATTATTTAGGATTATCTAAGCGACGATAACTAGAGTTTTTTGAGTTTACACTTGAATTAAATAAAGAAGAAATATTACTATGTTCAGAATCTGAATCCTAAAATTTAAGTATTTTATTATTTTTACAGAACTAGCATAATCAAAATCTAATGGACTAAATACCTTCTTTAAATATCTTCTTCGAGCACCAACTATTATTAATACTTTTTATTTATTACAAAAATTAGCAGTTTCTTCTGCAAATTCTTGATGATTATCGAAAAAGGATTTTATTTTCAATAATTATGCATCAGGAGAATCAAATGTAAATATCACACACTAAGATTAGTATTTTATATAAAGTGCCCTATTTTTGTTTTATTCCCAAATAATATTTTCTAACCCAATAATTACAGCTTTGAACAGAATAAGGCAATCTTACTTTTATAAAACAAAATACTTGGTTCGAAATCTCCAATTATTGTTCCTGTCCAACAAGGGTAGATTTCTTAGTACGTATTTAACTTTAAACCTTTGCATGGATTCCATTCCCCTAAAAGTTTGATATCACCAACAATATATAATTGTTGATGAAGCTAGGCTTCACATCTAACTTTGAAGTTTATCTAGATTGACATCTGAATAAGAATTTTATAAATTTAATGGTTAATAATTATTATATTAAGATTCCACTTTAATTGCAATTAATTATGTTTGTTAATATCAATTATCTTTTTATTAATCAGACAACTTTGTTTTAAGTATAGATAATTGTAATTTTCACACAAGAAGTTTGATCTTGATAATATAAAATCAAACAATAACTTTTATATATTTAAATAACTTAATTTTAATAGTAAGAGTATTCATATAAGATGAATATTATTTCAATCCATATCTATTCGATCTTATTGTAGATCTTCATTGGGCTGTAGACAACTATTAAAAGACTCTATAGATGGAAAAAGTGAATTATCTTTAGTTAACTATGATTTCTTGCTGTTTTAGTCTTCCTATAAATAATTGACTTAATAAACTTACTGAATCAGAATCTGTATAAGACATATAATCTTAAACTTGAATGGATACTTTTCTTGCACGATCTATTATCTTGAAATTCATAATTACTTTACTCTATATTTGGAAGTTCAACTTCTGAAACTAAAGTTTTAATTCCAAGAACTTAAATGGAAGGATTGTCATAATTTACGATGACAATTTATTTCAAACTTTATACATTCATCTCTCTATTGGGACAACATTCCCAATAACAATTTTAGTCATCAATAATTACCACTTTAAATTCTAACTTTGAATCTAGTTATAAATAGTTATTTTTAATACATGCAAGAAGTTCTAATGGATAGTCAGTAAACCATATGGGGTACATGCTCTCATTAGTGAGCAACTATAAACCTTTTGATGGATTCCAATTTCCCAATTAAGGTTCATTTCCAACAACTTTGACATGCTAAGAAAACTGAGTTTTGCAATAAATTCTAAAAAAAACTTATGTATTCATCTACTTATTTTTTATATAATTTTTTATTTTATATCTATACATATTAAATCACGTTCTTATTCATGATTGTGCGTCATAGAATATTATAATAAATATTTAATTAAATAAACTAAGAATTTTTTTTACCTTTTTAAATGGAATTTTAGAGACTATTATGATATTAACGTTACATAATCTTCTTATTGGTATTCTATATATAATAAGATGTAATTATTATCTGATCAAATAATAAAATAAATATATTATATCGTCTAAAAAATTAACCCATACCAATAAATTAATAACTTTAAAGAAGAAATAAATTATTAGAATAAGTATGGGAAGAATTTTTGATGTTACTCCAAATAAAAAAATGTGAAGGTAAAATCAATATTCAAATAATAACTTTGGAAAAAAAAACTAGAATAATGATTTTGATTGATTCTGCATAATTTAAAAATTTTTCAATTACTTAATTGATTATCCATATAATATCACATCCTTATCAGAATATTTACCACCATGATATCAATTGATAAACTATCTTTTAATTGGATATTCCATTTTTCAATTTAATCGAAGAGTTAACTCTTTCTTTTATCTAGGTTCTCTAAATGCTAAATCTAATTCAAATAATAACATTCGTAAATTCATTTATAGTAGAACTCAAAATCTAATTTCCTTAAATTCTTCTTATTTTAATTAATCTCTACTGAATATGTATTATAGATTTATTATATTGAAACAATCAATTATTTCATATATAAATTTATTTTGATATCAATTATGAAAGACTTATCAAATTTATTGTAAGAGTTGAGAAAGAAAATTGTTCTAATAGAGAAATATATAATTGTCTTGTAAGAAGAGAATATTTGCTAAATTATAATTTTTTATAAGTTTAATGGTTTATATTCTATTAAATCAATTACTGTATTACCCGAAATATAAACTATAGAATAACATTAGCAATCAATTTTTATCTTAATCTTACACGTAATTGTAATTTGAGATTATGATAAAATAATAGGCAAAGGGTTATGCAGAGCCCCAGATGATGGTAATATATCTAAAATAATGAAGTAATAATTGTTCAAAATTACTATTTATAATTATTAATATCTTAAAAATCATTAAAAATTCAATCTATCTCCTGTTTATATTCACTGTTTTTAGATCATTATTTTAATTAATAGATATGAAATACAATAGTTTTTTATTCTTAATTGTAGAGACAACTTGATATTCTGAAAAATTAAATATCATACTACTTTACAAAATAAAAATATTGATCAGACAAGTACATTCATAATAATTAAAATCTAATACTCATAAAATTGATAGAGACAAATAAATTAATTTCATTCAATTTTTATGTAAAAATACTCAAAAGCCTTGTGATTTTCACACCCTTAATTAGATAATTACATATTTTACTTCTAATTATAAATTTATTTTGGTTAACTATTGAGATTGATTAATTACTTTTTATAGATATTATATTTGCCTCATTCAATTTTTCTACAAATAATAATATGGATTTAAAGTTCCAAATGATATAAATAATCTTCTTTTGGTTAAATCTACTTAAGATTATAACTGTAATCATTCACATATCATTTGTATGTACTTGAATTTTATATAATTATTTTTTTAATATACTTATGATATTGTGAATAAAATTACAAACGTGAATAATTTTAAATCAAATATTCAATCATGAACTTCACTGAGATTTTATTTGAACACTCATAAAATTATTTGAGAAGTTTTTTTTTATATGATACATATTATTATATTAAATTATTAATATTAATTTTATCATTGTTAATTTTCTAAATAAACCAATTTAGAAAAAGATTCAAGGAATAAAACGAAATATTGAAAAAATATTCCATTTTTTAATTTAAAGTTTTGCATTTATACAATCAATGCGATTATTAATACATAAAAATATAATGATATAATCATATTTATATTCAATAATAATTAATATTTGATTTTAAATCAAATTATATAATTAATGATTAAGAAACTATATTTTTTTTATTTAAAAATAAAATCAACCAACGCATTAATTTAACAAATTTTGTTTATTATAACAACGTAAGTATTTGAAATTTTTTTAAATATTATGTCTCTAAAATATAGCTCCTCACATAAACGTAAATTTGTTTTGATTGATTTCTTAATATGTTTACTTAATATACAATTCTTGGAAAAAAATTGGGATCTCAGAATTTTTCTTTACGAAATATTTATACACTCTTAATTTCTTAAAGCAAAGTTTCTAAATTTGAACTTTAATAATTAATCTTGAATTTTAATTGAAGGNGCCCCAGATGATGGTAATATATCTAAAATAATGAAGTAATAATTGTTCAAAATTACTATTTATAATTATTAATATCTTAAAAATCATTAAAAATTCAATCTATCTCCTGTTTATATTCACTGTTTTTAGATCATTATTTTAATTAATAGATATGAAATACAATAGTTTTTTATTCTTAATTGTAGAGACAACTTGATATTCTGAAAAATTAAATATCATACTACTTTACAAAATAAAAATATTGATCAGACAAGTACATTCATAATAATTAAAATCTAATACTCATAAAATTGATAGAGACAAATAAATTAATTTCATTCAATTTTTATGTAAAAATACTCAAAAGCCTTGTGATTTTCACACCCTTAATTAGATAATTACATATTTTACTTCTAATTATAAATTTATTTTGGTTAACTATTGAGATTGATTAATTACTTTTTATAGATATTATATTTGCCTCATTCAATTTTTCTACAAATAATAATATGGATTTAAAGTTCCAAATGATATAAATAATCTTCTTTTGGTTAAATCTACTTAAGATTATAACTGTAATCATTCACATATCATTTGTATGTACTTGAATTTTATATAATTATTTTTTTAATATACTTATGATATTGTGAATAAAATTACAAACGTGAATAATTTTAAATCAAATATTCAATCATGAACTTCACTGAGATTTTATTTGAACACTCATAAAATTATTTGAGAAGTTTTTTTTTATATGATACATATTATTATATTAAATTATTAATATTAATTTTATCATTGTTAATTTTCTAAATAAACCAATTTAGAAAAAGATTCAAGGAATAAAACGAAATATTGAAAAAATATTCCATTTTTTAATTTAAAGTTTTGCATTTATACAATCAATGCGATTATTAATACATAAAAATATAATGATATAATCATATTTATATTCAATAATAATTAATATTTGATTTTAAATCAAATTATATAATTAATGATTAAGAAACTATATTTTTTTTATTTAAAAATAAAATCAACCAACGCATTAATTTAACAAATTTTGTTTATTATAACAACGTAAGTATTTGAAATTTTTTTAAATATTATGTCTCTAAAATATAGCTCCTCACATAAACGTAAATTTGTTTTGATTGATTTCTTAATATGTTTACTTAATATACAATTCTTGGAAAAAAATTGGGATCTCAGAATTTTTCTTTACGAAATATTTATACACTCTTAATTTCTTAAAGCAAAGTTTCTAAATTTGAACTTTAATAATTAATCTTGAATTTTAATTGAAGGAAAAAAATTTTTTTTCATCATATTGAAAAAAATACATTTATATTTTTCTCTATGATTTGTTTTATTATAAATTGCTTAAAATTAATTTTGCACATTTATTCAGAACTATCTAAAAACTTGATTCCAATAACATTTGAAGATAGACCAAAGAGATTCGTGATCTGGGAACTTGGTTGTCTCATTTTTTGAGACATTTGTTACTAGGGAGGATGATGATGGCAAGGTCAGCAATTTCTTATTTTCCAGCCCCATTAAAAATAATAAATCTTATTTTTTATTGAAATTTTTTTATAATAACAATTTCAAACTTTAAATAGAATTATTTTTTACCTTAATTTAACAAAATATTTCATAATAAACATTTAACTTTATTGTAGTTTTATATTATTTTCAATAAAGATAACAATTATAAAGTAAATTTAATTAAATTATACATTTTATATTAAATAATAAGCATTTAATATAAATGATTTGTTTTAATAATAGTATTTTCAGTAAACTTCATGAAATAAATAATTTCAAACCATGAACAAAATTAAAAGTAAGTGTTTTTTGTTTTATATTATTTTAAATTTATCATAAAGTTTAAAGTAATAGAACAAATTAGTATTTTCCCTCTAATTTTAAAGATATAATGTTATATAAATATTTACCAATAAATTTAACAAAAAGAATATTTACTCGAAGAAAACAGAATTGAGGGACCTAATTTTTTTCAAAAGACAAGAGACATCTCTATAAATACCAACTTAACTTTCATGTTCTGATTTGGAAAGAATACGTCCTCCGAATATGACTAGAAAATGACGAGACAACCAATTCATCTGGTGGAGATATTACAAGTTACTTAATCATAGCTAGGCATACCTTTTTATATACCTTAACAGGATAGGAAATTAAATAAATTTTTAAGATAAATAGATTGAATTTACACTATTTAATATACATTTAAAAAAAATATTCAACAATAATATAATATTCTGATAAAATATAAATGATATTAAAATGAAAATCATTTATTGCTGTATGATTTTTTTTGGAAAGATTTAAATTGTTCAATATTGAATAAACTATATATTTATTGTATGATTAAGAATANTTGATTTTAAATCAAATTATATAATTAATGATTAAGAAACTATATTTTTTTTATTTAAAAATAAAATCAACCAACGCATTAATTTAACAAATTTTGTTTATTATAACAACGTAAGTATTTGAAATTTTTTTAAATATTATGTCTCTAAAATATAGCTCCTCACATAAACGTAAATTTGTTTTGATTGATTTCTTAATATGTTTACTTAATATACAATTCTTGGAAAAAAATTGGGATCTCAGAATTTTTCTTTACGAAATATTTATACACTCTTAATTTCTTAAAGCAAAGTTTCTAAATTTGAACTTTAATAATTAATCTTGAATTTTAATTGAAGGAAAAAAATTTTTTTTCATCATATTGAAAAAAATACATTTATATTTTTCTCTATGATTTGTTTTATTATAAATTGCTTAAAATTAATTTTGCACATTTATTCAGAACTATCTAAAAACTTGATTCCAATAACATTTGAAGATAGACCAAAGAGATTCGTGATCTGGGAACTTGGTTGTCTCATTTTTTGAGACATTTGTTACTAGGGAGGATGATGATGGCAAGGTCAGCAATTTCTTATTTTCCAGCCCCATTAAAAATAATAAATCTTATTTTTTATTGAAATTTTTTTATAATAACAATTTCAAACTTTAAATAGAATTATTTTTTACCTTAATTTAACAAAATATTTCATAATAAACATTTAACTTTATTGTAGTTTTATATTATTTTCAATAAAGATAACAATTATAAAGTAAATTTAATTAAATTATACATTTTATATTAAATAATAAGCATTTAATATAAATGATTTGTTTTAATAATAGTATTTTCAGTAAACTTCATGAAATAAATAATTTCAAACCATGAACAAAATTAAAAGTAAGTGTTTTTTGTTTTATATTATTTTAAATTTATCATAAAGTTTAAAGTAATAGAACAAATTAGTATTTTCCCTCTAATTTTAAAGATATAATGTTATATAAATATTTACCAATAAATTTAACAAAAAGAATATTTACTCGAAGAAAACAGAATTGAGGGACCTAATTTTTTTCAAAAGACAAGAGACATCTCTATAAATACCAACTTAACTTTCATGTTCTGATTTGGAAAGAATACGTCCTCCGAATATGACTAGAAAATGACGAGACAACCAATTCATCTGGTGGAGATATTACAAGTTACTTAATCATAGCTAGGCATACCTTTTTATATACCTTAACAGGATAGGAAATTAAATAAATTTTTAAGATAAATAGATTGAATTTACACTATTTAATATACATTTAAAAAAAATATTCAACAATAATATAATATTCTGATAAAATATAAATGATATTAAAATGAAAATCATTTATTGCTGTATGATTTTTTTTGGAAAGATTTAAATTGTTCAATATTGAATAAACTATATATTTATTGTATGATTAAGAATATAGTACACAAAAAATTATAAAAAAAAAATAATTTAATAATGATTCATAAAATTTATTTTTACATGTAATTTTATTTAAAAAAAAAAAATAATCTAAGAAACATCAATAAAAATTATCATCTTCAGAATTCAGGTGGCAAAAGGTCTTCTGACTATCTTGATTTGGGGCCGGATGGAGGAGAGCGTTGTACCTTGCCTGGAAATTCATATTCTGAATTATCATCTAGAAATAAATTTTATTTATACGATATAGAGTCCTCCTGATATTTAATCCAAATAATTCTGCTAAATCTTTCTACCTAACTAAGGAAATGAGTTATTAAGAGAGCAATTCGTCATCCTTCTTTTGCTCATACTATTCAAGATATTGAAAAATTTCCACTTACTCAATTATTACTTTTTCTATCAAAATTGAATGGCTTCATACCTTTCAATTGTTATTTTTCATGATCGTCTATCAAATGTTATTTATACATCTCTTAGATGTACCAAAATAATTTAGAATGTGGCAACTCGAAATTTTACATTAGAATTTTATTTGTTTAATTATTTAAATATTGTCGATATTTATATTAAGGAAACAAATTATTTAGAATATTTTAATAATTAATCATGCAGCCATTTTTTGCGCAATTTAGTATGGAGTTCAGACAATTAATCTCTGAAGATCCTAATTTATTCAGCACAAGCTTTAGCGATTTGTATTTTAGTTATTTATTGATTAGTTTCCAATCATTCGACAGTGATATATCGATTTAGTTTGCCAATTAATCGCCGCCAATTATTCATATTGAAAACTCAGGAATATAAATGATATCCATCATTAGAAATGAAGGAAGAAGCGGGTAATGTTTACATTTGAAACTAGGCAAAAAAAGTAGATTTAAGAGATGTACACAAGATTAAGAAAGCATGATGTATAAAACAATGAATTGAATAAAAGTGAACCTCATATAAAAATAACCGTAACAAAAAACTAAAATCTATTAAACCCTACTTACTAAATTGAACACTACATTAATTAATTTGGGTAATTAAGTTTTACAAATAAAGTATGATAGGTTCAATAAAAAATGCAGATTCAGAAGATGTTATTATAGGTAGACAAGAGAAATTGGAAAATTATTAAGGCTAATTGATATTTCCAAATGACATAAGTATATATACAAAAATAATTCTAGTTTTAAGAGAAACTGAGAGGTTGATTTCCAGAATCCATTGCAAAATAATCTTTAGAAACTTTTTTAGAAAGGAAACCTAAATATTGCCATTGTATTAACAAACCTTAAGTTAATTAAGAATGCCCTATAATATAATTTAAAGAATTTCATAATTTCTAGAGTATAATAATTTTATATTTCAGGGAACCTAAGGATTGTTATGTGTAAGATATTGGTAGTGTTTTTGGAACACACATCAAAATTGATAGAAACTATTAAAAAATGAAAAAATATCAATAATATAGTATTGGGAGTGAAACTACAATTCAGATTCTTGAAATTCATAATTTAGGATCAGAATAAAAGTCCAGGGATGTAGAATTTGATAAATTGATATAAAAATTAAGAAATATCAAATACAAATGTTCATTATAGGGATTAGATCTAAAGCTGTATGAAAGATCATTGCAGGTAGATTAAAGTTTTGATTAAATACTAACAAGTCTAAAATGTTATAATATTCCATTTATTATGATTAAATTTGGAGGATCTGGAGTTACTGATACTAATTAGAATATCTTTTTTGCTAAAGACATTACTAGTGTATTTTCAATAGGAAGAGGAAACGACAATAATATCAGAATCAATTCAAATACAATATCTAGAAAGTAGACAAGATTTAGATTCAATAGAAAGTATTTATTTTTGAAAATATTTAAAGAGAGAATAATTGGGAGATTGCTGATGGAAGTTAAGATAAAGATTCAGCAAATGGAACATGGATGTAATTGTAAACAATCCAAGAAAGAGAATAAAAGCTTGGATCATAAGTTCATCCTTTGAAGCATTTATCAGAAATCAAAATAAGTGATTATACTTTGAAAGTCGAACTTTTCAAGGGAAAGTATATTTTAGTTTATAAATTTAGCGAGAAAGAAAAAGCTAGATTTGATATTATGAAATCCTTGTTGTGATAATTTTGTTGTTTTGTAAATTTTTCTATTTGATATGTTATCCGAATATTGTTTTTCTTAAATCAAATCTACAAAATAGAGTAGATTTAATTTAAGAAAATTCTTTTTACATCAATTGAAATTTAATAATTTTTAGTAGTTATTTATCATAAGAAAAAAACAAAATTCCATAAACAGGGAACGATTATGAAAAGATTTTTTAATATCAAGTTGATAATTAATGTATTCTATTTGTTTTGAATATATGGCACCTTTTTTTATGCCAAAAACTTTATATTTGAAAGTTAAACTATTTTATTTGATATTTTATTAATATTGAAATATAATTATGTATGATTTTTTTGAAGAGTCTCAAACTAATGATACACAAACTGATAGATAGAATGTGTAATAGATTGGGAATTAAGGGGAATAGGTAAGATATTAGAGTATCTTAAGTATACTGCTTTTGATGCTTTTTCAAATGAGGCACCAACACAACCAATAACACTAAATGCATTCATGGTACAATTTAAGTTTAGCATAGAGCCCAGAATAATAATAAAGAAAGGATAAATTGAGACTCCTAGAAGATGAAAGAATAGTTCAAATCAGAGAGAAAGACTAATAAGAAAGATTATTGAAATAATAAAAATAATAAAAAGGTTAGGAATTTTTGTAGGAGTTCAAAAAGTAATTATGGCTGATTTAACTTAAGACAATAAGAAAATGAAATAACCCAAAGAAGAAATCAAAATAAATAGAAATAAGAGATCTAGATTGAAAATAATAATAATCATAATTAATATGTATGATAGTGTTTCTAATTACAAGAAAAACTCTTGGGATTAAATAGCATCAAATATTGCATTAAAAGATGGAGAATATCCTGGAGAAAAAGATGTAACATAGATGAGATAAGCAATCCTGAATAAAAGAAGAGATCTGACTAAGTGATGTCCATTAATTATAACATAAGAATTCAATTTAAAGTAATATCTACATCATTATTCTTAATTCAGTCATTATCTAAAATTACATATATATTTATCTATTATTCTAATTAATAAAATAATTTAAATCATATATTTGGATCTTTCAGGATAACCATTCTAACTTTTCTTTCAAAAGCTTCATCCAAAAACAAAACCTCTCTTGGTATTAAGTGGATGAATTTAACAGCATATTTTAGTTTCAATTTTAAATTGGTTTCTAAAGCAATCATAATAATTGCGACTAAAATTAATGTAAACGAAATTGATGAAACAAGTATTTTCTATATTATACTAAAAAATACTTCCAAAATAGATTTTTATTTTAAGACTTACTCAGAAAAATCAGTCATTGCCCTTTTAGAAGCTGTTTATAAGTATTCTACAAATAAATAAGCCCCTTCTACTTCTAATATATTAATAGGTTTGCGCTAAGAAAATTCTTAAGCAATCAGTTCTTATGTAATTATTTTAGACACATGATTTAATACAGCTTAAATTCCTAATAAAAAGGACCCTTCAAATGAATTTACACAAATTTGTTGAATATTTTGATTATTTTACTAATATAATATAATTATATACTGCATTAATAAGTTAACACAAATCTTGGGTTTCTTAATCTAGAAAGTAAGATACAAAATCAGAACGAAATAGCAAATTAGCAAGATTTATATTCATTAATTCTTATTAATATTATTTAATTTATGCAGATGATTGATTCAACTGATCAACCATAGTTTAAAAATCTGAGTCTTATAAATATGGAAAGAAAACTTGATTGTTAAGTTATTCTTTTTCACTATAAATTAATGCTACATTTAAACATAAATCAGAAGTATTTTTATGCATAGTAGCTGTAGGTTTATATTTCTTTATAAATTCAGATAGAATTAATGTGTTAGATAAATTTACAGTTAAAAATCCAATAAACATAGTATAGATGAATATCAAAAATTTAGAAGTGTCAATTTTGGCTTTTTTGTAAATTAATTTTTAGTAACTTGATTAATTGGTTTTTGACTATTTGTTTAAGGAATAAATTTCACGTTCCTTCTGTTTTTAATTAAAAGTATAAAATTAAGTAATGTTATGATTTCCAATCTAGCTAATTAAATAATCTGAATATTCCAATTCAGACTCCAAGGCACTTTTTTCAATATTGAACATCATACTGCCAAAAATTTGTCTCTAATTTGCAAATTTTCTATAATAGTAATTGGAGAGCAATAGGCAAATAAAATTAACACTTAAAAAACAAGCAATTATTATAATTTGATCATTGATTTATTTGGAATTTCTAGATATTGTATTATTATAAACTTAATCACTCAAATATGAACAAATATCAAATAATAATTTTTAATTTAGTATTTAAAATGTAACTGGAGTAGTAATTTTAGGAAGTTCATTATTAGAATAAACTCCATATATTAATTACTGATAATCAAAATATTTTATAAAGAAAGTTCTAGCACTAAAATTTTCATAATAATAAGTATAATCATCTTATAAATAAATTACTTAATAATACCTATCAAATAATAAATCTTGTAAAAGTTTAGATTCAAATAATTCTTGTATTTAAGTATGAAAAAGATCAAATTCTTTTTTTAAATATTATTTTGCAAAATCAGTTTCATTCATATACTAATCATTAGTTATTAAATTCAAACTCAATAGATTAGTTTTGTCATATATGATAAATCTCAAAATAAAGAAACTTAACATAGGTTGTAAGATATCATTTTTAATTGACAATTATCCAACATCAGTTATATAATTATTAAAATTATTTTCAATAAGAAAAGTTTATAACAATAATGATATTATTCCTAATAATGATGAAACCACTAAAAAAGTAATTGCTAATTTAACAAATATGTTTTTAATTCTTTTTTATACCATTTTATCTATAAATTCTGCTTTATCATAAAAAGTAGAGTTGTATTTTTCTCTTTTTTCTGATGGAGTTCCCTCATCTTAATCAGATGATTTTTATTTATTATCTGAATAAAATTATGGCATGCTTATTTATTTCGAGAAATTCTTCTTAAATATTGAAACATCATCACTTACTCTAGAGACATCATGATAACGATTATAAAATTTTTATTAAAATAATAATTCGTTTGTTGACGATTTTTCTTAAGGAGAATTCAATTATTGATATGTAAGTTCAGGCTAGAATAACTAAACGTCTAGATCTTTATAATCATCAAAATCATAAGGAGAATCTATCTTTATTTCTTCCAAAAATTTTTGTTATAATTCAATCTTTTAATTAGATTTTGTTGAACATTCAATCAAATTTGATAATAATGAAGTTACATTTATCTTTTTCATATAATCAAAAGTTAATATTAGATACGATAATTTATTATTATGGTATTTAGATTAAATTTCGATCTAAGATTCATATCTATCTAAAAGATTCAAATTTGTAAATCTTTCAGCCATTGTATGCTTTGATAAATCAAATAGGTAGCATTATTTTATAAAGTAAAACTCAATCAATGATACTGATCTATTCTCTTCAATCAAAATCTGAAATTAAGGAATCAAAATTTTCACATTTAATCCATATAACATTTCATCAGGTTTAAAGTAATCAATTTGAGATTTTGAAAAATTTAATAGGTTTAAAAGATTTTTATTTATACCAACAATTTGAAATTAATTATTTAAAATCATATATCCCTTAATATCTTTAAGTTCTAGAATTATATTAATAAACCTTAGTTCAGATAAGCTATTGTACGAGTCTAAATACGATTCTGCAATTTAAATGTAGTTTTTTTAAAGAATAAATAAACGAGCATTTTATTTAAATCTATATGATTAACCAGTTTAAAAGAAATCATGTAAATTCTGTTCATGATAATCTCTAATACCTTAAGGAATTAGAGACTCAATGTATTAAGGTAATTCTGTTTAAAAAAATAATTTTGCATTATTTGAAGCTCTTTCAATTTTTACATTATAAGAACAATTCCCTAATTTTGTAATCAAAAATGCTACTTTATTTTGTTTAGCTAATAAAACTATACTGGTTTATTTGCATTATGATTCTAATTCATAGATAATTGAATGTTCTCTGTTAGCTTTTGCATAATTTCTAAGGATTTCTGCTTAATAAAATACTTTTAAATTTAAAATACTAATAGCTAACTTAAAAATTATTATTTATTACATGGATTTTTTTAATATATTTGATTAATGTTATTTTCAATTTAACATAGTTTAATAGTAATCTTAAAACAAAAATCAAAAATTTGATTTTATGAAACTTTTTCCTTAATTAAAAGATCATAAAAAAGACATTTTTGTTTTAGTAATTTAATAATTTATAAATTTAAAACTCTTATGATATATTCTATTTTATAGAATTCTTCAAATATTAAAGTAGTTTAATCAAATTATTTACTAAAATTCTTTTTTAATCTAGATTTCAATAACTACATACTTTCCTCTCTCAAATAAGAAAAAATGGTTTCATATAAAAAATACATTGGTTTATAAAAATTATTTTGATAATTTATTGGCTAAATACTTAACATAGAGGAGTTTTTCATAATAAATTTATTAGGTTATAGTTTTTATTAATTTTTGTAGGTTTAATCTTAATACTCTAATATGGAACTGCAAATTGAATATGCCTAAATATAATTATTTGTATATAAATGGATTAAGATCATTTAAATAATTTAATGGTTTGTTATGGTTGACTATATATAAGCATTTGCAGATAATTTTAAGTAAATATCAAAGTTTTATTATTTTTAAGAACAATTACAATTATGACAATAAGATAAATGTTATTAATTTATGTATAATTAAAATGGTAACTTTTATGAATTATTATTTGATTCTAAGTGCTAAAATAAAATTTAGAATACTATATTTGAATCTGTAAGGTCATCAAATATTTTACAAACTACAATTCTATTTTTTAATTATATAATTATATTAACAATTAAAGGTAAAATAATTATTTAAAAGATTCCAAAATTACTATGAGTTATATTGAATAGAATGGTTAAGTATTCAGCAATTGATAAAACAATGGCTAAACTTTAGGTTATGATTATTATAATATAAGCATTAGAATCTAAATAATGAAAATTTCTTAATAGATTTATTAACATCAATATTGATATTATAAAAGTGATTGTTATTTAATAGATTTAGTGTAGTTAATAAAAACAATACAATAAAATTTATATAATATTTAGGATACGAAGCATGAGATCCAAAAATGTTATATAAAATGTGGATTATATTGTGATTTAATATGACAATTTATTTTAATTTACCAGTAATTTTGTAATGTCAATTAAAGTAAATAAAAAAAGTGTTATAATAATAAAGATAGTATTAATATTTGATTAATCTTAAATCTAAGTCAAAGTAATCTCAAAAACTAAATTTATTATTATTATATCATAAAATTCATAAATAAAAGCTTAAATTAGGTAAATTAATTGAATTAGATTGTTTTGCTTAAAAATATAGTTTTTCAAAGTAATTTGTTGTTAAAATTAATCTTCTTTATAATTAAAATAATTGGTAAGTTATTAAGTAATTGTAAAAAAAATGATTATGACTAGAATAAATGGTAGAATGAATAAATATTATCCATATATTATTATAGATGGTCTTGAAAAATAAGATATTAGTGAGTAAATTTAATTGTATTTTGTTTAACTACGGTGATGCGTATAAATTATATAAGAGGAGTTCTTAAACTATCCCATAGAAAATATCAAATATGAGAGAGGTTGGTTTGTAAATGGATATTGATGATTCACTGTGATAAATATTTTGATTAGATCTGAAAATCCACATTTCAAAATCCTAATTAATTTCATAAGTGAATATGCTTTATATTAATTAATTAAAGAATGTATTCAGAAATGTTGATAATAATATATTAAAACAATATATATATATATATATATGAAATGAATGATATATTTATTGATAAAAACTGTTGTTTTTACAATTAGATAAATGAGTAAATATATTGTATATATTTAAAATTTCTTTTTTATTTGAAAAAATAAAATGTTCACCTTTTTATAACATTTCATTTAATTATTCCTCATCTAAAATATATGATTAAAACATTTAATTCAAATTTAATTTCACTTCTACTTTATAAATATTATATTCACATATTACAATAAGTGTTTTAAATTGATTTTATATGAATAACGGATTTTCTTAGATTCTCATTCTAACTGAAACATAATATAGCCTTTTTCTATTTAGGCTTTAAAAATATTACATTTATATTACTCAAAATATTTATTGTTTATGCAATATATAGCAGCTTGGTTCTTTTGGTTCTTATGCATTGCAATAAAATTTAAAAATAAATGGTTATTGATGTTCACTTTCCATTATGACTTCTAATTAGAATTTTATTTGTTATGAAATCCAAATATATTTTAAAAATGATCAACTTACTTAATATACCTTAAATAAATTAAAATATTTTATCTAATGAATCATTCCTTGCAAAAGAAAGAAAAAGGGTTCATTGGCAATTTAAAATAACTCTTAAATGTATTTTTTTGAATAAAAATTAGAGTTCTGAGTACTACAATATCATAAAAGTCTTAGAGTCTAATAATGGTTTCATCATACTTAATTTAAATGAATTTTAAAGTCAAATATTAAAGAACCATTTTAAACATTCCAATATGGCTAGTTTTAAAAGGTTAATAATGTATGTATTAAATAGATAATTAAATATGTATGGATTTGAGTTTTCAAGGACATCAGAAGGTTTAATGAAATTTCAGCATAATCAATTTGATAGTAAAAATAATGAGGGACTTTAAATGAAATAAAATTCATCAATAAACACACTAACACCAGATCAAGAATTATATTTGTTAAAATTACAAGTTAAAGATATTTAAAGAAATCAACAAATTATGTAAAGTTAAATAAGATAAATCATTGATAGATAATAAGAGATTCAAAAAAATATTAAGAAGGCTATGCTTGTATTAATCATTTATTATGATAGGATTATGTAAGAATAAGAGTTAATGGATAAACTAAAGGAAAAAAAGTAGGGAAATTTGTATGGAAATTCCATCTTAATATTACAAATAAGAAATACAGTATATATATTGTATCTTAAAAATAGAAAGGTTCTTATATTAGAAATGGAAAGAAGCTAATTCTTGTTAAGAATGTCCTTGTATTGGAGATATATCTTAATAAACCTTTAAATAATAATTCTATACCTACCCATTAATAAATAACTCAATATTTGATATCAAAATCCCAAATTTAAATTTAAGAAGTCCTGAAATTTTAGAACTCTGTGACACATAAGATTAAAATGAGAGTAGTGATTTAGATTTAATGGAAGTTTAAAGTGTTAGTAATATAAGTAATTATCTTAATTTGTGATACTTAAAATGTACTATGAAGCAATATTATCAAATATTTAATAGTTTAAACTAATTTATCAATTTTTGATACAAAAAATTAGGAATTATTTCTTTTCTAAATAATACAAACTATATATTAATAACATATTAGTTTTCTTAGGCTAATGGTTAAATCAAGAAACACTAAAAATGGATTTATGTTTAAACTTAAATCTATTCTTCTAGTAAATTATTTAAACTACTCTAGAATAATAAATATAGTGATATTTTACAAATCTATCTTGATAAAAATGGTTTCATTATTAATGATATGGATAAATTCAAGAATTAAGTATTGAAAGAAAACTATAGACATACTAATTTTAATAGTTTCAGAAGGTATCCTATTATTTATTATAAGATCATTAAATTTGTATGGGTTTTCTTCTAAAAAATACAATAAAGGAAAAATACTATATATAAACCCTAATTTCAATATTAATTCAGAATAACTTCCAAGAATTTAGATAAGGCAAGTTGAGATATAGGATTTCAAAAGCGAATTAATTAGAGACTACAATATATTATATGAGATTAGGGAAAGTTAAAAAAACATCATGCAATAAATTAAATAACTAATTGAGGCTTAAAATTTACTTTACTAAAAGTTTTAGAGATAATATTTGGCTTATTTAAAAGAAAGAATATTTTAAAGAATACGATTTAGAAAATTAGAACGATTTTGTTTTTGTTTCTATTTTAATATACAAGATTAAAAATATAGTAACTAAATATATTATATTTTGAATAGAAAAAATAATAGAAAGAAGTCTGGTGATAGTAGCAAAAACACTTTCATAATCATCTGAAAGTTAAATGATATTAGATGCTTACAAATTAAATTAATAACAAGAATCANTTATGATAGGATTATGTAAGAATAAGAGTTAATGGATAAACTAAAGGAAAAAAAGTAGGGAAATTTGTATGGAAATTCCATCTTAATATTACAAATAAGAAATACAGTATATATATTGTATCTTAAAAATAGAAAGGTTCTTATATTAGAAATGGAAAGAAGCTAATTCTTGTTAAGAATGTCCTTGTATTGGAGATATATCTTAATAAACCTTTAAATAATAATTCTATACCTACCCATTAATAAATAACTCAATATTTGATATCAAAATCCCAAATTTAAATTTAAGAAGTCCTGAAATTTTAGAACTCTGTGACACATAAGATTAAAATGAGAGTAGTGATTTAGATTTAATGGAAGTTTAAAGTGTTAGTAATATAAGTAATTATCTTAATTTGTGATACTTAAAATGTACTATGAAGCAATATTATCAAATATTTAATAGTTTAAACTAATTTATCAATTTTTGATACAAAAAATTAGGAATTATTTCTTTTCTAAATAATACAAACTATATATTAATAACATATTAGTTTTCTTAGGCTAATGGTTAAATCAAGAAACACTAAAAATGGATTTATGTTTAAACTTAAATCTATTCTTCTAGTAAATTATTTAAACTACTCTAGAATAATAAATATAGTGATATTTTACAAATCTATCTTGATAAAAATGGTTTCATTATTAATGATATGGATAAATTCAAGAATTAAGTATTGAAAGAAAACTATAGACATACTAATTTTAATAGTTTCAGAAGGTATCCTATTATTTATTATAAGATCATTAAATTTGTATGGGTTTTCTTCTAAAAAATACAATAAAGGAAAAATACTATATATAAACCCTAATTTCAATATTAATTCAGAATAACTTCCAAGAATTTAGATAAGGCAAGTTGAGATATAGGATTTCAAAAGCGAATTAATTAGAGACTACAATATATTATATGAGATTAGGGAAAGTTAAAAAAACATCATGCAATAAATTAAATAACTAATTGAGGCTTAAAATTTACTTTACTAAAAGTTTTAGAGATAATATTTGGCTTATTTAAAAGAAAGAATATTTTAAAGAATACGATTTAGAAAATTAGAACGATTTTGTTTTTGTTTCTATTTTAATATACAAGATTAAAAATATAGTAACTAAATATATTATATTTTGAATAGAAAAAATAATAGAAAGAAGTCTGGTGATAGTAGCAAAAACACTTTCATAATCATCTGAAAGTTAAATGATATTAGATGCTTACAAATTAAATTAATAACAAGAATCATAGCAATTTACTTTCTTTTTAGATAGAAACTTTTTATCTAATGGAAACAGTAAAGTACAATCAAATAGTCCAGAAGAATTCGATTTAAATTAAAGCTTTAGTGCTTTAAGTAACTACTTAGACATTTGAGTAATGAAGTACTTAATGATAGGATAAATTTGAAAATGAAATAAATATTAAAAGTTATCATATGGCTCCATCTACTCTAGTCATGACTGCACAAGAGTTACCAGGTTTTAACCAAATATGTCCTGATTCTCCCCAACCTTCACCCCATGAGTTTCTAATCTTCCAATTTCCTTCATAATCAAAACCAACAGCTACAACAGCATGATTATGAAAATCATCTCTGCATGGTCCATCATATACTCCTTAATCATAGAATTTCCAATAAGAGGCATCAACACTCACAGATAATGGATAATTTTAGATTCCCTTTTTAATAGCATCTTCATTTGGACCATAGTTTTCTCTTCCAGAAATTCTAACTTTTCCTTATTTTACTTTACAAACTCCATCTCTTGCAGTCTATTAAGATATTTAATATTTTTTACATATTCATAATCTCTTTCATAAACAGAACCAACTTCAGCAATATAATCTAAAGCCAAGTCTGAATTACCTCCATTACAACCTTCTCCTGCATCAACAGCACAATCAACTAATTATTATTCAGATAACACTCCTTTGAATCCTTTTCTTATAATTAAAAATCCTTCAACTGCACCAATAGCAGAGAATGTCCAACATGAACCACAATTACCTTAATTCTTAATAGGATTCATTTTGCTAGACCAATCAGCTTCTCCTAGATTATTTCCAGAACTCAATTCAATGTTATCAATATTAACAAAAGTTGGTTTTCCTAAATACATTGATTAGAATTCTTCATCAGTTAAATCAACAAATTAATTGATTGCCATACTATAACTTTTATTTGGATTTGAGTTATGTTTATTGATTAATTCAACATTTTAATTGAATATAATCTATCTATATGTTTCTTCAGTTTATGTATATAACTTATTATATTTCTTCTACCAAGTTTTAAATGAGTTTGAATCTTCATTTTAAGTGTAAAATGCTAAACCACTTAATAATAAAGCAGCAGCAAACAAAGATAAAATTTTCTACATTGAATTAATAATAATAATAATAATAATTTTATAGAAATTATATACTTTGATTGATGACATCATTGAATAACAAATAATGAAATCGATTATTTAACTAATTTAGTTAAATTAATAAACAAGAAACACAAATAATAATAATTCTTATTTTATAAATTAGTTGAACATTATATTTTTAATCTAATGAATTTACTTTCATTTTGAAAAAATTAACAGGAATATATTATATTTAATTTGTGATGTAAATTTGGAAATTATTAAACTAGAAAATCTTATTTTAGTATGCTCGACAAATTAAACCTCGTATTCCAATATAAATTGATGAATTAAATAGACAATTTGAATAACAAAAATCAACTATTAGAGAACAAGCAGAAAAATAGATTAGACATGCTCATTCAATTGCAGAATTAATTAGTTTGAATAATGACGTAAGTTAATATGTTGATGTTACAGAACCTATACTCAAACGTCTATCAAAACTTAAAATTACTTCTGATGAGTTTTCTTCAAATTAAGAATTTATTGCAAAATTAGTAAATAACAATACTAGTTAATTAATGTTCAATTTAATCTAATATTATGAAAATGATCGTATTGAAAAGATGGTACTTGAAGCATATAAAAATAAATAATTATCAATAAATTAAGAAAACAAACTTAGATTATTATAAATCATTGTTAAACATGGAACAAAATAAGATTTAGAAGAGTGGTCTTAAAATTGGGAGTTTTAATTAAATGGCAAAAACATTTCTAAATTTTATGATATATTAGATTCTCTTGAAGGTTAATTACCTGATAGAGAAATAATTGTCAATAAAATAGAATAATCAATTTATAAATATACTCATTAATATGAATATAATACCATATATAAAATCTTAAAGTATAGATCTTTTAATGAGAAAGTATTAAATGAAGATTTACTTATTGCTATTTTAAGAAGGCTATATCAATTAGAATTAAGTTTAGAATAATTAATTAATATTAATCAATATCTGACTGTTGAATTATAATATTTAGATGCTTAATGGCTTAATTAAATAAATAAATCAGTCATGTAATAATTATATCCTAATTAATAAATGATTGATTAAATAGATAATAATTTAAATGATTAAGAAGAAGAAATAATTTAGAAAAATCAAGAAAATAATAATACTTAAAATAATAATAATTCTGAAATTAAGAATGAATTAAGTGAAGATGAATTATTAAAATTAGTTAAAGATTTAGAATTAAGAACAGAACCATTTAAAATTACAGAATTGGAAAAACTATTCTTAAAATTAATGGATTAATTTTCTAAAACAATCATAGTAAATGATCTTAATTTATTAGCTTTATAATTTTTTAAAGAATTAGATGTACATATGATGTAATTCTTAAATCATTTAACATCTGATGAATAATTAATATGTTTTAAATTTCATGCTAAATACATTGAAACAATATACAATGAATAATAAAAAGATCCAAAATAGTATAAGAAATCTAGTCATAAGAAACTTGAATAAATGAATAATTCATATTATGAAATAACTCTTTAATGTCTAAAAGAATTAAATTTTGAATAAACTTTAACATTATTAGAAACTGTTTCTGTTTTAGGAGTAAGTAAAAGAAAGGTTTGTTAAAGAATTATGAATGTTGGATTTCAAGGATTATAAAAATTAGAATAATGCAAATTAGAAAATCATCAAAAAAATTATGCTTTATTTGCTTATTATAAATTATTGCAATTATTCATTACTTAAGAATACGATATTTTGTATAAATTAATAAATATAAATTATTAGGTAAATTGAAAAATAATTTTAAGAAATTAAAATCAATACTTTAGATCTTTAGACTGAATATTCTCATCTAGGTATTAAAAGACAAAAAATCTAAGAATTGGAAAATAAAAATAAGTATAATAAAGATGAATTAATAATTTGATCAGATTTACTGTGTATAAAATTCATTAAAATAATAATACCTTTAATATTAATCATATTCTAAATTATTTTATTTCAAATAATTGATTCATTTTTAAATATTAAGAATATTATATAATATTCATTACAATAAATTATTATTATATAAATAATCTGAGTTTATTATTATATATCTAATGATTTAGAATAATTTTAGAAAATTCTAAATTAATAATATTTAGTAATATAAGGTTGGATAATCATACCCAAAATATATTATAAATTATTTATCAACCTTTAATTTTTGTTAATTACAAAATATATTTATATATATATATATATCATCATTAAGATAGTATTTTCTCCAATTCTTCTAAATCATCAAATTCATGTTTAATTGGTAGTTTGTCTAACCAACCATCTTGATATTTAGAGGATTAGGTTTCTAATTTATTGTTAATATTATTTAAATTATTTAACTCCAAAATTGAATGATTATCATTATCATCAAATAGAATCATTGACTCTTCATAGAATTTTTATTTTTTTGGTTGATCCAACTAATCTAAAAATTGTTCTAATTCATCAATGAAATCTTAATCATTTACAATAGTTTTTTTAATTGCAGGTCCTGGATTATATTTATTCATCAAGTCTAATAGATTTATATAATTGATGCTTTCATTAATTCTACTTTGATTAACCAAAGAATGCAATAACATATTGTTCTGGGTATCATCTAAATCCCCCATAATATATATAATATAAAAATAATTATATAAGTAAAACATGTAAAATCAATTCTAAACATTCTCATTTTAATAATTAATATGCAATCAATAATCTCTTAATGGATCATAAATATGGTCTAATTTACATATATATATACATGTTTAAGAAGAAAATTTCAATGCTAAAATCTTGTTTAAATATTTCAAAATTAACATTTCGAAGTCTTTTTTATTTTTCAATGGATCAACCTTAAGTACCACCAGCCGGAGAGTAAACCAAAGAGCAAGTCGGAGAGCAAGCCATTAGTAAATCCCAATAGAAATATCTTAAAAAGTTAGAGGAGAAGGAAAAGAAGAAAGCTGAAAAAGAAGCTGAAAAAGTTTAATAACAAGAGAATGCTGCAGAAAAAAAAAAACCAAGTATTAATAATTGTTATCAATATTAGAAAAGGTCTAATAAGAAGATGAAGAAGAAGTAGATCCTCGTCTCTTTCATGAGAATAGATCAAAATAAGTATTAGCACTTAAACAAACTAAAGACCCGTATTTAATTTTATTTAAAATAGAAATCCATACCCTCACAAATTCCATGTGGATTTAACAATAGCTCAATTTAGAGATAAGTATGGCCCTATTTGCACAGAAAAAGGCAAAATTCATGAAGATGTTGTCTCTGTGGCAGGAAGAGTAGTTACCATTAGATCTATGGGAGCAAAACTTATGTTTTATGACTTATAAGGTGAAGGAACAAAAATTTAAGTTATGGCAAATGAAGGTAATCACAAAGACCAAGAATTAAGCTTTGAAAAAATTCATACTTTGATTAAAAGAGGAGATATTATTGGAGTAAAAGGAAATCCTTGTTTAACAAAAGCAGGAGAATTAAGTATTGCACCAGGCATCATTCAATTGTTATCACCTACATTACATATGTTACCTACAGCTCATTTTGGATTCAAAGATCATGAATAAAGATATAGAATGAGATATTTGGATTTGATTATGAATAAGAAAGTAAGAGAAATATTCCTTACAAGATCATCAGTGATTAAATAATTAAGAGAATATTTTGATGGTAAAGGATTTATAGAAGTTGAGACTCCATCTTTAAATGTTATCTAAGGAGGAGCTACTGCTAAACCTTTTAAAACATTCCATAACTCATTACATAGAGATTTATTCATGAGAGTTGCACCAGAATTATATTTGAAGATGTTAATTGTTGGTGGATTAGATAGAGTCTATGAAATAGGTAAAAACTTTAGAAATGAGGGAATTGATTAAACTCATAATCCTGAATTCACAGCTATGGAATTTTATTGGGCTTATTGTGATTATAATGATCTCATGACTGTTACTGAAGAAGTCTTGTCATCGATTGTTTTAAAGTTGAAAGGAAGCTATAAATTCAAAATTCATAAAGGTGATAATCCTACTATCACACTGACAGAACATGATATTAAATCTGGTCATTTTAAAGAAAATGAAGAAGATTTCATAGAACTTGATTTTACACCACCTTGGCCAAGAGTTTCTATGATGGCTGAATTAGAAAAAAAATTAGGTGAAAAATTACCTGAAGTTTTGGAAAGTGAAGAAGCTAATGCTTTCTTTAATTAATAAGCAAAAAAACATAAAGTTGAATGTTCTAATCCTAGAACTACTGCAAGATTGATTGATAAATTAGTCGGTCATTTCTTAGAAGTCAATTTCAAGAATCCAACTTTTTTAATTGATCATCCATAATTGATGAGTCCATTAAGCAAAGTACATAGATAATATCCAGGTTTAACTGAAAGGTATTAATAATAATAAACAATATAGATTTGAACTCTTTGTTAATTATCATGAATTGTGTAATGCCTATACAGAATTAAATGATCCATTTGTTTAAAAAGCATTATTCTAAAAGTAAGTTGAGGATGCTGCCAAAGGTGATGATGAAGCTATGGGATATGATGAAGGATTCATTAAATCATTAGAACATGCTTTACCTCCGTAATTATTATTAAATATTTAATTTTAGAACTGCAGGATGGGGTCTTGGTATTGATAGATTTGTGATGTTATTAACAGATACTCAAAACATTTAAGAAGTTCTTCTGTTTCCTGCAATGAAACCTGAAATGTCTATTGAAGAGATGTAGAAAATTTAGAAAGAGAAGGAGGAATAAAAATAAAAATAATAGTAATAATAATAATAATAATAATAATAATAATAATGAATAATGAAGAATATTAAATAAATAAAATATAAAGATTCAAATATTTTTAATTATTACTCTGCTTAATTTTTTCTTTCCTTGAGTTGTAATATCATCACTTTTGGGAATAGTATCGTTTGATTTCTCTTTTTTATTGCTTGCAAAACTTCGAGGGGTTTTTTCTATAGACATATCATCAGTAACCATATTAATAGGTTTCATAATTTATTATTTTCGAATTAATCTATCTATTTATTGATTATTATTGTCAATTTCGTTTAATAACATCATAGAAAACTAAGCACTAGGTCGATCATTTGGTTAACTCTCAAGCATATGAACCAATAAAACAAATAATTAATCCATTTTGCTTGAATTACATTCTGGATGTTAAGGATTCTTTCTCAATTAAAAATAACCATCTTTATTTTCTTAAAAATTATTTTTATTTTTATGAAATAAATTTTCACCAGTTAACCTAAAATATTAAATTATTGTTATATACATTTTATATAATACACATCCTAAACTAAAAATATCTGCTTTCTCATCATATGGCTTATCTTATTTATAGTTTATTACTTCAGGTGCCATATAACCTGGTGTTCCAGCTATTGGGAATATTATTTAGTTTTTAATTTTCCGAGCCAAACCAAAATCAATTAATTTTACATTTTCTGACAGCATTACATTATGTGGATTTATATCTCTATGCATAATTCCTTTTTTATGAATATAAATAACAGCATTTAAAATTTAAAACATAACTTTTAATGTTTGACTTATACTCAAACCAGTAGGCCTAGAGAGCAATTCTGTATGCAAAGTTCTCCCATCAATAAAATCAGTAATTATGTAATAGAATTGCTAATCAAAAAAAACTTCCTTTAATTTTAAAATATTTATGTGTGACAGTTATTATAAGAGCTATAACTCTTAAATGAATTAAGGCTAAACCTAAATAAAATGATTACTATTCCTCCTTAGAGCGATGCTAATTTTTATTTTTCACACTTCTTTATTGCTACATAATCTCCGGTTAAAGATACACCCCTATATACCTAATTTTCATTTAAAATATTACTTCTCCTATCATTCCTTGCCCAACTTTCATTTATATATCATAGAAATTTTTGATTCCGCAATAAAATACTTTACCAGCAATCATCTCTCTAAGTAATTAATAATTATGAGGAGAAGCATAGAATGCCTTCATTTTATTATTATATGATATTTCAAAAGCTTATATTTTCTTATCACTCACAATCCAATTCAATTATGTTGTCAAGTTCAATTTTATTTGATATTTTGCTTATTTTTCCAAGTTCTATGTTAAAAATATAGAGATAATACATCAGTCATAATCAATTAATCCTTAAAATAGAATAGTTAGTACTGTTTATCAGAGAAAAAATGCTTACGGGTGACAGGAAAATTAAATAATGCATTATCAAATCTATACATATTAATTTAATATTGATATAACATCAAATCGATTAATAAAGCGGCTGAAAATAATGACAGTTTTTTTGGTTTTTTAACAAAAAATATCCATTTATAGAATAAGAATGCCAAAAATCCACTTAAATGATATCATTATTCATTTTTTATTATACATTAAATTAAATTAAAATTAATCTTCTAAGTTTTAAAATTATACTATTTTCATAAATTTATTGATTATGTTTGGAAAAAGTGTGAATTTTGAATAATAAATATGTTAACAGAATAATGTAATAATATATTTTGAATGGTGCAAAAAGGTAATTATTTAATAAAATTCTATTTTTCATTTTATACAAGAAAGTAATAAATATAAATATATTATATATAGTTATTAATTATAATATATGAAAACTAGAAAAAAAATGAATGTTATATTTGATTCTCCTAAACCTGAAGAGGCTAGTTCTCTATCAATTTAACAATCTGAAAATGAGGAAGATAGTACTTTTCCTTTAACAAAAACAATTAAGAATATGCTTATGTTTATGGTGATTAAAGAAATTCTGATGTGCACAATTTAGCCCATTTATAAATTCAGGAATTGATATCAGACATCTTTTAACCATAAATTCTACATGCTCTGTATTTACCTGCTCCGAAACCTTGGGAATAAATTGGATCAGACATTAAATTCAAATTTCCTCCACCTTTAACTAAGAATAAAAGAATACTATAGAACTACTTAAATTGTGTTTTCAAAGAGTTTGTTAGATTATTTTAGAAATTATCAAGAATTTCAAAGAGATTGAAAAAACATACTTCAAAAGTCAATTAAGATAATAATGTTGACTATGAAACTGCTTTAATGAATAAAGCTTAAAAGGAGAAGATTAATATATATGAGGAATAATACTCTTAACAAGAGGATTCAATTTCAAATTCTTCAATAACATGAGAATCTGCACATGAAGTTTGGGAAGAATATTTGAAGGCAAGAGTAGAATAGATGCCTTCTTAAGAGTTCATTAAGTTTATGGAATTAAGATCTTAAACATTTATACATCATAAGAGATTTAAGTAATTTATTGATCCACATAATTATGGATAGAATTTTATTGAATGTATAAACCTGAAATTCTTAAATTATTGTTTATGTTGAGTAATCAAACGTACTATATAGAAAGTAATGTAAACAGAATAGCCATAAAAATAAGTTTTCTAATTATCTGAATTTGGTTATCAAATAATAGAAACTTATAAAATTAGAGCTAAGAAATATGCATTATAAGATTAAAAGTTGAACTAGATGGCATAAAAATTATTTCTATAAGAGTTTTGTACTTAAGCATATGAAGCATATTTTCAATCAAAATGAGCATTAAAAAAAAGTGGATTATTGTCTAGCAATTAGGAAGTAAGGGCTTAGGAAGAATGAGATAAGATGAGACAAATTAAGTAAAAATGTATTGATAGAGTAAAGGCAGAAAAATAATTTAGACAAAAGTTAGTAAAATAATAGAAATTTATACCTAATACTCATTATTCTTGAATCCTTATATAAAAGGTGCGGAATAAATCATATGAATAAGCTAAAAGTTAATTTTCAACGATTTTTAAAGAATGGTTCATACATTTAGAGACAATAACAGAAATTGATAGCATATATATGATTGATTATTTTGCTCATATTATTTATCATAATCATGCTAGATTTGGATACTCTTTTTGAACAACAGCTTTGAATTCTTCCCAACATAATGATCCATCTTTATCTTTATCTGCATATTCAACCATTTCTCTTAATTCTTAATCTGTATATCTCTCTGATACTAAATCATTTATTCTTTTGAAATCCTCGTAAGTAACTTTACTTTATCCAGAGGAATCAAATTCTTAATATAATTTCTCAAGTACTTATTCATCTTCAATAGTGCTATAAAGTGTTAATATATTTTGAATACCCTGAAAATCCAAAAATATTTAGAAATTCTTCAAAATCAATTACACTAGATCCATCTTAATCAAGATCCTAAATCATATTAACAATTTCTTCAGCTGATTATTCCATTCCTAAAGCAATGATGGCATTCTTCATTTCATTTGGACTTTAATAATTATTTTCAATTACGATATAGATCCACTTTTATCATCATCAAAGATGTCAAAGCATTCTTTAATCTTTAAAACTTCTTCTTTGCTAAGTCCTGGTTTCACATATTTTGAAGGATCAAAACCATTAGCAGCTGGTTATAAAGGTTATTAAGATGCTATTGTAGCAGGAGCTTTTCCTTTTGTTGCTACTGGAGCTTAAACTTAACTTTTATTAGCTTATTATGTTGGTTGAGCTGCTGGTTATGGTTTTTATTGATTTCTACTCATTTATTTTAAATAATATAAAGGATACACTAATTCATTAAAAATATATTATCAATTTTATTCACTTTATTATTTCTACTATTACAATATCATATTGCTCTTTTTATCCTTATTTTCTTAATTCTAACTTTTCTCTTCCTCATTTAATTACTAACTTTAATCCTCTAATTTCTACTCTATTATAATCACTGAATCTTTTATTAGCTATTATTCAATCTGAGATATTAAACGTGAATCTAAAATGCTATGCCAATAATCGGCTGTTATACTTATCTATTCTATCTCTTATTAACCTACAAACTTTATTAGTTTAAAAAAATTATATTATTTCTCTTTTATGAAATCAGGAATTTCAATTAAACATATTTAACCTATTGTGATATTAATCAAATCCTTTAATTCCTCTATGCTTTTAGAATACTATAAAAATAATATATCTAATATAATTACTTGATAAATCTAATTCTGCAATTTTGAAATCTCTTTGTCTTTTGATCTGAAGAATAGTTTTTCTACTGGGTTTCTCTAATTATTAATTGTTTATTATAAATCTAATTGAAATTATCTAATTTTATCCTCCTATTATATGATCTTCTTTTCCCATTTCCTTATCTATTCAAATGAAATTAAATAAGACTAATATATTTCTAGTATTTTATCACCTCTATATCACTCTCCATAATATATAAATCAATTAAAATTTAATCACTTTAAAATTTACGAATTTTATCATATTTTTAATTCTTCATCAAATCTAAAGGTTTTATTTTTTCAAAAAATTTCTTATCACTTTTATACAATAAATTCTTTTCAAATTCTGGAAGTACATAATTCACAAAAATTAATTTTTCTGTATTGAAATTTGTTTTGGCAGTCACATAATTATTGCACATTTTTTTAAAATTTTCTATCATTGGCTTAACTTTTACTACAAATGATTAAAAATCATAATATTCATATTTCATATCTAATGTAATTTCTATCTATATTTAATTATATTGGTTACATTAGAACAATCAGGAGCATTTTATTTATATTTTTCTTATAATGATAAACTTACATTATTTAATGGTAACCAAGTTTAGTTCTATTCATTAAAGAATTATTTTGTTTCTGGTGAATTCCATAAGATTTTCCTTTTGAATATTGAATTCAAGAAATATTAGAGCATTCTTCTTCTGACTCGTAAGAAGTCTTCTTCAAGATTTCCCTAACATTCTGATTAGAAGGTTACCATAACTTATTTTTCAGGGATTCTAGGAACAAATAGTCCAGGATAATTAGTAAGCAATGCATCATAAAAATGGACAAAATCATTAAACCTTCTAGAAATAATATTTTGATCAACTTGAATCTTATAATAAGCATAACGACCAAGCATTTCTGTATTAATAGCAATATCAATAATTTTAGGAGATGATTATTATTACATAATATATTATACTTTTAATAATTAGTGTTATAATATAAAATAAAATTATGAATGTTAAAATAATAAACCAAGACCTATTAATAAATTCATTATTTTCTTATGTATATTATTTATATAATATTAAAATAAAATATTTTGTTATTATAAAATTTAATAAAATAACAATGATTTACCTAATCAAATATAATTGCCTCATTTAAATTTATTAGAATATGGACTGATTTTATTCATAGTGAAGTAATCATTTGCATAATTGGTTTCTTTACACAATTTTCTAGGATATGTAAATTTGGATGGAGATAGACTATTAGAGTTCTAATTAATTAATTAATAAATATATATACTTTAGAATGCCATCCAAGTTCTTAATTAGAAGTTTAAGGAAATTAATATTTCTGACGAGGAGTTCTATTCATTGTATTTAATTTATCAATAATTTCCTCTAAAATATATATATTATATTACTCTCTAAAGGAGGAGAATCATCAGTAATTTGATTAACATCAAATACTGGTTTTGTAATGGCTCCTGTTTTCTCAAGATGTTTTTACAACATGATACTATTATTAGGTTTCTCTTGGATTATGTATACTAAATTTAGGATTAACAGTTGCAAATACATTTATGTGGGTTGATAGTAAAATGTTCATAAACTTTTAAGTGTTAATTCTCTTTTCTAACTGCTTCTTACCAAATTTTCATTTCCTATATTATAGATATATTTGATACAGCCACTGGACTACGATCTCTTTTATTATTTTTTGCATCTTATTTTGCCATTTTATATTTTAATTATAAAATGATTATTAAGAGAATTAATAAAATATAATAATATATTATAAAAATTTAGTTATGAATCTCAACAAAAGGCTTTATTCAATTTAATCTACCAATACAATTTTTTGCACCACAACTACATTATATTTTTTATGATTCTGCTTCTATTTCAAATTAATAATCATAAGTTAATTCTTCTCCAATTGAAATATCCTTTCTAGCATAAATCAAAATTTTTTCATCTAATAATAAAGAATCACAATTTGGCTATTATTAAAAGAATTAATTACTTGACAACTATGATTTAGAAATCTAGCTTCTGATCCTTTAAATGTTGCATCTATTACTTTAGTTTTTGATGCCCTAAACATATAACAATCTCCAAATCCTTATTCATTATAAGTTAATTCTCTATAATCTGCAAGTGCATTTCTTATAACTTCTCCTGTGTATTCAATTACAAAATCTCCTTTTTTAAAACTAAAAATATAATTAAAAATACTCTTATTTAGTGAATAATCCATATTTATGAATATGTGAAGGTGCAACATAAAGTTTATTCTTTTATTTCTAATTTTTGGATTCTTATTTTAATTTTTTTTCTAATTCTTCTTATTTATCAATTTATTTTAATTCTTCAGTTAATAGATTGGCTTCTTCTAAAATATCATTAGGATTAATAGTAACAATTTTTTATTAAGGATCTTTTCTTGATAATTTACTATTTTAATGTTTAATTGTTGGTAAACTATCATATAACATTGGATGATTATCATAAATAGTATTTTCATTAACTTAAGTTTCAGTTATTACTCTACTAATTTATTATAATATTTGCATTCTTTCATCTAATGGAAGATCTTCAACAAAAGATTATTAATAAAACCATTCTTTAAATTAACTGAATTGACAAACTGAATTACACATTTTTTATATATTTTTAGTATCCAATAATTATTATCTAACTTATTATGTATATAATAAAAAGAATTCTCCTAAATTTTCTGTAAATTCTATTCCTTTTATATTATTATCTTTAAATGAATCAAGTAATTCTTATAAATTTTAAACTTTATATTCTTTATATGGATATTTATCTAATACTAATTTAGTAACTGAAAATTATAATTATCTATTTTTATCACTTTTTTCACATTCTTTGAGAAATTATTACTTATTTACTTCAGCATATTTAATTTTAAATTCTTTCATATTTAATGATATATATAAAATTTTATCTCTTAATGTTAATAAATTTAATTCTTCAAATTATCCTCTTTATTCTGATGGTTTTAAAGCAATTAATATTGTATTAGAATATCTATGAAGAATTGTTTAAGATTTTTTATCTTATTTTTATTATACAACTATTTTTCTCCAAATCATAAAACTTGTTACACATTATTCCTAACTATCAAAACAAGATTAACAATATACTTTTTTACTATTAGTAAATGCCCATTATTCTTTATAACCACAATAAAAATGACATCTTTTTCTACATTTCCCACAAATAATTGAAGATCCAACTTATTGACAATATTCACATTTAAAATTATTATTTTTAAGTAATGCTTTAACAGTTAATTCACATTCTTTACTATCTTCATTCCAAAGAACACAATTAGTATGAACCCAACGTATATCATCAACATATAATAATCTACCACTTACACTACGATTTCCATTTTTTTTACATAATTAACATTAAATTTTATCTAATGGACTTTCTATTAATTGATCTTCATCTAATTATGGAAATTTTTATATATATTCATTTTAAATTATACATTATTCCTTTGGTTATTATTTCATTTCTTATTCTTATTTAATTAAAATTTATTCTGCTTCTTAAATTTTATTATCATATAATTATTTCATTTCTTAAATACATTATTTTATTAATTAATTATTTTATTAATATGATTTTAATTTTTCTGTTATTTAAGTTTCTGAATATTTATCATTCAATTATTTTATATTTTATTTCAAATAATTTGTTGCTATTTTTAACCATCCTTTCTAAACTAAAATATGATCTTTAGCTTATTACTTTTTTAATTCTACCATCTATGAAGTATATTATTTTTTAATTGATCTTACAATTGAATTAGGAATTGGAAGGAATAATAATTATTACTTTTAATTTTATAAGAATTTCATTCTATATAATCGTGAATTTTAATATTAATCCAAAATATTTAAATAATTTGTGTAATATTAATTATCCAGATATTAAAATGAATACTCATATTTTAAATGTTATACAAAACAACATTATAAATCAGTTATAAGACTAATTGTATCTAAAGCAAATCTATTAACTTTATTAAATTCAAATAATGAATTATTTTAACCAAGTATTGTTTATAATGAGAATATAACAAATTGTTTTTTTTATTTAAAGAAATGGATCAATAATTATCTTTCATGAAAATCATTTTCCAATTAAAAATGAACAAATTCTTATCGTTTTTATTATGTAACAGTAAATAATTATCTTGGAGCTTCAAACCAATTATATCTTGCACACCAATATTAAGTCAATTTACCAATATATTCATCACTAATATCTTTATTATTTGTTAAATCCTCTTTTAAATTCTCAATATTTTGTTAATATTAAAAAAAGTTAGATACAAGAGATTCTAATTACTCTAAATTTTCCATAATGAAAGTTTACTAAACTTAATTTAATTGAGGTGCCCATTCCAAAAAATTAGAAACAACAGGAACTACTTTTTTTAATGACTTAGCCTTTATAGTTTATCTTATATTTTATTCTTTAAGCTTTTCTATTTTAAATAATAATTAGGACATGTCTTAAGAACAATCAGAACATATTCCTTCATTATTAATTGTTTTTTTGTTCTTCAATAAACAAGTAACATGATAAAATTATTTACATTTTATACACTATTTGTACTATTTGATTGGCTTGGTTTCTTTATTTAAATATATTTTTTCAATACTCTTTTCTAAAATTATAGATGTCAATGAACTTACATTTTACATCTTAGAAATATAATCTATACAATGATCCAAGTTCTTAATTCTCTATTTCAATACATTCATTAGATTATTAATCATTATTAATTTATATGTACTCTTCACAAAATTAACAAAATCTAAAACCAGCTACATCTAGACCACAACTTAAACAATATTAAAAATTTTAAAAGTATTCAATACTTATATGAACCTAAGATATTATTATAAAATACAGTATTTGATGTTGTTGTTGGTTTAATTTTTGATAATAATTCTGGATCAAATAATTTAGTATTTTAACAATTAGCACATTTAAAACAATTTTTACATTTCCAATAATCTAATCCATCAGTTGGAGCTATAAAATTATTGAAAACACATTAGAAATGATAAAAATCATTACAATTGCAGCAAAATAAATCATTTTTTAAACCATATTTATCACATTCCTTACATTTAACACAATTATTACATGTCCAATTTTATAAGGATTTAATTACTCTTTATTAATGATATTGAGAATTATTAATTTGACAATAAAAATGATATGTTTTATTGCAATTTTCACACATTAATAAATTATTTAGAAATTCATATCCTCCACATGAACAACAAATATATTCAAATAATAATTCAGGACAACCAACTTTCATTGTGAAAGGTTATACTAAACTAACAGTACTTAAATCTTTAATTAACAAGTCTTTTACAATATATTACAACTATGGAGAATCAATTGAATCATCAGTTAATTATGGAGGTTCTAATTTGAATAAATAATCTAAATAAGGATGTCTCTATGTAATTTTATTAATATCAATCTTGATTTTTATTTCTCTTTAAACTTATTACTTTAAAAAATCAATCATATTTAATTTGATTAGTGGTTCATCTTCATTTTCAAAATCTAAATTTGGATTAATAGTCTTTTCCCATTATATTAAATTACTTTTAACATTTCTAGAAGGTACTGGTTATGTAATACTCAATAATTATGGTTCCCATAATGGAATATAATTATTTATTCCTTCAATAGTTACTAAATCTTTTCCACCAAACCCATAATTCAAAAATAATCTAAATGCCATTTATACATTTTCAGAAGTAAATAAATGAATATTATTTTTATATGTTAATAGATCTTCATCTGTTAATTTTAAGTAAGCTCTAAATTATTGAAACAAAATATCATATAAAATTTTTAGAATACTTCCTTTACGATGAGCTTTAGGATTTGATAAATTAAACTCTAAAAAATTAAAACACATTAATTTAATATCTGAGTAGAGTTTTAATTCAGGATTATCTAAATATTCACCCTTTTTATTTTTCTTATGAATAGTATCAAAATCTATAGGATTTTTAATAACTTCTCTATATTTAACAGAACTTGGATCATATTACCATAATAATTTTTCATCATCAAAATATGTTAAATATCTTATTAGTTCACAAAAGATAATTTTCCTTAATTCTATACGACATTTGGGACATCTATAAGAGTCGAAATTAGGTTTACGATCTTTAAATAGAGGTTCACACTTTTTGTGAACATATAAACCACAATCACGACACTCACATATGTTTTCTGCTTTATCCCTTTCAAACATAGATTTTTTGCATAAAATGCAATATTTATTTTTCTCGTATTTAATTAGACATTCATTACATAAAGAATTCTCAATAACTTAAGTAGCACATGAAGTACATGAGTTTGGTAATTTTTTATGTTAAGATTTCTTTTATTTTTATGTCTTCTTCTATTAATCATTATGAGTAGATTATTAAATCATACTACTTTGATGATGAGAGCTACTTAATGCTTATTCTCCAGAACTTTATTCATTAAATGATTAACTAATATTTTGATTATCAGTATAAGTTGATTATTTCTAAACTGCACCTCTTGTTATTTTTACTCCTTTTTCAACCAATTTAAAATATTCCCCATTACTTATATTTAACTATTCACTCATTATTAATTATAAAATATTTATTTATAAAACCAATATAAATTCATATATATTTACTAATTTTGGATTCTCAATAAATATATTATATCCTATTCATATTATAATGAATATAGATTAATTATAATTTTATATTGAATATTCTTTATTATTTTATGAATTTCTTATTAATTCTATTTAAATACATATTTATTGAAATGAAAATACAAATGTAATTTAATTAATATCAAAAAAAGTAAGGATGATTTTTAAATCAATTTAATAGTTATATTAATTATGATATAATCTAATAAGTCTTTTTCTGAAATTAATTAAATAAGTATTTGAAAAAATTTATAATAATATATGATTATAATTATTTTAATAGAATATCTGATTTTATATTTCATGATTTAGGTTTATTTCTTTTTGGAATGTCCTCTGATGATGAATTATTTTGACTAGAACTTTCACTTTCTGATTCATTTTATTAATATTTGATATGTTTTTTTGGCTAAAAATTTAAAGGATTTTTAATACCTATTACTACTTCTATTCTTCATCATCTATTATTAAGAAATGCTAACTAATCAATTCTTTAAGTGCACTCTTTGTTATTCTAACTTTTTCATCTTTTTTCTTTTAAGGTTTTTCAATTACATGAACTACTGAACTATCTGATTCTTATTAATTCACTATTTTCTTTTTGTAAGTTTATTATTTCTTAGGGTTATTACCTTTTTTCAAAATAGTACTTTTCAATAGATTTGAAGTAACACAAGCTAAAACACCATCAGATGACATTACTCTTTTCCTTTTACCATCAATAATATTATCCTAAGAAATCTTTTACATTTAATTAATTTAAATAATAATAATAATATTTTTCATCTTAATAAAAGATTTTAATTATAAAAATAAGTGTTTAATTTGTATTTATATTTTATATATCAATATTGATAAAATAATTAATAATATATGATTGAAGAAAGTAATTATCATTCACAACAAGACAATAAATATTAAAATTAATTAGATAGAAGAAGAAGTAGTGCATAATTTTAAGATGTTTCAACTATGATTAATCCTAATAGTACTCATCTTACTAGAAATGCATCATATTCTATGCCACATGAAAGTCAAATCAATCCTTAAAGTAATTTTAATTAATAATCATAATAGTTCTTGCTAAAATAGCTGCTATGGTACCTTACAATTCAGATAATAAAAAGAAATTTTTTAGAGTGGATCATGTTTTAAAACTTAAAAAGAAACCAGATCCACTTGAAGAAGAACAAGAAAATGAAATAAGAAAGAATTTATAATTATCACCTGAAATAGTGAAAGAAGATTTATAAAACAAACCTTTAGTAGGACCTTAAGCAGTCTAGTTATATTATTAACATTATAAAAAAGTTAATAAGGTTCGTTAATAAAATGATTTCTTTAAAATTTCAGGTAAGAATTAAATGTATAAATAGATAGTGTGTAAACTGCAATGCTTCGTTAAGCAGAATAAATTGATGTATTGCCTTGTAAAATAGGAGTTGTTAAAACAAAAGGAAGTGAATAATCTCTATAAATAAGTCATTAAAAATATGGAGATAGATATGCATCAATGTTAAGTGAAGGATTGAAAGTGAATCCAAATATAAAAGATTTTTATATGGCAAATAATAGAATTTAAAGTTCAGGAGCAACATAAATATTGAATTAAATTGGAAAAGTGGCCAAAGTTTTAGATCTTTAATAAAATAATATAGGGAAAATAGGAACAGATTCAATTTGTTAATAAATTTAATCAAGAGAAAATAAGTAAGAAAAGAGAATTACAATTTTAGATTAGAAGTTTTAAATTTAGAAGATAATAAATTAGGAGATAGAAATGTAACTCGTATTTTAAAGGCCTTATTGAATAGCAATAATAAATTAAAATCATTAAATGTTAGTAAAAATTATTTAACAAATGATATTGCAGAAATATTAAAAGAAAGTATAATTTAATTGGATAATATGGAATAATTATATATACATTGGAATTAAATAAAAGGTTGGGGTGGATAAAAGATATTTGAAGCATTAATAGAGAACAAAACTTTATTGGTTTTTGATGCAGGTTGGAATAGTTTTGGAATATAAGAAAGAAAGGATGTATAATGTATATAGAAGATATGTGATTTTTTAATTACAAATAAGAATGTATTACATTGTGATTTATCATCAAATTAATTTAGTTTAAATGATTGTAAATTAATAGCAAATGCATTAAAATAAAACAGAACTATATATGGATTTCATTTTGTTAATAATTGGGGTATTGTTGATGCAAGAGGATTCTTATAGATACAAGAAAATGAATTATAAAGAGTTTTAGGAGAAACACCTAGAATTAAAGGATTATAATAAACTACAACAATTAGATAAGAGAATGTATGTTGGATATGTGAAGGATGGTAAGAATAGAAATTTATTTGGATACCTGATGTTTCTGGAGAAGGTGAAGCTGATCCTTTATTTATACATTTAGATTTTGAGGCTTATAAATAAGTTTATATTCCAAAAAATTAAGATGAAATATCTTTAACTTTAATGATACCTACTAATACTACTTAATATATTTATACAATGACTGATACATAATTAATTGCTAATGATTAATCAAATATTCCTTATGGACATTAATTAAAAATTAATTACAATAACAATTATATAACTGTTTTAATGGAAAATATAAATTATGTAAAGAAGGATAAACATTTTTTAATATTTGATTAAGTTGAATTTAAACCATAAATAAATGTTCTTCCAAGAACACCAGATCCTGTTTATATTCCTCCAAAATTGAAAAAATAAAAGAGAATATGGACATTTCCAATATCAATATGGGCTAAAGATTTTAAGTTTGAGAATGAAGATTTGTTAAAGAAATGCTTTGAAAAAGATTTTACTTGTAGTAAAATATCCAAAGTTGTAAAGAATCCTGATGAATTGTTAGAAATTAAGAATGTTTTATGGGCACATTATAAATTAATAAAGGAAACTTATAAATAATATAGTTCCAATAGTCCAACTGGAGATATATGGTCAATATCTTCAAATGTTATAACAGAATTTGCATAATAAACTGAATTAATAGATGGAAAAACTTTAAAATTATCTGATTTAGATTTGAAATTTATTGCAACATGTGCAGCTTCAATTGAATACAAAGGAAATTTTAGAAATCCTGAGAGATCATTATGTAGATTCTAATTTATGGAATTTTTAGTTAGGGTTTCTGAGGATAAATATTTAAAAACTAAGGTTGCTAATAATATGTTAGAAGCAACAAAAATGATATTAGAATAATGTAAATCATATATGTCAACATTTGATGCATAGAAATGGAGAAATGAAAGATATTTTAATGAACAATGTGATGATTGTTTAAAATTCTTTAAACCACTATTAAATCATTTATATAATAAATATAGTGTAAAGAAGGTAAAACCAGGTTAGAAGAAATTTATGTGTTTAGATGAAATACATGAAATATGTTCATAAGCTAATTTATATGATGAAAGATTTGTTGAAAGAGATGCTGATAATGTAAATATATAATTTAATTTAGGCTTTTAATTTATCTATGATGCTTTAAGTTGATGAATTAGAAAGTGATAGAATATTTTAAATGACTTTTATTGAATTTTTAGAAGCAGTTGCAAGAATAGCTGATAAAGTTTCAATGCCAGGAATTGATGCAGTTGATTTGACTTGGGATCAAAGAGTTTCTTAACCACTTCATTTGAAATTAGAAAAGATTTTAATACATTTAGCTAATACTTGTGCATCAGAAGAATTTAAATTACAATATGGAAATATTAATAAATCAATGTTTGCAATTGTTGAAGAAGATGATTGATATTCAATTAATTTATCTTTTTAATACCATAATATTGTTATAATATCATATTGGATGAGCTATCTTTTCTAAATATCTAAAGTAATAAACAAAAATCATTAATGGTTAACCAATAAAACAAAAAGTCATCCAAAACATTAGATTTCCCAATTAAGAGTCTTATAATTTAAGTAACTAATTATATTATCTAATATTTACCTTCTCTAATTTCTTTTATAATAACATAAATGGTGCTTATGCAAACATTCCTACAAATGCCCAAGCCTCTATAACACCAATTGATGCACTTACAATATATTCATGACCTAAAGCTGATACTAAGAATACTATCATATTTGAAGTAGTTCTGCTCATACCAGATTTTAGACATGGAAAATATATATGTCCTATTTTTATTATAATATTATACTAACTAACCAATGATGGACAGGCAAATTCCATAATCTCCAATATTCTTCAAGATTTTTACAGTTCCACCAATCTTTATAAAATTCTCTATCTGCAAATCTTAAAAGTTCTGCTGTGATATTTAAAAAACATTAAAATTATCCATAAAATAATGCTATCCACATATAAGTATTGGGTATGGCTAACTTTAATAATCTATCAACAAGAATCATCAAAGTTGGAGCCTTTGATAACATTTTATATGTATTCTCGACTAATGGCTCTGTGTATTGGAACCAAATAATTACTAAAAAGAGAATAACAAAAATGTATTCAATTATTCTCTTGATTAACCAAACTTTTCTAATTGATTATGTTCTAGGGTATGATAATTAGAAACATAATGTAGGAGCAGCTAAAAAATATAAGAAATGTTTAAAATCTAATATTTTAGATTAATCTTAAGAGTATTTTTCTAAAATCTTTAGATTTTCATTGTTGACTTCATATTCAGCAAAGAAATTATCAAGTGGTACTTTCTTATTTTTTACTAATTTTATTCTTTAAATATAAAAGTAAGTATTTCTTAAAAAATGAGCATAACTTATCAATTTCATAAAAACTATGAATTAAACACCTAAAAAATTCAAATTTAATCCTGGATGTGATCCTTAAATTAAATAACAAGGTATTATAATAGTCAATACAATATTTATAATATTAAAAGCTCTAATAATGCCTGTATTAATATCTCTTTTAAATTATAAATATTGAATTCCAAATCCAGTCAATACATTAATTAATAACATTAATAAAGCTTACATAATTGGATTACCATTGATATGCATCATCTCAAACTTCCAAAATACATTTGTTATTAGCAAACCATACTTTTAAAAATTCTCGAATATTAATCTAATATGATTAGCTATTAATATCAATATTGCCAGATTTAATATTCCTCGAAAATTCTATTCTGGTGATTCTGTACTTAATAATGATGTTCTTTCTTTTCTTACTGGTTGATATGCCAATGGACCCATATACTTTGTATAGGTTTTCCTTGAATTTATCTAAATATCATGAGATTGATTTACATTATGTTGTAAATAAGACATCCTTTTTTTGTCTATAAACTTAATTGCTATAATTTTTGATTCATCTTTCTAACTTACAAATGTAATCGTTCTTATTTAATATAATCATTTATACAATTATGCTTCATCAATAATTGGTTAACATTTATCAAAAAGAAGAGAGAAAAGAATTAAGTTCTCATTTTCTAAGACACATAACTTATGCTATTCACATCTAAGGATAAAGGGCTTAAAGTCATCCCTAACTAATTATGTTAATTTATCTTATGCATCAGAAATAAGCAATTCAGGATTATAGACCTTTATCATTATTATATTATTGATTCAATTAATTTCTCTCTCAATTATTGGAATATCTCTAAAGTCAATTCACTTGAATGGTTGTAATTCAAGAACACTTATAAACTCAATTTCTTAGCCAACGAACGAGCAAGTGTATGCACCATTTCAGTTTAATTGTCAATGATATCTATCACAGTGGGAAGTTGATCATAAGGTGTAGCTATTGCAAGTACTAAAGACTCTGTTCCTTACATATCTTGATCAAATAGATTGATAAGGACTTGATCAGGCATTCTTGTTGTTTGTATAAACCATTTAATTTCATTGATTTGAAAAGCACTTTATTTTACAATCATTTTATTTTATATAAGGGTCACACATATATTTATTAATTAAATTTACTACTTGATTTAAGATTAACTATATTATTATGATTATTATTTGTAATTGTGAATATTATTGATAAGAATTTAATAACAATAAATATGAGTATCATAATATTCTACAAAAAAGAAATAATTTATTGAATTAAAAGATTAACAGATTTTGATAAATAATTTTGATAATAAAAATAGATTACAAATAAATAATTTAATACAAAAATATGTCAATTTCAAAAAGAAGTGAAAAATTAAGTTAAAAACAAATTGAAAACAAATGGATTGATAAAGTAGTTTGTAAAAATTATAGAATTCTTAGTCCATTAAATTCTGGTTTAAATTTTTCATTAATTTTATAGGTTCCTTTGGTCATATCTACTTAGCAATTCATCAAATTAAACAAGAATATTATGCAGTTAAGATATTATCAACAGGAAAAAATCCAATACTTACTAAATCTGTAAAGAATGAAGTAGACGTACTTTATAAATTAAATGGACATATTGGATTTCCTCGTTTATATTATTTTATTTAGAATGAAACTGAAAGCTTTATAGTATAAACTTTATTAGGATAAAACTTGTATTAATTATTAATGTAAACTCCAAAAAAAGTATTTTCTTTAAAAACTGTTCTGATGTTCTTAGATTAAGCAATAGAAAGATTATAATATTTACATATGAATGATTATATACATAGAGATATAAAACCAGAGAATTTTATGACTGGTTTAAAGGAAGATGAGATATATCTAATTGATTTTGGATTTGCATCAAAATATAGAGAATAAGGTTAGCATATAGAGAGATAGAAAAATGAAAATATAATTGGAACTCCAAGGTATTTTAATGATTAACTTTGATAAGCCTAGATTTTGCCCAATCTGTTCTCATTTGAGCTTATCTTAAAATAGAGCTAGTGATTTAGAAAGTTTAGGATATTTAGCTATTTATTTTTTAAAAGGTTCATTACCATGGATGCATATTCATGCAGAAACTCCAGAAGAAAAAATAAAATTAATTGGATAGAAAAAGATGAATACATCTATAGAAGATTTATGGTAATTTAATAATATAAATAAAATATAGTATTGGATTACCTAAAACATTTGAAGATTATTTTAAATATATTTAAAATATTTCATTTGATGGAGATCCAAATTATGAATATATTTAATAATCTTTTAAGAAATTATATTAAACTTTAGGATATCCATTTGATCAAAAATTTGAATGGAGTAAAGAAGAAATAAGAAATTCTTAAGATAATGAGAAAAATACAAAATAATAGTAATTTTTAGATGTTGGAAGGAAATCATTTACAGCTGATGTTAATATAGAAGAAATACCATCATAAATATAAAAAAAGTATAATATAAATTATAATTATAATTAGAAAAATAGAGAGAATTCATCATCTAAAAATTTAAGAAGATTTATTCTTGATTACTGATTTATAATAAGATGAAATCTAAGAATTTGAACCAGGACATACATTATTCGAATAAATGCAATAGATAAATCAATAAAATTTAAAGAAATACAAATGAATAAAAATTATATATTCTGTTATGAGATAAAATATTTCATTTCAACCATAAACAGATGACAAAAATGTTTTTCAATCTAATTCTTCCAATATATATGGTACAGGCAGATTTGGAGATATTAGACCTAAAAATATTACATTTTAAGGTAATGACAGTTAACATAACATGATTTTTGATCCAAATAAGGTTTAATCATCTTAACATATGACATTCTATAAATAAAATGATAGTAATAGATAATCAGGAGCTAAAATAGGATCTTAAATAGATTCATAACAAAAAGGATTTGCATTTTCATAAAGTCCAAATCCATTTTATTAATAATCAGAACCTTAAGAAAAATAATAATTTAGTAGTTAAGGATCTGAAAAAAAGAAAGGAGCATCTGATAAGTATTTTAAAAATGGAAATCATTAATATTAGTTTTAAAATAAAAATTATCAATAAACAAATTCTGAAGAGAGAACTTGTGAATAACATGGAAATATAGCTAAATTTATTTGTACAACTGTTGGATGTTTGGTTGGAGGTTTATGTGAAGAATGTTAACATTAATGTCCTAATATAACTGATATTGAAGATTATTTTAGAGTTTTAGAATTGAAATTAGCAAATTAATAATTAGATGTAATATAAAATGAAAAATTTAAATCTCTTTCTTCAATTAGAGATTATTTTAATTAAATTAGATAAGAAATAATAAATCAAATAGATGAATTAGAAATCAAATTTATTACTAAAGTTATTAATGAAACTAGTTTTAATATAGAATTACCTCATTAATTTGTTTAAGAGTTATTTGAAACAAATTTAATAGATCTTACTAAATAAACTTCATAACTTTCAAAACTTATATATAATGATTATTTAAAAGTTTCTGAATTTAGTAAAATCTTTGTTTCTGATTAAAATAGATTCCAAAAAAAGTTATTAAAGAATGTTTAATTACTAAATTAATTATTTAGTAATTTTATATATTGTTGTGAATAATAGGTTTATAGTATTATAAATATTTTAGCTATTAAATTGTGTAATAGATAATTCAGAATTAAATCTATAATTAATTGATTAGTAATCATAGTTTCATTAAAGTAAAACATATGAAAATCAAATGAAAAATTTGAAATCATATAAAACAATATAAAATAAATCTAAAAATATAGCTGATATTTGTTTAATATCAAATTCTATGTTAGCTTCAGCAGAAGAAAATGGTGAAATAACTCTTTGGAAATTACCTTATTTTGTTTAATTACATAAATTTTAACATGGTGTTGAATGTATATCATTAGCTGCAATTAAAGATAATTAAAATACATAATTTCTTTTAAGCGCGTAAAAATTCAATTTTATATTAGAGGAAAAGATAAAGATGAATATTAAATTTATTTATGGAATGTAGATCTAAGATCTAGAGTAGGTGATGTAATTGGTCATTCTAAATAATTAAGAAAAATTGTGCCTTTGTCTTATTCATAAATTGCCTGGTGTTAAGATGATTCAAAAATAAGAATCTGGAAATTAAATGAAAAAGAGTTAGCACATGAACTTAATGTTCATTCTGCTTGGATTAATGATTTATGTAAAATATCAAGAACTTAAATTGCTTCTTGTAGTAGAGATTATACTGTAGCTGTAATAGATTATTTAACTGGAAAAACTAAATTTATTATTAAAGATGTCACTTATGTAAATTGTGTTACATCAATCAATAGTGAATTATTTGCATTTGCTAATTATAATGGTTAAGTAAAAATTTATTAAGTTGAATAACCATAATTAATATAACAGATATAAGTATCCATGAATTGGATTGAAACTAATAGCATTTGGTATTTATGTAGAATTAGTAATGATATTCTAGCTGTATAATAGGCAAATGGTGAAACAAATATCATTACTCTTGATTAAAGAAAAGAAAAAATTATCAAAACTATTTAATAAACAAAGAACACAAAATAGAATGCCCAAACTATGATGTTCATTAACAACTTCAAATTTTTAGTAATACCTCAACAAGGAGAAATGTAAGTTTTCCAATGATTATGTATATTTCATTTTAAAATCTGTATCAATTCTTCAATGTCTGTTGGACTTAAAATTATTGGTATATCTAAACATTCCACATCATCAGTTATTGTAATGACCTGATTTTCAAAATGACTTTCACCAAAAAAGGAAACTTCTATCCCATCATCCATTTCTATTGATTTAATTTTAAAATTCTAAAGTTTATCTGTTATCTCAGCATGACTACCACATAATTCTACGTTATCACCACTGAAATAACATTCTGAATATAAATTAACACACTTTTAAGTTTTTTCATCATTATCATCTCCTAAATTCTGATTTTTATTATTAATATCTTTATTTTAATCTCCATTACCATTATTATTTTCTGATCCTTAATCCTTATTACCTTGATTATTATCTTTTCCATCATTATCTTCATTATTCCCATCTTATCCTTATCCTAATTAATTATCTTTTCCATTTTCAGAATTATCTCCTTTATTAGAATCAGTTCCATCTTTATTTCCATCTTTGTTTCCTCCATCTCCATTTCCATTTCCATCTCCATTTCCATTTCCATTTCCATTTCCATCCCCATTTCCATTTCCATTACCATCCCCATTTCCATCTCCATCTCCGTCTCCATTATTAGAACTATCACCTTAACCATCTTTTTTTCCATTTCCATTTTCATTATCATCTCCATCTTGACCATTTCTATTACCATCATCATCATTATCATTCATAGTACCATTTTATTCTTTATCTCCTAATCCATTATCACCCTTTCCTTTATCATTTTCTTAATCTGTTAATAAATCATTATTATTTGATAAAGATCCATTCTATTTTAATTCAGAATTATCTAAATCTTCTATTTTTTTATTAAAATCATCTCCCGATTATTATTAATGGTCTTTTAATGATGATTATTTTTATTTTTCATTATTATCTTTATCCTTTAAACTACCTCTTGATTAAGTAGCTTTACCATTTGCTTAAGGTTATTTTTTAGATTATTTTGAACCAGATTTTGTAGATTTTTTTTTGTTAGCACTTTTAGGTTTGCATTATTTATTTTTTGGTGGTTATTAGGATTCTATTAATTCAATAAATTCAGTGATAAAATTGAATAAATTCTAAGCATCTCTAAGTTCTGTTTCTGTTCCATATATAATATATATGAGAAATTATTCTTATTGTATATTTGAGAATTCAATTATTTGATTGTTTTCTTGTTATTTTTATGATACAACTTCATTTACTCTTGGATAAATTACTAATCTATTTTAACTATCAGTTTTAATATTCATTCCTCTATAATTCTCTTATTCAAACATTACAATTTAAGGATTAGTTTATTCTTTATTAATCAAAAATTTTATATTTTCTCTAACATCAACTGCTAAAATAGCTAATTTAGATGTAATTATAGTAAAGTATTGCTTAGTATAACTATTATCAAAAGTTTCTTAACTTAACCATCCGTTTGTTAAAGAAATAAATTATTTTCCATTTAATTGAACTTATTATAGCTAAAAAGCATCGATTGGGTTATTTGAATCTTATATAAAACCATCTAACAAGTCTAAATTATCTTAAACCCAATTATGGAAGTCTTATAAGAATGTCTGTCCAGAACTAATAACAAATAATATTAATAAGAATATTTTCATATTAAAAATTAATTCGTTTTGATAATTTATAATTAATTGAATTAAGGCTGTTGTAAATAGTTTAATAATAAATATATGGATATATAATATAATAAAAACATATATACATTTTATCTGAATTATAATTAAGTTTTGTTTGTGATTTTATGAAATAAATGTATCAATTAATATTTTTATAATATTAAAATATTTAATATATTTGATGATAAAACAATATAATAAATTAATGATAGAATAACCAAAATAATATTAAAATATTTGAATATAAAACTCAAAGTTTATCAATATAAATAATAATTATGAAATTGTTATATATATATTACTCTTATAAAGTATTAATTAATTTTTATATTTACTATTCTGATAACTTCTATATCTACTATATCTTCTATAATAATTAGTGTATTCATTTGATTAAATTGTAATAGTTTATTATAGGATTTATTGGGATGATTATAAAAATTTGATTATATTATAAAATAAAAATTTGGAAATGCAAAGTAATTACATTATTAAGATGGATAGATTATAAACTAATTACTAAGAAAGGAGAAGGCACATTTTCAGAAGTTATAAAGGCTTAGTCTATAAAAACAAGTTAGTTAGTTGCTATTAAATGCATGAAACAAGTTTTTTAAACAATTGATCAAGTATTTAATTATTTCTAATTTTTGGTTAACAAATTGAAGGAAATTCAAGCATTAAGAAAGTTATAAAATCATGATCATATAATAAAATTAATAGAAGTGTTATAGTAATAATTAATTAATAATATATTTAGTGATGAACCCACTGGGAGATTAGCTTTAGTATTCGAATTAATGGAATAAAACCTTTATGAACATATTAAGGGTATGAATCTTATCTAATTAAATAGGTAGAAAAGTATCATTAAAATAAGACAAAATAAGAAGTTATATGTATTAATTGCTCAAAGCAATAGATTTTATGCATACAAACAATATATTTCATAGAGATATTAAACCGTAATACTATTTTTCAATATTTAGTGAGAATATTTTACTTTTAAATGATCATCTAAAATTAGCAGACCTAGGATCTTGTAAAGGCATATATTCTAAACATCCATATACAGAATATATATCTACAAGATGGTATAGATCACCTGAATGTTTAATGACAGATGGTTATTATGATAGTAAAATGGATATTTGGGGAGCAGGATGTGTATTATTTGAAATTACTGCATTATTCCCTTTATTTCCTGGAAGCAATGAATTAGATTAAGTTCATAGGATACATAACATTTTAGGGACTCCAAATCCTAAGGTGCTTGATAGATTTAGGAAACATGCATCACATATGGAAATTAATTTCCCTTCTAAAGTTGGAACTGGTTTAGAAAATCTAATTCCACATGCTCCTAAAGATTTAGTTGATTTAATTAAACAAATGTTAATTTATGATCCAGAAGAGAGAATCAATGCAAAATAAGCACTTAGACATCCATATTTTAAAGAATTAAGAGATTAAGAATAATAGAAACTATTAGAAACAAGTCTATAATCAATCAAATTACTTAAAAAACAGTATTTATTAATATTAATTAAAATAGTGGTGATGATTCCCTTATTGAAGAAGAATAAAATACCTCTCACATATTACATAAAAAGACTTTGTTCAATCAAACAAATAAAATATTATAAAATTCTTTTAAAACTAGAAATTAATAGCTTTTAGATTCTGTAAAATTACCTACACTTACAAAAAAATAAGCAGATTTGAAAAAAGCTTATGGACCTGGTCATTTTTAAAGTATTATGAAATTCTATTTAATAGATAAAGAAACAAAAAAAAAGTCAGTATAATACGAATATGTTTTATATGGTAAAAAAGCAAATCTAGGTAATTTTTTAAATACTATCAGACAAAAATGAATAATATATTGATCTTATATTATTTTTTAAATTATTTAATATTCAATGAGAAAAGTAACAGCAAAAGTATTAGTTGTCGGTAGCTCTGCAGTTGGTAAATCTGCTCTAATCTAATTGTATACTACTGGAGAAGTCAATTTTTTAAAGGATTATCAATTAGTATCACTTCAATTTCATAATAATAGACTCAAATAGCTGAAATATCTACAAAATTGATTCCATTTGAATCTGAAGAAAAAGATGTCGAATTATACTTATTTGATATAGCAGGATCTGAAATCTATGAATAAGCAATTTTAAAATCCAACATAGTTAAATTTAAATAATATTATTCAAGTTAAAAGACGCCAACTTTGTTTTCTTATGTTATGACATGACCAAAGAGACTACATATGAGGCAGCTAAAGAATGGTTTGAGAGAGTCACTAAAGCTAATGGAAAGAAATTGCCAGGTGTTTTAGTTGCAATGAAATCAGACTTATAAGCAATCAGAAAGATAGAAAATAAATAAGGAATGCAATTAGCAAATTAATTGGGATTATCATTCTTTTCATTATCAACAGTAAATTATTATTTTTATTAAAATAGGCACGTAATCAAGACATTGATCACCCTTTTTAGCATATAGCGTAATAGTTAATTAAATGATATTAAATATTTTAATAAATGGCTAACATAATAGACATATTTAAAAAAGAAATCAAATAAAAAACACAAGAGCAAGATGGCAAATTAATGGAGTTTGATCTTGACAATATTAAGATTGTTAAATTAGACAGATAAGCAGCTGAACTTCTTGAATCTTAAAGTCATCTAGAATCTTTAAGTCTTGTAGAGTGCTCCTTAAAAACACTTGAGGGATTTCCTAAATTACCAAATTTATAGAATTTGGTATTGGAAACTAATTAATTGGAGGGAGATGCAATTAAATTCATTGCCAATACATATCCAAAATTATTGTGTTTAAGTTTAGCTGAAAACTAAATCAAAACATTTGATGTATCTTATTAAGTTTATCATTAGGATTTGGAGCCAATTAAATAATTGAAAAAATTACAACAATTAGATTTATCAGATAATCCTATTGCTAAATAATAAGGATACTTCTAAAAAGTGTTTGATTTAGTACCTGGATTGTAGATATTAGATAACAAAGATAAAAATGGAAATGATATTTAATATAGTGATGATGATGAAGAAGGTGCAGCAGGAGATGATTCAGATGAATCAGATAATGAAATAGATGATGACGATGGTGATTTAGATGATGATGAAGATGAAGAAGAATCAAGTCCAAAACCAACTAAAAAAACAAAATAATGATAAATTTATAAGATTTTTTGGTCCAATAAATTTTTATTTCATTTTATTTAATGTATTATTAAATCATCTTTTTGCTCTTTATAATATATTTTTTAAATTATTTATTTTATTATCCAAATCTGTAGCATTACCAGATTTCCTTTCATATTAATGCACCTACTTTATTGGCTATTTATAATTATTAGCAGATTAATTTGTTCGTTATTTAACTTATTATTATTACTGAATTTTATGTTATTAATAATTTTATCTAGGTGGAGAAGGCTATCTAAATATATTATTTCTTCCAGGAGACGGTTTCTATTAAACTATTGGAGATGCCCTATTAGGAGTGGGTTTCATCTATTATTGGGGTCTGGCTGGAGAAGGTTTCTTCTATATTGGTTATTTATTCAATGGAGATGTATTATAAAACTTAGGTTTCTGATATGCAGCCTAAGAATTTAAATTTATATTACTGAATTTTGAGTAGAAGTACGTGAATTCTTGCTTAAAGCTGGAGATGCCTGTCTTACATTAGGAGAAGCATTTCCAGATGAATTATTTGAATTTAATCTATTTGGAACTGAATAATTAGATTTTCTGCTTCCATTTGAATGATTACTATATGGAGAATAAAGTCTATCAGTAACTCCTTTGTAACTAAACTTTTTCATTGATTAAGATAATTCAGTTTCTAATTGATTTATTCTTCTCTTTTATACTGCGTCTTATTTCTTTAACGAATCTATTTATCTATGATTTTATCAATTACATACTAATTAAGGCCTTCAACTTCTTTTTCATATTTTTGTATTGTTTTTTAAGCTTTCACTAATTTACTTTCTTCTTCTTCATTCATCAACCTTATATGATCTTTGATTCTAGTATCCATTTCTACTTTGCCAATTAATTATGTCAATTCTTTCTTAAATGCATTTATCTAATCTTTATTAACTTTATATGTACTTCAGCCATTTACATTACTATTTCTGTACTTTTTTAATTCAGTTATTGTTCTAATTTTAAAATTTTATCTTCATATAATAATTTAGAAGTATTTAACATATTTTACAAATCTTCATTATCTCGAACTAATTAATCTACTTCAACTGCTCCCTTTTTTTAAGTCAAAGCTTCCTCTAATCTCTTTACTTTTGCTTTCAATAATTCATTTTAATTAACTAAAGAATCAGGAGTTTAAATATCCCTTTTACTTTTAGAAAATGAATTAGATGCTTAAAATTCTGCATCATTTGATTTTTAAAGTTTGTAATCAAAGAGTTCTGTTTTTAGATTCTGAATTTTAGTCATTAATCTAGAATTTTCAATTTATTCCTCATAATTTAAAGCCAAAGGATAATGAATTTTTTCAAAATCAGTTTAATATGACAAAATTAAATATCGTTTATTGACTTTCTAATTAGTTGATGATGTTCTAGACATATTATTTTGATCTTATTATTTCTATTATTTAAGATTCTCAAGATCTTGGTATGTTAAAATTTCAAATAAAACCTATTTAAATTATAATTATACATTATCATTAGTTTTTTGTAATGCAGTTTATAACATGGAGAGAAATATATTGAATTTTTTTGGATTTCCTGTTTTACGAGTAAGTTCTTCAATATAATCAATGGTATAAGTATTTTTCCATATTTGAGGTTCATATTTGGATTCTAATTCTATGTAACTAAGATTTATTAATTATTTATACAGTAAATGATCACTAGCTTACATACTAATTATGTATTCCATTCCTTAAAGAATGATGTCTGTTTCTAATTATATTTTTGGATTATCTAACATTATAATTGAAAAAAAAAATAATAATACAAAACAAAATTTCAAAATTAGAGTTCTTGATATTTTTTAATTGTGAAAGAAGGAAATAAAGTTTACTATTTTGTTTATTTTTTTTGTAATAATTATGTAAATTATAAGCCTTAATTTTCACCTTTTAAAAAGTCAATTAATTTTTACTTTCTTGACTTTTACTATTCCTATTTATTAGATGTTTTGTATTTTTTTGGACTATTTTTATTTGATTATAAAATTAATAATTCTTCATTTGTTGAATTAAGATTATCATTTGAATTCTAAGCAATACTAAAATTCTTTAATTATCTAAAATGTTTTTTAATTTGTTTAGTATTATTTTTCATATTTTATTCCATTTATACATTATCAATTGTAAAAGTAGGAGTTTGATTAGGTTCAATCATGAGAGATTTTCTATTTGTGATACTAGGTAATACATATTGTTAGTTTATTATTATATTCTTACGAACAGAATTACTGATATTATGATATGATGCAAATCTTGAACTTTCAATAGAATTCTTTAATCTATTTGTTGTATCTTTACAAGAGTCAGGTACAACAAAAGTATTCAAAAATTGTTTCAATTTGAATACTGGTTTAATAGTAGGATTAGATCTTGTATTTGTTAACATTAATTAATTTATTATTATTATATTTCTAATATAAATGTTAAACATCAACGGGCTGATATGACTAGATCATCAATCTTAAGAATCATTCTAACACATTCTGTAGCCAAACTCAATGCACTTCTTGTTACTAAAATTGGTTAAACTACTTATTCAGTTGTAATATCATCTACAATATTATTCTTAAATTCATATTAAATAATAATTACTTTCTTCATTCCTATTCCTGCAAATTTTTATGATTTAAGATGTCTATTTCTTAACTCAGTAACTACATTTATTGGATTCAATCCTATAGATTGAGTATAAACTTTGTTTACCCGCATTTTCTGCAAGAGTATAAGGAATCACTTCAAGTGCTTCAGCAAATGCTCTCACACACATAGATCTTGCACCTGTTAAAGTATTAGCCTTTTAAGTTAATTTTAATGATAAATGAATTTCAGGTGCTCCTCCTCCTGGAATTAAACCTTTGCTTTTAACAAGACTTCTAACAACACATAATGCATCATGAATGCTTCTATCAGCTTCATCTAAAACTAATTAATTTGATCCTCTAACTAAGATTGTTAAAGCTTTAGATTATGCAGGCATTCCAGTAATTCTTAATACTTTACTTTCATCATTCAAGAAAACTGTTTCAACAAGTCCAGCATTTCCTAATTTTTCTGGAGTCAATTAATCTATATGTGCAACTGGTACTAAACATAAAGTCTATGATAATAATTATAAATATATAAATATACCTTTGATATAAATTCAACATCCTCTCTTTCAATATCTTTTACTACCATAATACCTTTCTTTGCTAAAAAGTGTAATGAAAGATCATTTACTGCATCTCTTAATATACTTTTTTGTATTAATAATACATTTGCACCTGATGCTACTATCTTTTTTACAAGATCTATAATATATTTTCTTTCTTCTTTCAATATTTTATCCATTTCTGTATAATCTTTAATTGCAATAGAATTCTCAACATCTGTTTTTGGTGCTGATAAACAAAATTAAAGAAGTGCAACTTTAGCATTTTCTATTTTTTATGGTCCTCCAGCTGTTTAACTTGCTTTTTAATTAGAGAATACAATTCCTTCAACTAATTCAGTATCATCAATTGTGCCTCCTAATTTTTTAACAATTTTAATATCTTTAAGATCAACATTATCAGGTTTAAGAGGGTCAACAATTCTCAAAACTGCATCTACAGCAAGTGGAGCCAATTATGCACTATTAGATGAAACCACTTTTGATGAAAGTGCTGTTTACACACATTCAATCAATTATTATTTATTGTCTAGATCTACAGGTTTTTTTAATTCATCTAAAGCTTCTAGTGCATTTTCTAAAGCATATTGAAATCCCTCTGAAATAGTGGTTGGATGTATTCCTTTCTCTAAAAGGACTTCACATGATTTCAATAATGCTCCTGCAAATACTACAACTGAAGTAGTTCCATCACCAGCTTCAACATCTTAAGCATGAGAAATTTCAACTAGCTTTTTTTAATATTGAATAGATTACCATTTTTGCAGTAGGATGAACCAAATCCATTTATTTGAGAATAGTGGCTCCATCATTTGTAATGAGTACTTCACCTTTGGCATCTTAAATCATTTTATCCATTCCTCTAGGTCCTAGACTTGTTCTTATTGCATCAGATACAGCTTAATATATATGTTGGATTGTTTACCTTTAGCAGCTTAGATATTTGTTAATCTGATATCTTTAGTTTTTTCTGATTTATTAAATGTATTGGCCTTTTATTATTATGATTATGATGCCTATGNGAGTATAAGGAATCACTTCAAGTGCTTCAGCAAATGCTCTCACACACATAGATCTTGCACCTGTTAAAGTATTAGCCTTTTAAGTTAATTTTAATGATAAATGAATTTCAGGTGCTCCTCCTCCTGGAATTAAACCTTTGCTTTTAACAAGACTTCTAACAACACATAATGCATCATGAATGCTTCTATCAGCTTCATCTAAAACTAATTAATTTGATCCTCTAACTAAGATTGTTAAAGCTTTAGATTAAACAGGCATTCCAGTAATTCTTAATACTTTACTTTCATCATTCAAGAAAACTGTTTCAACAAGTCCAGCATTTCCTAATTTTTCTGGAGTCAATTAATCTATATGTGCAACTGGTACTAAACATAAAGTCTATGATAATAATTATAAATATATAAATATACCTTTGATATAAATTCAACATCCTCTCTTTCAATATCTTTTACTACCATTATACCTTTCTTTGCTAAAAAGTGTAATGAAAGATCATTTACTGCATCTCTTAATATACTTTTTTGTATTAATAATACATTTGCACCTGATGCTACTATCTTTTTTACAAGATCTATAATATATTTTCTTTCTTCTTTCAATATTTTATCCATTTCTGTATAATCTTTAATTGCAATAGAATTCTCAACATCTGTTTTTGGTGCTGATAAACAAAATTAAAGAAGTGCAACTTTAGCATTTTCTATTTTTTATGGTCCTCCAGCTGTTTAACTTGCTTTTTAATTAGAGAATACAATTCCTTCAACTAATTCAGTATCATCAATTGTGCCTCCTAATTTTTTAACAATTTTAATATCTTTAAGATCAACATTATCAGGTTTAAGAGGGTCAACAATTCTCAAAACTGCATCTACAGCAAGTGGAGCCAATTATGCACTATTAGATGAAACCACTTTTGATGAAAGTGCTGTTTACACACATTCAATCAATTATTATTTATTGTCTAGATCTACAGGTTTTTTTAATTCATCTAAAGCTTCTAGTGCATTTTCTAAAGCATATTGAAATCCCTCTGAAATAGTGGTTGGATGTATTCCTTTCTCTAAAAGGACTTCACATGATTTCAATAATGCTCCTGCAAATACTACAACTGAAGTAGTTCCATCACCAGCTTCAACATCTTAAGCATGAGAAATTTCAACTAGCTTTTTTTAATATTGAATAGATTACCATTTTTGCAGTAGGATGAACCAAATCCATTTATTTGAGAATAGTGGCTCCATCATTTGTAATGAGTACTTCACCTTTGGCATCTTAAATCATTTTATCCATTCCTCTAGGTCCTAGACTTGTNGAGTATAAGGAATCACTTCAAGTGCTTCAGCAAATGCTCTCACACACATAGATCTTGCACCTGTTAAAGTATTAGCCTTTTAAGTTAATTTTAATGATAAATGAATTTCAGGTGCTCCTCCTCCTGGAATTAAACCTTTGCTTTTAACAAGACTTCTAACAACACATAATGCATCATGAATGCTTCTATCAGCTTCATCTAAAACTAATTAATTTGATCCTCTAACTAAGATTGTTAAAGCTTTAGATTAAACAGGCATTCCAGTAATTCTTAATACTTTACTTTCATCATTCAAGAAAACTGTTTCAACAAGTCCAGCATTTCCTAATTTTTCTGGAGTCAATTAATCTATATGTGCAACTGGTACTAAACATAAAGTCTATGATAATAATTATAAATATATAAATATACCTTTGATATAAATTCAACATCCTCTCTTTCAATATCTTTTACTACCATTATACCTTTCTTTGCTAAAAAGTGTAATGAAAGATCATTTACTGCATCTCTTAATATACTTTTTTGTATTAATAATACATTTGCACCTGATGCTACTATCTTTTTTACAAGATCTATAATATATTTTCTTTCTTCTTTCAATATTTTATCCATTTCTGTATAATCTTTAATTGCAATAGAATTCTCAACATCTGTTTTTGGTGCTGATAAACAAAATTAAAGAAGTGCAACTTTAGCATTTTCTATTTTTTATGGTCCTCCAGCTGTTTAACTTGCTTTTTAATTAGAGAATACAATTCCTTCAACTAATTCAGTATCATCAATTGTGCCTCCTAATTTTTTAACAATTTTAATATCTTTAAGATCAACATTATCAGGTTTAAGAGGGTCAACAATTCTCAAAACTGCATCTACAGCAAGTGGAGCCAATTATGCACTATTAGATGAAACCACTTTTGATGAAAGTGCTGTTTACACACATTCAATCAATTATTATTTATTGTCTAGATCTACAGGTTTTTTTAATTCATCTAAAGCTTCTAGTGCATTTTCTAAAGCATATTGAAATCCCTCTGAAATAGTGGTTGGATGTATTCCTTTCTCTAAAAGGACTTCACATGATTTCAATAATGCTCCTGCAAATACTACAACTGAAGTAGTTCCATCACCAGCTTCAACATCTTAAGCATGAGAAATTTCAACTAGCTTTTTTTAATATTGAATAGATTACCATTTTTGCAGTAGGATGAACCAAATCCATTTATTTGAGAATAGTGGCTCCATCATTTGTAATGAGTACTTCACCTTTGGCATCTTAAATCATTTTATCCATTCCTCTAGGTCCTAGACTTGTTCTTATTGCATCAGATACAGCTTAATATATATGTTGGATTGTTTACCTTTAGCAGCTTAGATATTTGTTAATCTGATATCTTTAGTTTTTTCTGATTTATTAAATGTATTGGCCTTTTATTATTATGATTATGATGCCTATGGTGGTTGACTCATATTTGAAAAAATAAATTTGTTTTATTTAATTTCTGGAAATAAATGTACATATTAATATATTGGATCAAGCTCTATTTGGATAAAGGAATACTCTCAAAGTAGATCCTATGGCTCTTGGTGGAAGATTTCTATTGAAACGAGCAATCACAACTCCATTTGATCCATGTGATTTGCTAATTCTACCCCATATAGTCTAAATAAATTAGGATAATGAATTACTCTAAATTTAGTGTTGTTCTTAAGAGAGTGAGCCTTGTAGATATATGCTACTCTTTTGCCCCAATAAAATCTGCTAGATGAGACATCATCAACATGTTAAATCTTTAATAATGCTTAATTCTCGTTTTATTAAACTTTAGATCTTCTGAAACCAGTGAAAGCAGCCTTAACCCATAATCTTTTTCAAATATTCAATGTACCTAACTGGTGCTTTGTTATTAACCTTCACTTTCTTAACTGTTTTGGTTGCCCCCTTTTATTATTGTTCGGCCTTCATTGATTAAAATCTTTGTTATTTTAATTTAAATAATTAAAATACTCTAAAAAAAATGAAAACAGCTCAAAATGCTTCACATAAAGTCTCTGTTCACAATCACAATCAACCACCAAATCCTAAAATTGGTAAATATCACTACGCCATGTTTTTAAGTAGTTATGGCTCACCTATCTATCTAACTTAATATAAAGTTGAATACATTTCTTTAATTTGTTATTGGATTTATGTTGTATTTACAGTTGCTTTTGATACATATCCTGCTTAGAATGTAGTCACAGATAAAATTAAATTTGATCCGAGAATTCCTTATGTAATATATTGGGGACCTACTTACATCTACTTAGCATTGAGTGTTTATGCTATAAGTACATTCCTAGGTAGCTTTAGAAGTTGGATATAAATCTTTGGAATCTTGGTTTATTTGTGGCATCTAGCTTATTTCATAGTATTTTGGGCTGCTCCAAGTGTTATGCTTCCCAAGGTTATAAATTATAATAATAGAAGTCTGTGGACAAATTTTAAGCCAGTGCTGGGTACTATTGGACAGAACTGATGTTAAATTTAATTATGATCATTATTTAATGTGGTAACACTTAAGCAACCATGAATTATCCAGCTTATTTACAAAATTATGTCACTAAAGTTAATAATGACATAGTTGAATATTTGGCTGTTGAAGATGTAGAAGAATTAAATCATGAGACAACTCCTATAAAAGCTTAAACACCAAATCAGAAATCCCAAATCTAATCCCAAAAACAAATACAAGGATGAATCATTATTTTTATTATTTTATATAAAATTTATGGGAAATACAAATATTTGTTGTGTTGAATAAATTGATGAACCTTTTGACAAACGTAAGCATCTATTCCACAAAAAACTAAATAACTTGAATAATCAATTGATATCATAAATCTAATACAATGAGATCATCATTTTTCATAAGGTTTGATCATTATGTATATAGAATGTAGTGGCATAATTAATCTTGAATTGTAATGCCCCACGATTATTATCAATAACTGAAAAAGATCCAGAGACAAAATTGGAGTTTTATTCTAGAATGAAATAAGAAATAGAACTTAAACAATCAAATTTCTTTAATTTACTAATTGCTAATTACTTTATACATTTCAATGAAATTTATGCTGATGAAGAAGTGATTGACATCATTCAATAATTTGACACTATATCCTAAATGCTTCGAATAGTTCTCCTTCAAGGTTTCTAATAAGATTTAAAACTGTATTTTGGTAATGATCTAGATAAACTACCTGAACAAGAGTTACTAATATAGAGAGTATTATAACATTATTTATTGGGTAAAACCTCACCCATTAAGAATAAATTTAATAAGATGCTCAATCTATATTATTAATAATTATAATATGATGAATTAAATTAATCAAATGTTCCTGAAAAAGGTACAGTTTTAGAACAAAATGATTTTGAAATAGATTAAGCATTGTTACCAATTCAAGGTGGAGAAATCGTCAATATCTCTAATGATAGGTATTATTTTTTTTTTAAATATTTATTTATTAGTTTTTTAGAATCATCAGGAGGATCAGTTAAGCCAACATAACAATAAACAATAATTTAAATTGATAATATAATTGAAAATGCAGAAAAATAATTTAAACATCTTCCATATGCAACTACATTTGAAATACTCAGTTAGATGATTAAAACAACTAAACCATGGAAGAAGTTTCTTCTTATTGAAAAATTTGATAATTTGATTATTAAGACACTTTTGACTAATAGAGATTAGAATTAATTATAAAGTATGTAAGATATACTTTTTGCTGAAGATTCTAGATCAGATATCTATTTATATATTTTGTAATCATTAATAAATTATTATATTTAGTCATTCATATGGATAATAATTTAAAGTAGATTTCAAAGAACATTTATTAAATGCATTAAAATTAATGTGGGAATTTGATGGATTATTAGGAAGTGATATTAAATATATCTATTGTCCTTGTTTCCTTAGATTTACAAATGTTTTGGAAATGTATTTGAGAAGTGTTAGTGTATGATATTTCTATGTGATATTAATTCACCTATTCATTAATCATTTATAATATTAATTATCAAAATAATTCATTATAAAAATTAATTAAATCTTATTGACTACTTTTTAAATATAAATATCTTAACTTAATTAATAGATTCTTTTACAAAATATCAAATGATTAATAATAATAAATATAATATAAGTTTTGATAATGTAATTATATCTTTATAATTTATTGATTTTGTAAATCACAATAACATTTTAAAAATCTCTTGATTTGGTTATAATATTCTATGTGTAATTTTTAATTCTTCCATTTTATTTTTTATAGCTTCAAAATCTTAAGGTTTCTTTACTTTTATTCCTACTAATGCTGGTCCTTTTTCTCTATTATTTTTTCTTGTGTATTCTAAATTGGTGATTTCATCTGTTGGTCCTATATTATAAAATATTAATAAGAGTACCCAAACATTATATAATAAACTGTTTTAATGCTCCAGGTTTTTAAAAGAAATTTACAAACATATAATATTATAATCCTTAATGTATTTCTGAAAGCATTCTAATATCAGTCATTCTTCCTAAATCATTATTACTTCCAGAAATCAAACAAACAACAGTCTTTCCTCTAATTTAATCTTTGAATCTATCCAAAGCAGATATTGCTAAAGCTCCAGCAGGTTCAACAAGAATTCCTTCTTCATTAAATAATTTCATCATTGTTGTACAAACATGTCCTTCTGGAATTAAAACAATATCTTTTAATACTGAATTCAAAATTTCAAAAGGTTTAGCACCTGATTTTTTAATAGCAGCTCCATCTACAAATGTATTAATTGTATCTAATTCTACAACTTTTTATTATTTAATAGCTTCATACATAGAAGGTGAACTAAAATAATAATATTTACATTATACCCTTCTGGTTCAACACCAATTAAGATTGTTTCAGGATTAACTTATTTAAAATAAGATGAAATTCCTGCTCCACATCCTCCACCTCCAACAGGAAAGAATACAAAGTCAATTTTACTTTCAGGAATATCTTCTAATATTTCAACAGCAATAGTTCCTTAACCTTCTATAATTTTCTCATCATCAAAAGCATGTACATATATTCCGTTTTCAGTATTACATCTTTCTTTACTTGCTCTAAAACTCTCATCAAAAGTATCTCCAACCAATTCAATCTGGACATATTATTTACCCCATGATCTTAAATATTAATTTTAGATTACCTCACAGCATTAAACTTTATACTTGGTGTATTTGTAGGCATATAAATAATACAATTGATTTTCAATAAATTACACACATAAGCAACACCTTAAGCATGATTACCAGCACTAGAACAAAATACAGTACGATGTCTTTCACTCTCTGGTATAGATATTATTTTATTATATGCTCCTCTTAATTTATAACTTCTAACAATTTACAAATCTTCCTAAATCTATATATATAATTTACTCGTTTTATATAAATATTTGCTCCAAAGTATTCTGATAATTTCATTGATTTTTGAGTTGGTGTTCTAGTTATAACATTCTTAATTCTTTTATATGCTCCAAATATATTTGAAACAGGAATTAATTTCCAATTATTTGAAGGATGATTGTAAGTTAATACATCTACTTCAATTGGTTCTTTTGTTGTACTTTCTTCTTATTTGTTTGATTTATTAACATGATGATTTGTGGGTTTTTTATCTGGTGTTTGCAATAAGTCATTATTGGCAAGATTTAGAGATGAATGTGCTTTTTTAGAAATTTGCATATAGATATATATTTAATTATGACGTATTTACAAAATTAAGCAACAATTATATAAATATAATACTAAATTTTATAATTGTTTATATAACTAACTAATCATTAACATTAAGTATAATAATCTGCTACTACTTTATAAAGTTAAGTGAATTATTTTGATTTAGTTACAGATGATTTTCTTGGTCTAGATTAAGATTATCTTCTTTATTCTTAATTTTCTCCATCCACTTATAATTCTTTTTCTGAAATTGTTTTATAATTTATTTGTTCTCCATTTTAATATATTTATTACATAAATTGAGTTGGAAATTATCCAGTTTCTTAAAATGATGTATCTACATTTACTTAAAAGGATAAATTTTAATTTCTAGATTAATTTTATTATTAGATTAAATTACTATCTGATTAATATGTTTATTTTGGCTAATTTTATTATAGAGTATTATAATTTTAAGTAGTTTCTGACTTTTACATACTTTTACTTGGTCTCTTTTAAGAAGATTTAATTGTTTTATTTCTTGATGATTAATTTGAAATAATATCATTACTTTTTGTTAATATTTATGGTAAAATTTCAATAGTTTATTATTATTTAAATTATGGTAAAGGTTTTATTGGTTTAGATCCAATTATATTTTATTTTAATTTTGTTTAATTTTATGTTTGTAGAATACTCTAAGATTTCTATTAAAAATTGGATTATTTTTAAAATCCATTATTTTATAATTATTATGTTGAAGATGTCTATATTTTTGGACCTTCTACAATTGAATTCAATAAATTTTCTAATGTACTATCATTTTATAATTGATGTTCTATTATATCTTATATACTATTATCATTTTCCATAGAATCAATTATTGTAATTAAATTTGAATTACCTTATTATCTTTTTTATTTTATTTTTTAAATTAATTTTTTTTAAATTATTTCTTAAATATTTTAACTTATTATTGTAGATTTATCAGGTTAATCACTTTATTCTTCTTTTTATATAATCAAATTATTAAATTTCTAAGATTCCAACATTAATTTTTCCTCTATTAATTTTATATCTTAATCTTTATTCATTAAATTTAACTCTTATCTTTTTAATTTTTCATCTTGATCAGCCATTATCTAAGCTTATTTAGTGATCGTTTATTATTTAATTACTAAATCTTCTTCAAATTCTTTTCTTTATTTCACCAAACTCTGAATATTCTATTAATAGAAGATTATTTATTCATCATAATCAAATTTCATATCTTCAAATTCTCTTTAAGCTTATGAGTAATCAATCTTTACTTAATCTAAATCTTTTTAAAGATCTTTTATTATTAATTATTATTTTTTTATTTTATCAGAAAAACCTTAATTTTAATTGTTTACCCAATTCAATTCTTAATTAATTCTTGCATTATCTTTTTCAAGTTTTCTTATTTTACTTCCTTAATCATTTATCAATTTAACTTATTCCTCCTTTTTTTATATATATTCTTAATACTATCTAAAATAATATAAATTATTTACTTGGTTTAATTCTCTAATTCAAATTTCATTTATATTTCATTTTATTCTAATTTGTAATAAGCAATTTCTTAATTTTATATTTTTTATTTTTGTTCTTCATTTTATACTTATAATTATAAAACTTCCTTTTAATATTGTTCCTACATCACTTAATGTGATTACTTTAAATCCTTATATAATAATTATAATTCATCATTTTAAATTGATTTTTATAATAATAATTGATTGAGATTATCTATTTTTAATTAATTTTATCTTGATGTAACTTCAACTTATGATGATAAGGTTTATATAGTTTACTAAAATATTAAATAAAAAATTGAATACAAATTAAGAATGAATTCTATCATTTAAAATTTTTTCATTTTATTCCATCTTTTTAATACAATTTGTTAATCTTTCTACATATTGACTTAATGTGGAATTATTAACAATTTAAAAACTATTTGCATTTTCTAGATTTTCAATCTTCTTAAAATTTATATCTAAATTTCCTTTTGTAATATCTTGAGCTACTAATAAAGTATTATATTTATGTTTAAGCTAAAAATTATTTAATTAAATACATTACTCAATTTTTGTTTCTTATTAAAATACTTATCCTATAATTCTTGATTAGATTATTTATATTTACTCAAACTATCTTCAAGTAATTTAATCTAATTCAATAAATCTTATGATTTCTATTAAATATAAATATCTATCTATTATTAATAAATCATTATTCTATTTCTAAGTTCTTGATTTTCTTACTTTAATTTTTCTTCTTCTTATTATTAATATTCATCATCTTTTTATTTTAATTATAAAAATGGATTAGTAACAAAAGTAGTAGCTTAATGTTATTACTTTATAATTTGATTTTATAATTTAGTTATCAATTCATCTGAATTCTTCATTAATTCATTTTTTAATGATATAGTAGATGTATAATCTATAATCTTAATTTTTAATGAATTGTTTTCTTCATTTAATTTTTCTATTCTCTTTAAGAAATTTTATCTTTCATCCAATAATTCTTCATTTTAATTCTATTTTTATTATAATTATTTATTAAGATATTACAATTCATCCAATAATAATTATTATTTACATACTAATTCACTAAATTATTATCTTATTTATCCTGTTTTATTTTCAAGTCTAAATCTTTTCTCTAATTCTCTTTCAGCAGCATCATCAGCCAATAAATATCTATTATTCAATATATCTAATTAATATTTCAAATTTTATTCAATTTTATTATGATTTTATATCTATTCTTCTTGTTTCTCTTATTCTTCTTATAATTTATTTTACAATTCTTAATTATAAAATCCTATTGTCTCATTATCCTTTATTACTTACTTCACTTCTTTAAAATGTTATTCCATTAATTACTACATCATCATTTAATAATCAGAACTATTATATCTCTCTAATAAAATTAAGAACACTTTCCAAATCAACCCTTTTACTATTAAAATGTCATCTCCAATACATTAATTTAATAGTTCATTAAATCCTTTAGAATAAACATACAACCCTTTATATAGACGATCAATTGTATCCTTTTTTAATCCTCTACCCTTTAATATTATAATTTTATTTTACCATTAATTAATGTCTACTAATTCCAACTTCTTCCAAAGTTTTAAATCTAATATCCATTGCTAAAGTATCAACTATCCATTACTCAGCAGCCTTATTGATATTTGTGGATTAAACACGAGAAAAATTTTATTGTCTTTTAAGTTCTGTTGACATATACAGTTAATTATATAAAGTAAAATTATAATCTTAAGAGATAATCATTAGCATTATATTTAATAATGTTTAATTAAAATGATCTAAACTTTTATATTTCCATAAGCTTACAATATTTAAAATCTAAAACAATAAACAAATATTATTTAATAATATAGCTTTCAATATCATGGTACTTTAATTTTTAATACATGAAATTATGAAATCGTATATTACTAATTATTTAAGATAATAAATATTTATATGGTTAATTTAAAAAAACTAAGCTTATCTATATTTTATTAATTAGAATTTCTCAAATTGGAAATTGACGGTATAAAATACTTCATGTATTTTATTATATAATATAATATAAATTTGTTTATATAAAAAAAAGTATTAATAAACTTTATAATAAAAGTTAATAAAATATAATAATAGATTAATTAAACATAGAAAATGAATTATTTGATTATAAGTCATTTATTTATTTCTTTATAAATTAATTATATGCAATAAAGTAAATTGAGAACTGTTTCACCTATGTAATGCTAATATATTTCAACTCCATCAAATTGTTCTGTTGGCGGGGCATTTAAAAGAAGTAAAACCTTAAAAACACAATCACCTTATTCTTCCTAAAACAAAGAGACTCTTAACAATCTAACTTAAGGAGAGCCCGATAAAAACAAAAATAGATGCAAAGAAATTAGTATTGAAGTGGCAAAATTTTTATAATAAATCAATAGAAATGAAAGCAATTATCCTTCCATGTATTCCTCTAATGTAGGAATTGATAATAAAAATCATGAGGAGAGTCTAGTACCACAATAATAAAATTTATAATAACAAAATCAATCACTACAAAATAAATGTTTAATAAAACAATAAGAGATTGATCAATGGAAATAAAAATATGAATAAACTGCTAAGTAATTAAATGAATTAAAGAGTAAATATGATGAGGATATTAAAATATTAAATTAAGAGATATAAGCAGTTAATGAACGAATTACGTCATGTGAGTAATAAAGAAACTATAGTTTTTTTGATTAAAAAGCAACAGGGGATAATTTAACTAATATGAGTATATAGACATTCTAAAGATCAATAAATGAGAATGAAAATTAGATTGAATAAAATAAACTATTAGATGAAATATAAGAAAAAAATACAATCATTAACAGTTTGACTTTCACCTTAGAGAAAACAAAAATAGATATCTCTGAAGCTTAATTAAGATCTAATGGAGAAATAGAATAGCTAAAAAGCAAAATTAATTAGATTCAATAGTAATAAATGAAAATGGAATTCAATTAAAATTCAGAGATTTAAAAGATTAAAGTAGCTTATAACAATTAAATAGAAATATTAAAGGAAGAAATCAATCAATTAAAATGTTTGATAGAAATTAAAAACTAAGAAATACAGAATATAAATAACTAAAATTAAAGATTAAAGTATTAGATAGATTAAGAAAATAAAACACTCTAATAAGATAATGATATCTTGAGGTTTTAAGTAATCAAAAAAGATTAACAATATTAAGAAGATATTAATCAAACTAAGTCTAATTATTCGTCATTATAATAAAATGAAATAAATTCAATTAAATAAAGTTCATAAAAACAACTCTCTGATTTAGATACTGAAATTAAAGATTTAAAGGAATTATTATCTTATAATAATACAGAATAATATTAATTGATAATAGATAGATTAAAATAGAGAGATCATTACGAAATTGAAAATCAAAGATTGAATAGTATAATAGAAGATCTAAATAAACGGTTATTATTATAAAGGTAATAATCATAAAGCCTTAATACTGAATCTATTAGGAAAATTTAAGACCTTCAAATTTAATGCCAAATGTTACTTGAAGAAACAAATTAGAAAATGGAATAAATACAAATAGAGAATACATTTTTGAAAAATTAAATTGTATAAAAAGATAATGAGATTAATAATTTTGAAAATATTTACAAAAAATTAAATACTTATAAAGAGAATCTTACAAAACTATAGGAAGAGAACTCAATTATTTTAAGTCATTATGAATAATAAGTGAAGTAAATATAAAAAGAAAAGGAAACATCAATATATTAATTGTAAAGAAATTTTGAAAGTCAATTAAAATAATATGATTTTTAATTACAAAATTTAATTAATGAGAAATTATAATATATGTAAATGTTAGAAATAAAAAATTAAGAATGCATAGATTTAAATTTAGAAGTGAATAATTTATAACTATAGTCATAGAATATAAAAATTAATAATGAATTATTATACAGTAAATTCATAACTTTAACTAATTCTTAAGAGTCTAACAGAATAATAAATGATTCATTCAATAATACAATATAATTTAAAAGAATGACAGAATAAATATCCCTTTTACAAAGTGAATTAATGATAAAGAATAAAGAATTAACTTAAATCATAGATAAATATTAATAATTGGAACAAATACATTGTAAAAATCAGATAAAATAAACTGATTAGAATCTTAATGAGATAATGTAAAAATAAATAAGAAACATTGGTCAAGTAATAAATTAATGACTTTATATTGTAAATTAAATTTCTATGTTATTAAAGTTGTATTATCATGTTTATAGCATAAATTACTTTCAAAATAAATCAATAATTATATAATAACTATAAATGTATTTTATCATTTTAACAAATAATTTTAAAATTATTGTAAAATTAAATAAAATTGAATTGAAACCATTCAATTCAATTTATTTATATAAATTCTTTCTTAGAACCATAAATTTTGAAAATAGTTTTTGATCAATTTTTTGAATTTCATCAGAATTTTAAGATACCATGATTCAAGCTTATCAGAATTATTAACAAGTTATCAAAGTCTATGTATGGTTGACCTCAATCCTATTTCTTAACAGAAGATACTTAGTTTCTACTATTTTAAAAAGTTTATGTTTGCTGTAATTCATATAACGAATTGATTGATTTCTAATTGAGAAAAAGGAATACTTTAAAATAAGAGAATAAGAAAAAATCTTTAACTCTAGTTTATTAATAATATTCAATAAGATTCTAAATCATTGCCGTTATGATGAGAAAAATGAATAAATCAAGCAAACAGATCCGTGATCTTGCTCCTATTTATTGGACTTCAATTAAGTAAAGGAACAATAAATCCATCAAGAATTTTAGAGAATATACTCAATATGTTCAATGTCCAAAAAATAACGATATGTATTTTTTAATGTTTTTTTAATGCTCTTATATTACTGTTTAAGACTAATGAGAACTGAATTACTATGATGAAAAATTAATGAGGATAGTCCTTTTAAAAGATGAATTCAGAAGCTACTTTTTCTAGATACAATAATTTGTTATTCCTAATATCTAGATAGATAATCATAAGAGATGATTTTTGAGTAGGTTAACAACAACCTTTATGTTGCATTTATCAAGTAATTTATTGTTTTTTTAACAAATAAATTATTATTATAATAATTTCTATGCTTTGATATATTTTATATTTTGGAAATAGATCATGCTCCCTTGAGTTATGATTTAACATAGTCTTGGAATCTTGGTTGGTTGAGCAACTCTAAAGCTTAATTGGCAGCATTAATTTCCTTGTTATATTCAGCAACGGTGGCATTATAAACATCAGTGGCAAAGGCATAGTCATCGTTTTCAGCTTATAATTATCCATTGAGGGTAGCCAAATCAGCATCAAGTTCATCGATTAATTCAAGAGTTTATTCTTATTTGGCTATTTGTTGTTAGATTAGAATGTATACTTGTGTTGGCTTCGATTTCAGCATTCTTAACAACAACAGCTCTTTAGAATTCAGCATGTTCTTAGTTCAATTAAATAACTTAAGCATTGAATTCAGCAACTTAGTCAGCTTCATCAGCAGTGATTTAATTGAGTGAATCAACTAATTCAACTCTTAAATTATTGAAGGCAACAACAATCTAAAGAATATTATTTTAAACATTACATCTCTAAGAGCTCCTTAGTCAGCAAAGTTGGAGTCAGATGTGATTTCCAATAAGACTTTAACAAAGATTTGGAATTAGTTGTGCTTTTTCAATGAGTTTTAGATTTTAGCCAAATTCTTTTAGACTTTCTTGACTTAAGCAAGAGATGGGGCTTCTAATGTGCTCAATAATTATAAGCATTCGTCAATAGCAGCAATAGCATCATTGTGTTCAACAACTTAAGCTTCAAATGTTTCATGATCATTGGCTCTTTAGACTGTAGCTTATTCAAGGGTTCTTCTGTTTTAAACGATGTTTTCTTATAATTATTCAAGTTAGGCAGCAAATCTTTCTCCTTATGGGATGAGGACGTTGTCATAGAAATCGTGGGCATTGAACAATTCTAAGGAAATAGTTAAACCTATAATATACCTCTTTCCTTGTCTTAGATTTCTTATTCGAGTCTGGCAACTTCTCTATTGTGGACATCTGTTCTTCTGTTGAATTCATGATGAACTCCAGCTAATTCCTCTTCCATTTCATCAACCTATAAACATATTAACTCATTATATATACGAGTTTTTCAATCTCAGAGTTAAGCTCAGAAAGGATACCTCCTGTTGTTAAATGGAGTTCAGCAAAGTTCAAGATGAATTTACCCCAACCAGATTAGTGAATCTAAGCGAAAGCTTTTTGGTCTTTGCTTGTCCAAATTGAGGATTAGACATTAATGGCTGTTGAGGCAAGTACTAACAATGCACACACGGCAACTTTGAACATTTATTGTAATTAATAATGAATTCCTTCTTAGGATTATTTTGCTAAAAAAAGGCAAAAACGAATTTTTCTTTTTAATATTAATTTATATATATTTCTTATACTTTTTTATTATTTTCTTATAATCTAAACACTTACAATCCATAAATATATACAATATTATATTTAATCAATTGCAATCAATCAAAACACTCATAATTATCATATTTTAATGATCAATTTTTCAGAACCATTACTATTTATACATTAAATTCTTCTAAATTCAATTCATATTCCTAATTTCTTCAAACTATAACCTTATTATCAATTAAATAATACATATCCACTCATAATCTTTCTATTTCCACTAACGTAAATACCTCTACCATTTATTATTCCATTTGGTAATTCCCCTTTATAATAACTCGAATTAATAAAATTCAACATACCTATTCCATATATTTAGTCCTATAAATCTCTCATTCATTTCGAAAATCAAAATTTCATTCATCCATCCTCATCATAAATAATCACTCTTCCCTTTTTTAATCCATAGTAATTCTATCAATCCTTTTTTATTTTTTATCTCCCTCTCTATTTAGTTTAAACCTTGACATTTTTTTCCCTATACATTATTTGTCCATAACCCTATTAGGATTAAATATTTCATATTTACTACTTTATCCTATGTTTAGAATACATCAAATCTGTTGGCCTTCCAGAACTTGAAATCATATTGGAAACTAAACTAATCCATTATCTGTTTACCTGTCTCAATTAGAGTATATCATTCTACAAAATCCATTTAATTCATTATTCAACCCAAATACTATATTTTATAAATTAATAACTTTTATTTATATCTAGTATATTTCCTGCATTAAATCATACCATTATACATTTTCCACTCTCTAATTCATTCTCCAATTACCAAAAAAATATAAACTACTAAATTCAAAATTCTTAGTTTCATATTTTCATAAATAGGATTTCATTTGATTAATTTTACTAATTAAAATAGGATTTATTTTTGATGCTTTAAAATTCTACAATTATTATCAAACGACATTTTAGATGAGATTTATTTTCATATACTTTTAACAATTTAAATGTAATAAAACCAAAACTTTCATTAATGTTAAGTAATCCAGCTATTAGAATTTTATTGGAATCAAAAAAGATTATTGAGAGTAAAATTAAAATTTAAATGTAAATAATAAGTGAGAATAAATCTAATCTAAAAACTTAGTTGATAAAATTAACTTTAATAACAAATAAACTATTTTATAAGTATAGTATTATTAACTTATAATAAATACATATATATATTTGATAATAACCTGATAAATTTGCAGTGTAAGAAGAACTAAATATAAAAGAATTTCATAATTCACTAAATCCAATAGATTAAATGTAAATTAATTAATTATACAGTTAATCAACTTATTAATTACTATTTTTTCAAGAAGATCTAGACATTTTTTCATCTTGAATTAATTATTGCTGCTTTTAATTTTACAAGATTCACTACTTTGAAGAATTAAAAATTGAAAATTGATCAACTAAAAAAATATTGAAAATTAAGGAATTTTCTGTTTTAATTAATTAAAAAAAGAATGATGGATTAATAATTTTGAACTAACTTAAATATTATTTTTTCATTTTCTTTTCCAAATATGTGTGTACCAATGATTATTTTCCTTCATTTCTTATAAAAGACAGTTCAAACCATTTAATTTCTAATTCATTTTATCCATCTCGCTTTTACATTCATTTATGATTGTCCATATTATAGCATCCTTTTCTATTTTTACTTAAAAAGTTACCTTTATGTTTTTGATTATTTTACTCTACCATCTATTTCAATTAATAAAATTTCGTTTCAACAAAATCTCGACTTTATGTTTCTACACCTATCGAATATTTTCAATTCAATACTTAACCATAATTAATCATGCATTCTTTTTTCAATTAATTTTACATCAACATTAAATTAATTTTTTCTTTAATTCTCTTTAAAATCCTTCCTTAATTATTTATTATAATTATTGATTACTATTAATCTAACAGCATATTTATTAATGAATCGTGATGTTAAGTTTTCTTATTCACTTCTTCTTTCAGATTTTTCATTTTATTTTTAAGATTTTTCATCTAATCTTCAAAGATAAATTAATCATTAAAATCAGTAAAAGAACTATTTTTAGATAATACAAGTGTTTATTTCATTGTGCTCTCTTGACTTCCTACTGTAGACTATTTTGACTTCAATAATAAAAGTTCATTTTAAATATGGAGTAGTTGATTTTGAAACTAGGAATATATAAAGAATTTCACATCAAACAAATGTCTTTGAATTAAATTGTCTACAATTAATTAAATTTGTTTTAATAAATCATCCAATAATGCAGCTTTCTAAAATTCTTTCTCAATAATTTCTTATGTAAAATCTCTTTATTCTTCATTCATTGAAAATGAAGATCTTTATCTATGAAAGGATTTTGATTTTTTCATGTACTAATTTCTTATTATTATATATTTACATTGTCTACTAATTTTTCTACATTATTTTGCAGTTCTTATTCATATATACTCATTAATAATTATATATATAATATATTTAAGGACCTTAGATAAACTTAATTTATAAAAAATTTCATAATTTTATCAGTTGGATGGCTCGTTATGCTAAAAAACCCATTAATAAATATACTCAACCAACAGATGCCAATAGAAGAGTGTAAACTGAGGCAGCTGATGTAGATGATATCGATCTTCAATAAGCAATATTAAAATTCAAAAATTTATAAGAGAAACAAAAAACTCCATTGAAAAATTAAAGAACTAAAAGCAAATCACCTGCTCCTTAATAAGGAAATTAACCTATTGATTATTCTTAATTTACATTTACTAGCTTAAAAGTAATTGGGCAAGGATCTTTTGGAATAGTTTACAAGGCAAAAGTAAATGAAACAGGAGAAATAGTGGCAGTAAAGAAAGTTATATAAGATAAGAGATATAAAAATAGAGAAATTCAAATTCTATAAGAATTGGATCATCCTAATATTGTTGAAACTAAACATGCTTATTTTACTTATGGAGATTCTCCAGATGAACAATATTTAAATGTTATTATGGATTATTAACCTGAAACACTTCATTCATATAATGCATAATTTTTGAAATAACAATAATTATTACCAGAAATACAGGCTAAGTTATATTCATATTAGTTATTACGTGGTATAGCTTTTGTACACACAAAAGGTATTTGTCATCGAGATATTAAACCACATAATGTTTTGATTAATCCAGATACGAATATTTTAAAAATCTGTGATTTTGGAAGTGCTAAAAAGTTATCACCTTTAGAACCTAATATTGCATACATTTGTTCAAGATGTTATAGAGCACCTGAATTATTATTTGGTGCTACAAATTATACTACTTAAGTTGATATGTGGTCAGTTGGTTGTATCATTGGAGAAATGTTTAATGGGCTACCATTATTTTTAGGAGCTTCAGCAGTAGATTAATTAGTTGAAATTATCAAAATACTTGGATCTCCAAGTAAAGATGAAGTATTATCAATGAATGAATTATATGATATCAAATAATACAAAATAGTTTAAATAAGAAAAAAGGATTGGAGAAAAGTATTTTAAACTGTAGTTGATCCATCAGCTATTGATTTAATTAGTAAAATACTCACTTATTGTCCAAAAACTAGATTGACTGCACTTCAAGCATTAACACATTCGTATTTTGATGATCTTAGAGATGAAACAACCTTTAGGATGTATCAATCAAAAATTTAAATTCCTGATTTATTTGATTTCACAAAGGAAGAACTTTCGAATAATTAATCTCTAGCTAATAAATTAATTCCTAAATGGTATCAAAAAAGAAATAAATGTTGATTAATTTTATAAATTATTTAGAATGACAATCCACATACTTCTTTTATATATTATATAAATTATAAAAAAAATGTATAATTGATTAATATCAAATTTGAGAAATATTTTTCATTTTTGGAAGATGTGTTATTTCTGAATTTCCTCTTCTCTCTCGAGTTCTTTTAACGACTATTCCAACACTTGATAATATATCTCTATTATATATTAAAAAAGTTTTACTTTACTTTAGCTTTACTGCCTTTAAGTTTTGTAGTATTACCTTGAATTGAGGGGACTTCTTTACTCCAAGCAGTATTTTTATAGAGTGAAATATTGTATTGATCAGTAGGAGTTTTCATTATTTGGAGATCTTTTGTATTATTATTATTAATTGGTTTATTTATAGGAATTGGATGTTATTCTTTATTTTCGAAAATAACTTAGGCCACCTATTCATACATATGCATTGAATTAATCCTAAATAATAATTCAATGAAATTTAACTTACTTAATATTTCCATCACTTGTCATACTTGGTTAACTTAACCTACGTATTCTATTAAGAATTTGTTTTTTATCTTAATCATTTGAAAATTCTTTAATTTTAGCTTCTTCTGCTTTAACTAATTATGCTGATGATTAATTAAGAGATGCATTAATTTATTAAGTTAAAGACAAGTATTCATTTCTAATCATTCTTAAAGCAGGATCATTCATTTTATCTAGATTAATTGGTTGATCTTTTGGACCTTCTCTAACTCTACCTTCTTATATAATAAGAACTCCTGATTATAAATGCATATTTTCATTAACAAGAGGTGCAAGAGACTAAAATTTAATAAGTTCTTTTGGATCTTTTTCTTTATCTTTTTCATCATCTTACCTCTTTTTGATTTGAGAACTTGAACTTTAAAAAAAGGTTTTTCTCTTATTAAACATACTAATTTTAGTTTAACCATCTTCAAATTTGGATCTCTTAATTATTAATTTGAATACCCTAATGTTGCAGCTGTAGGTGGAAATTTATGACCTTTTAAAGCTGTTACAGATATCAATTTTCCATCGTAATCATAAGTATATGATTTAGATTTTTTATCTTTAGATATAAGTTCATATTTCAATTATTACTCTTCCATTTCTTTTTGTTTCCTTCTTTTTTCTTGTTCTTTCAAATCTTATTTAATTTTATAATCTCTCTCTTTTTATGCTCTCAATAATTCTTCAGTCATACTAATATCCAATGGGTCATTGAGATCAACAATACCTGGTAATTTTTCTTTTTCTCTTATATTTTTTTAATTATTCAATTAAGCTTAATCCTAAAGTTTAGAAATAAGTTTCAAATACTTAAATTAAGACTCTTGATCTCTTAAAGGTTTAAGCAGTTAAAGATTAACGATTAGAATTTGTGCTTTATTATTCTACTTCTAATATCTTGGCAGGTATTGAAGTTACTTTTTACACTAACCATTATTCTTGCTGAAATCTAACCTATCAATTTGAAAGTTTAAATTACAGGTTCTTCATCTTCTTCTAATCCTCCAGTCAAATAATCAAATGTAGGATCTTCATGTTGTCTAAAATATTATTGAATTGGATGTGACATTCTATCAATGGAAGATTAATAACCTATTATTGGTAGCATTTTGATTTATTCATTTTCAGTGATTTTTTTTGAGACTTTGCCAATTATCTTTTTAATAAGATCTTTAATAAGTAACTCCCCTTCTACTTAATTAGATTATAATTGAATTGGATCTGAGAGCAAATAAAATGAATGAAAATTTAGTTTGTCCATATCAACTTCAACCAATTCACTATCAGATTGTGTATTTAATTTCTCTGTTGGATAGGAACGAATGGATGATAATTCTCCATATGAACTTCTTTATAATTAACTTTTCATATAAATATTTTAACAGATTAATTGATTGAATACGTTTTTAGTTTGAGATGTATGTGTAAAATTTATGTATATTTTGAATGATGAGTGTGCATAAATGTATGTTAATTAAATAATAATTAGTGATATTTGCAATTTTAAAACGAGGAATTTTTATTCCGTTTTTGGCATTAATAAATTAATTATGAGAACTCTTGTTGCCCTTTGCTTAGTGGCTGCCGTCTTCGCTATTGACACAAACAAATTTGCTGTGCTTCTACAAGCCGGTACTAAAGGAAATGATGCTGTTGAATCAGTTTACAACCTCTTGAGAGATTTGAAGACAGAAAATGTTAATGTCTAAGCTGCTGCCGACAGAAAGAATAACACTGATGAGGGTATTATTTAAATTTAGAATTAGAAATCTTTACTTAAGTCATTGGTGACTTGACAAATGTTGCTTCCCTTAACAAATAACAATGGGAAGCATTAGGTGCAGTTCGTACTGATGTTGAAGCCCAAATCAGAGTATGCTATTTCCCCTTAAAATTTAGGATGGATATTCATGGTTGACATGGGCTGAAGCAAGACTTGCTGAAATCGAAAGAAGAAATGCTTAACTCTAAGACTAAAGATGTTGGGCCAATGGACTCTTTGTTAGATCATTAGCTGATCATGCTGATGCAGTTGCAGTTGTCTAACTCTTATAATAAGACGTTGCTGGATGGCTCACAAACAATGCTGGTGTTGAATTAGTTCAAAAGGCTGAAACCATCGCCGACAAATTGTCAGCATACAGTCACCTCTTCTAATAAGATGCCATCTAGAAATTCTAATCCCTTGCTGAAGTCAAGAGAGATGGTACAACTGGAGAATAAGTCCTTTCCATCTTAGCAGACTTATAAGCTGAATTAGAAGGAACACTTGCCACACTCTAAGAATAAGAAATCCATGCTGCTTTTGCTCTTGCCAAATACGTTTCTGATACTAATGCTGAAGTTGCTTGGTTGAACTCTGAACACGAAAGAAGAACAGGTCTTGTTGAAAAATTAGAAACTGTATGCATTCATTAAATAATTTGATTAGTAACTCCCAGCAGTACTTGCTTAATAAGCAAAAGCACTCAAATTATGGAAAGATTCCTTGAATGCAGTTGCTGGTGCCACAGCTGATTTAGAAGAAAAAAGAGAATTTTATGCTTCAGAGACAGCAAGAAGATAAGGTATCTATCCTCATCTAATCTATTCTAGAGGAAAACGCCATCATCGATGTTGTCATCTAATTATTCAAGGATCAAGTTAGAGCCTTAGCCTCATAAACATCCCTTGGTAGAAAATGATTAGATTATAAAATATTAAATTTAAAAATATCCACCAAGTTAAACTACTCATTATCTAATAAATAATTTTATATAAAAACTCAAAGATTATTCATACATTAATTTATAATAATAAAAATAGATTTTAAAATCTAATCAATAATCATTACTTTATAAAAAGTATGTTTTGATTTAAAAAATACTCATTAATTTATTAGATAAAATGTTTAATAAATGCATTTAATATAATATCAACAATTATATTATAAATTTAAATAGAGAGAAGTTTAGAATAATTTAGCGCATTATTATTAAATATATAGGTTCTTTATTTAAAATTTATTAAGCAATAAATAAAAATTATGTTAAATTCAAGTATCTACAGTAATGAAAACAATTCAGCTATAAAGACAAAAGGCAATTAAGCTCATTTACTTTCAACTGCAATAAGCAAATTAGGAGATTCAAGTTTCAAATCAAGAAACTAAGAATCTAAAAACATATCTCCAGTGAGATTAAGATTGTTTAGAGACTCACCAAAAACTTATAAAGGACTTGAAGGTTGTGTTGTAGGATAATATCAGTAAGAATATACATCTATTTAGTCCTTTGCCTCCAACCCATGTAGTATATTCGAATGATAAAACCCCATCTCCTTATAGATCAGCAAGAACATTTAAAGATTCTCCAGAAAGAGCTAAGGTCAAGTTGAATCAATTTAAAGATTGGAACTCTAAATTAGACATTCAATTATAAATATAAAATAATTAGATTGCAAAATTGAACAATCAACTTATCCAATAAAGTTATCAACCTTATCAACATAAGAGCTCTAAATCAAATTTGTTTTCAGCTAGTAGTCCATCTAATTTCTAAAAATTTGGTAAATAAAGTGATATATCATCACTTTCCTCAAGATTAAATTAAGTTCCAATATCTTAGATAGTCAATTATTAATTAGGGTATTAATAGTTAAATAATATAATAGACATTAAAGTGAATTGAATGCATTATAGTCATCCTTAAGTAGAATAATGAAAACAAGTAGAATATGATGATTAGTAATGATATAAATAATTAAATCAAATATTATTCTTATTAAATATATATTTATAAATTAAATGAAAACCATAAAGATTGCTATACAAAAGGATGTGTTCTTTTGTTAAAGAGAATTAAATCGATTTGAAGATTTACAACAAGAATATCAATTATTGTGTTAATCATATTAAAATAAAGATGAATTAACATTCTAGTAATATATAATTCAATAGAATTAGTTATGTTGATGAAGAAGGAGATAAAGTTGTTATTTCTAATGATTATGATTTGGAAGATTTCAAGAAATAAGATCCTAAGTTTTAAAAAATAAGAGTTGACATTAGAGATAGAAATAATTAGAGAGAAAAAATATATAATAAAGAATTAACTAAAGATGCAATGAAACAAAAGATTATGCAACTTTTACAATAATATTGACATATGTTGATGTTCTTTATGTTGAATAAATCATTTTCTGGCAGCCAAAGCAACTTAAGTTGCAATTCTGTTTAAGTCTTATTATCCTTCTTTGGTAACAATTCTTGATCCCTTCTTTAAAAGTGATTTGTTGTCTTTTTTCAAAACTTTAATTGATTCTAATTATTAAAGTAAATATCTAATGACTTTTCCTGATCCTGATTCATGTTTACCATTATCATTAACTGATCCAAACATATGAGTGAGATTTCCAACACCCTAAAGTTTATTAATTTATATTTAATACCCAATGACCTCTAACATATATTTTACGAGCAAGTGCAGCAGCTCTAACATACATCCAATCTTAATCAATTGGTGAAATTTCTTTTCCAAGTCCAGTTTTAACAATCGATGCCCATTCTGGAATTTTTATTTTATTGTTTTTCTTCAAATACTCAGCATATGCACGAATAAAATCTTAAGCAGGTACGTCCTTCATTTAATGAGTGATATTACTTTGACTGTGTAAAATGGAGCTGACATGTAATAAAAAAATTAAAAAAATATTTTTGAATATTTACAAAGATATTATTTATTATTAATGGTTCTTCATTGACATATAATATCTATTGATTTTTAGTGTATGATTTTTAAAGCTCTTTAGATTTAAGGATTATTGCAAAAAATTTGAATAGCAAAAGAAATACATTACTATGACTATTAGACAGAATTAGTTTAATTTTGAATTGAAATAGGTGTAATAGAAATATTAAAGTGCTTTACTATTTGATTTGATTTAGATTTTATTAATTTAAAGAATTGCAATACTTAAAAATATATAAAAAATGTATATAAATTATTATTGAATAAGAAATAGTTAGATTGAAGGGTTGATTACAAAGTATATTGAGAATTGAATCAGAAAAATGGTTTTTTAATGATTTAAAATATTGAAAAGGAAAAGATGAATATATAATTGAAAGATTAGAAAAGAGGTAATTAAAATTGGATTAGAAGGAAATTTGATTATTTAATATATATTGGATGAATGAAGAATGATGTGAGATAGATATATATATATTTAGATCATAATTAATAATAATTAAATGTACATTATAAGCATTTGATCGATCCGTTTTTAAAACATTAATTAAAATATATGCAAAAATTAGTCATCTTGACATTAGTTGTTGCTCTTGCAGCTTCCAAATTCATTGATACACACACAACCTTGGCTCAAATTGATGCTAATCCATTTGGAAATGTTGTGTTATCAGCAATCAAGGCTCACATTCAAGCTTAAACACCAGCCAACGAAGTTAATATGTTATTGAACGGTGTCGCTGCTGGATTGTAATAAGATCAAAATGACCACGATCACGCTTTCGAACTTGACACAACTACCAACAACAGAGTAAGAATTTTTATTAAGAATATCTTAGATTGTCGAAGATTTGGAAAAGGAAATCTTATATCACTAAAATCAAATTTCATCCAATACTTAATTGAGAGACGACACAATTGAAGCTTTGGCTGTTTCTGAAGAAGACATCAGAGTCACAATTCAAGACATTGCAACAAATGAATAAACATATGCCAGAGAAGAAGCCACAAGAAACTAATAACACGAAACCTTTGTTGCTAAGGTTGCTGCCATTGATGACGTTATTGATGCCATTGATGAAGCTGCCAAATTAATTCAACACTTAAGTTTAGGTGCTTCATTTGTCTAAGTTAAATCAAAATATGAAAATATTCACAAGAGACTTACAGATAACACCTCACACTCCCAACTCTTATAAGTATATCTTTCTTTCTATTTTCTTTCTTTAGCCAGTTGTTGCTGCTCTTACTGAATTAGCTACTCATGGAGTCAACTAAAAGGCTTTAACCAAAATTGCTTAACTTTTGAGTGAAATCAGATAATAATTAGTCTAAGAAAAGGCTGCTAAAACTGTAATCATTAAATCAAATAATAAAGGACGTTGAAGAAAGATAAGCTGCTCACTGGGCTGAATTCAGCGTTCATTTGAGTAACGAACACACTAGATTGGTTGAAAGAAAAGCTTAATTGGAAGTCTAAATCTAAGAATAAAAGGATACAATTGAAGATGCTTAATCATGGATCGAATTCCACACCTTAGAATTAGAAAATAGTGAAGAAAGACTTGCTGGATAATAAGCATGGTATGCAGTCTAATCAGAAATCTATGAAACTTAAACTGCTGAAAGGTATCATAGAAACTATAAACTAGAGCTGCATAAAATGAAATCGTTGACAGACTCTAAGAACACATCAGCGAGAAATTATCAACCACCGCTCAATTCATCAGCAAGAGAAATTGATTCATTAACATATACAATTATTGACAATTGTTCTACATTTAACATTATATCAATATTCTCTCTCACTTTTTTTTTTTCACTCCTATAATTATTATATATTTTAAATGAAATTTTTAGCATTAATATCAGGAGGCAAAGATTCCATTTATAATATTATTAGATGTGTTTAAGAAGGCCATGAACTTATTCTATTAGTAAATCTATATCCAAAATGTACAATTCATTTAAATTAGAAATTGGAATTGAATCTGATAGTTTCATGTATTAAAGTGTAGGCACTAATGCAATTGAAGCTATTGCATAAGCAATGGATAAACCTTTAATGACAAGAGAAATATCAGGAAAACCAAAAATTACTAATTTAGATTATTAAAGTAAAGATGAAGAAAGGATTGGTGATGAAGTTGAAGATCTTTATCTCATATTAAAGGAAGCTCTCCTTACATATCCTGATATCAAAGGAGTCAGTTCTGGTGCTATTGCTTCCACATATCAGAAATTAAGAGTTGAGGATTGGTAAATCAATTTACTTATGTTAGTTGCAATCGTTTAGGTTTAACATCTCTTGCTTATTTATGGAATCAAGATTAGTTTTCTTTATTGGATTAAATGTTATAAAATAATATGAATATAATTCTCATTAAAGTTGCAGCCATGGGATTGACTTAAAAGCATTTAGGGAAAACAATTCAGGAATTATATGATTATTTCAAAGAAATAGTAAGTTAATAGCAGATCAATATTTTTAGAATAAAAAATTTGGTTTTCATCCTTGTGGTGAAGGAGGAGAATTTGAAAGTTTTGTACTTGATTGTCCACTTTATAAAAAAAGAATATAAATGTAAAACAATCTCTTTAACTCTTTTAGTAATGAAATTGAAGTTATCTGCCATGAAGAAAACTCTTTTGCTCCAGTTTATTATCTTTTAATTAAAAAATATGAACTTATTGAAAAACATTGAGCCATAAAAAAATTGTTTGTATTTATTAATTCATTATTATATTTATTAATTATAAATTTATTTAATACTCTAAATAACTTTATTGATTATTCGTTAAATTCATTTTAGTCTATATATTTATATCCTATTGTAATCTCTTTAGATATATTAAAATACTTCATTGTTATTGGTTTTACTAAGCTAATACTTTTATTGTGTTTTTTAATAGTTTCAGCCTTAATTGAAGCTGGAATTATTAAATTGCTATTTTTAATTAATCCTCTTAATTAGAAGCTTATAATTATTTTAAAAGAACTTATAAAATTGACTAAAATATAAATCGGAAACCAAATATATATTTATTTTAATCTATTGTTTGAAAAATAGAAGTATGATTGTTATGAATCATTGTTTTGATTTTAATTAAAAATTTTATTTTACTACTATATTCATAATAATTTATAATTTTTATAGTCAAATACTGCAACTTAGCAATGTTTTAAAAACTGAGTAGAGAAATGTAAATCAATAAGACTTTTAGATTATTTAGATATATAAGAATATTATACAGAGTAACACTCTCTTAATATAGTAAGATAATATTTATGAAAATTAAGGTTGGAAAGTCATAGAGAACGATAAATAACATGTTTTAGGAGATGAGGATTCAAATAATGAAAATAGTAGTGTTTGAAGATGATTATAATGGGGTGAGACTTAAATCTCAGTTTACTTGTGTTTTGTAATGAAAATAATTCAATATAAAGCTAAGTCTATAAATTGATTAAATTATAAAGGATAACGTTAATATAATGTTTATCTATAATGGAATATGAGCACTTTATTTAATTTATAGTAGAATAATAGAAAATAATTGATGAAAAAGTTATAGTTCATCAAGTATTTAAAGTTTTATATTATATGTGAACATATCTAATATTAAATATATCTTTTTAACATTTAATGTTACACCACCTTTGGAAATACACCTACAACACCAGTAAAGCCCTACCTCTTGAATAATTAACAAGATGGGGATTACACAATGCCACAGTTGTAAGAAATGCCAGTACCCCTGAATTGTATGAAATTGCTGCTATGGATCCATTTTCACCAGATCCTGATACTAGATAAGGATCAATTTCAAGTACTGGAGCTATGGTTGCATATTCAGGAAGAAGAACAGGGTAATTAAGAAATTGATTAATTTATTTTAGTCGTTCACCAAAAGACAAGAGAATAGTTTTAGATGAACAAACTGAGTAAGAAATTTGGTGGGGAGATGTTAACATCCCAATTCCAAAGAAATCTCATAATTTATTGGAATAGATTGCCCTTTAGTTCTTAAACACAAGACCTAGAGTAATATTATAGAATATATGAATATAGTTATTTGTGGTTGATGGATATGCAGGATGGGATCTTCATAGTCGACTTAAAATTCGAGTTTTTTGTACTAGAGCCTATCATGCATTGTTTATGTAAAATATGCTCATCAAACCAACAAATGAAGAATTAAAAAGAGATTTTAGTGATGATGTTGATTTTCATATTTTTAATGCTGGTCCAATGTCAGCACCAAAATTAGTTGAAGGTGTTGGTTCAGATACATGTGTTTCTGTAAATCTCACAGACAAAAAGATGGTCATTTTAGGAACTTAATATGCTGGAGAAATGAAGAAAGGAGTATTTGGAGTTACTCATTATATGTTACCTAAATAAGGAATCCTTACACTTCATAGTTCTGCTAATGAAGGAGTGAATGGAGATGTAACATTATTGTTTGGATTAAGTGGAACTGGTAAAACTACTTTAAGTGCAGATCCAAAAAGAAAATTGATTGGAGATGATGAACATGGATGGTCTGATTAAGGAATATTTAATATTGAAGGTGGATGTTATGCTAAATGTGTTGATTTGACTTATGAAAAAGAACCTGAAATTTATAATGCTGTTAAGTAAAATTATTTATTAATTCAAAGATTTGGTGCAGTTTTAGAAAATGTGGAATTTATAAATAAAGAATCTAGAGTAGTTGATTATCATAATATTTCCATTACAGAAAATACAAGAGTAAGTTATCCTTTAGATTTCATTCCTGGAGCTAAAAATCCTGCAGTTGGTAATCATCCTAAGAACATTCTTTTCCTTACTTGTGATGCTTATGGTGTTTTACCACCTGTATCATTATTGACTCCTGAATAAGCAATGTATCATTTTATTTCAGGATATACAGCAAAAGTATTAAATTGATTGTAATCTTTATTAGGTAGCTGGTACTGAAATGGGAGTAAAGGAACCAGTTGCAACTTTTTCAGCATGTTTTGGTGAAGCATTTTTACCATTACATCCAACACTTTATGCAACAATGTTGGCAGCTAAAATGAAAGAACATGGAACAAAATGTTGGTTAATTAATACTGGATGGTCAGGTGGTAAATATGGTATAGGAAAAAGAATGTCTTTAAAAAATACAAGATCAATAATTGATGCCATTCATAGTGGAGAATTAGCTAATGGAGAATTTGATAATTTTGAGGTTTTTAATCTACAAATTCCAAAGAGAGCTACTGGAGTTCCTGATTAAATGCTTCATCCAAAAAATACTTGGACGTATATTTAAATAATAAATTTTTAATAGAAACAAAACTGAATTTGATAAAACATTAAGAAATCTTGGTGAAAAGTTCAAAAAGAATTTTTAAAAATATTAAAGCAAAGCTTCTGAAGAAGTTATAAATGCTGGTCCAAAAATATGAATAATGTTAAAAAAGATTTATAAAAATATTTTAATTTCTTTATTATGTTTTATTTTATAAGAAATATATGTTTATAGATGATAAAAAGTTTAAATAATTGATATTTTTAATAATATAAAATATAATTATAAAAATGACTAATTAAATTTAATTTTCAAATATAATAAAAATATATAGCGTTTTTTGTTTAAATATTTAAATTTTAATATAAACTAAAAATTGCCTGCAAAAACAAAATAGAAAGAGACAAAAGGGTAATAAGTTAATTTAGAATATTTTGTTTTTTAATGTTCTTTGTATTTTAGATATAAATCACATCATCTGTACATATTCGTATCTAATCAGAGGATGAGGTTAAGGATAAGGCAGGTATTAAGGTATGTAATATGGTTAAATGGATTAGATTGGCTAGCTTATAAAGTTTGGTTAGATGCAGAATGTAAAAACAGGTTATGGAGCACAAAATGATCCCTAAAATATTTATGATTTTTACTTATAATTGATTAATTGGACTGAAATCAGAATGAAGTTAATTTAGATTTTAATAAACTTATATAGATTAATTCTCTTATTAGACATTCGACAGATTAGATTTAGGTTGATCGAATTCTTCTTAAGAATCTATTTTAAGGTTTGTTGTTTTTAGAAGTTTGCATTCCAGTTTAGTAATTTTTTAATTTTAAAACGTTACACAATTAGGAATGGTTGATTTGCTGTTGTTTTCAACAAAGAAGACCTCTTATTATGAATTCTTCCTTGTAGAATATCTCTTCATCTAAGTTATGTAATTATTACTAATTATATTTTATATATTTTACTTGATGACAAATAATTGATTCAGCATAGATTTTATATAGACCACATCATTTTCTTAGAGTTATTTGAGTTCTGCTTTTTCTGTATACCTGTATTATTTGATAAGTTATTGAAATTCTGTTTTCATTTTCTCATCAATATTGAATCTTTTAAAAGAATCATCTTTGCTATAAATAACTCCAAGGACACTAGGTTTAATTTATTTTAATAAATCTGATGCTAAAGAAGAATCTCTAAAACAATTACATTAATCCAAACCAACTGCTTTACTGAGTCGACGTAAGACTTTTCTTAAAGTGGCATAAAAATAATTTTTGCATAACAAATCAGAACGGCCAGGCATTTACGAAGCAATTCTAGCCCAGCTATTACCATAAGATTGTTAAAGATTGAATAAGTTTTCTTCTTCTTCTTATGTCCAATTACTTTTATTCAAATCGGGATTAAGAATGTTTTAGTATCGTTCTCTACAAGCAGCAGAAGAACGAACTTTTAAGGGGTTTTTCCCTAAAGATTGAAGTTCACGTGCAATATGATTCCAAGATGTACAGCCATGAAGTTTAATAAGTTCTAATAATAGTTTGTCTTCCTAAAAGTATTGTAAGCTAAAATTTTACTTGATAGGACCAGCTCTATCTAGTTTCTGATTATTTAGATTACATTTTTGCAAAGTAACTAGGCAAGCTTATTTCAAAATAAGATATATAATTTATATAAAATGAAAATTTTGGTAATCATACTAAAATATTAAATATTAATATCATTCTTTAATGCTGGATTTATATTATTTGAAGTGGAACGAAAGTTAAGCTTTTGAAATAATATCATCTAAGTATCAATCATCTAAGCTTTCTGACTTTTGCATCTCTATATTACAATCTAAGATATAAAATGATAACTTAAAAAATTTAATAATCAAATAATTACATCTGTTATACCAAAAGTTGAATTAATTATAATTCTAATAAATTTTTGAAATTTCAACAAACAGTACTTTTTTTAGAATAATCTATCATTTGCTATTTCATCATGAAGTCATCAGAACTAATTGTTAATTCTTTATATTATTTCCCTTTTACAAACATAATCAAATTAATTTTATTTAAAATATGACTAATTAATTATTATTATTCCCAAAACAATAACAATATGATAATGAATGTAAAAACTTATTAACTTAATATTGTTTTTATACTTAATTAAAAGTTTTTTTGAAGATGTTTTTCTTTAATATAAGAAGGATCTGGAATTAAAAGTTGAATAAGATTGAAGAATAAAAATATCACAAGAATAGAAATTAGTATTTCTCTTATGAATTAGGTTTAGATTTTAAGTATTTAGAAAATCAAATATAAATTACAATTACTAACATGATTATTTTTAAGTAAAAATAATATAATTATATTCATTTTAATGGATAAAACACTAGTTCTATGAGATGAACCTTAATTCTACAAATTTCTACTTCTAAATATTAATTTAATTATTCAATTCTAGTAACAAAGTGTTCTTACTAGTAAATTATTTTCTAATCAAATTCATTACTTTCATTATGATTTGAAAATTAAGCAAAATTGTGTTTTATGGCATATTTAATAAAATCATTAGCCTAACAATATATTAGATCTTTTTCAGATAACACTTATTATTTAAATGTTTTCAAAAAGACATTAATTTGATATTATTTTAAGCTACTATTTTATGATTTGTAATTGCAATTATTATAGTTTCTATTCAGAATTTGGATCCTCTTTAAACAATTATGATACTTTCTCCTAAGCATCTTATTGATTCAAAATATTGAAATTAATCACTTAATTATTGTAATTTCATATAAGTACTAATATTAATTCAATAATATTTACTGTTCAATTAATTTAATCATCTATTATCCTAGACTAAAAATGATTGTTTCATCTGGAAATCCATAATCTGCATGATCTCTAACATCCTTTTTATCTTCATCAAATGTACTTTCCTAAATACTATCAATATTTACCAACCATGCCCAAAATATTTTTTAATGTCTATGCATTGAAGTTTCAAATTCTAAAAATTAAATTATCTCTTTTAAATTTATTGTAATTTCATTTAATTAATCTGGATCAGACAAACTAAGTAATTGACTATACCTTGTTTTATTGGGCTTCCTTTCTTTTTAATAAACATGAAAGTTATTTGAATTACTATCTAATTATTCTATTTAGATTTTCAAAACTCTGACTTAATTACCTTCGCTTATAAATTTAAGAGCAGAAATCTCACCCTCTTACTCTTTTGTCTTATATATTAATTTTATTTTTATATTAGACACTTTTTTTTCTATTAGTTTTTTAAATTTCTCAAAATTATCTGATTCAGCTAATATTTATCCAACAATTAATAGTAAATTTTTACTTGATGAATAATCCTCCATACATTTACATATATTTTTAAGAAATTTTATTTAATAAATTATAAATAATTATTTAGTATTTATGGAACCTCCAAATTGTAAATCTTTACTTTCATCTTAGAAATAACAAAATCTGTAATGGAAGGATTCGATAATCTTTTATTGACTTAAACCCAATTTATGCCATAGAAAAAGAAGGTATTTTTAGAAGATAATATAAAATACGGAAAAGAAATTGATAGAGATTATAATAAATTATAAGATATTCTTGATGTAAAAGTAATTGATTGAATAGGAAGAATTTATAAGGGAAAATTGATAAGATTATAAAATCATAAGAAGATGATTTTATGATTGCATATAGAGAATAAATGACAGATATATAAAAAGAATTGAAGAACATGAAGAGAAAAATTGATGAAGAAGCTTTGAGATAAAAGGCAGATGAGAAAAAGAGAATTCTAGAAGAAGAAAGAGATTATTTTAAAGAAGAAGCCTTAAGATTAGATAAATTATGTTAGGAATAATTGAGAACTATTGAAGAAATAAAATTTAAATTAAAAATAACATTAGAAGAAAAGTAATATTATGAAGGTTTTGTTATTGGTATAATATATATAAATATAATTATTTAGATTCTAAAAAAGAAAATAAAGCATTAAAATATGAATTATTATATTTGTATAAATAAAAAAGTGAGGAATAAAAATTAGGTACAAGAATAGGTTAAATTGGAGATGTTGGTGAAAGAAATAATATGAAGAAGATACTTGAAATAAGACCTGATATTAGACCAATGACTTAGGATGGAACTTATGCAAATTCAACAAAAGATGAAATTGGTGAAGGTTCAAAAAGAGGTTTTTCATCAGTCAAGAAAACATTGAAGACATAATTATCAAGTAAATTTTAGGATTAAGGTTCTTCATTACATGATTTATATAAAAGAGAATTATCATCTTAATAGTAAAGTAGATAAAATTAAGATATGCAATAAGTATTAATTATATAATATTAGATTGAAGAAATCTCTAAAAGTAATGTAATATAAGATTTAAAATAACAATTATAAAAAGAAAAATAATTAACTTAATAATTAAAAGTAGAACTTTCATAATAGAATTGTTAAAGAGGAGAACTTGAATAAATTTTATTAGAATGTGTTGCTGAAACAAAAAAAGAAGTTCATTCTCGTTAATGCTTATAAAAATAAGTATTGAATCATAGATATTTGGATTTAATTCATTAAGAAGGTGGTATAAATTTTTCATAATTTACTCATACAGATAAAATGTATATTTGTATATATTTATGATTTAGTTCATTATTAAGAAAATATATAGGAAGTGAAGAATTTTTAGATTAATTATATTAAATCACTTTTAATAATTAATTATAAATATCTTCATCACTTAAATTAAATGAAAAATGGAAAATGGATGCAGAAGAAGCAACTAAAAAGTTCAATCATTTTAAAACCTTTAAATTTAAACACATAACAAGTTAACGTAATTTATTCAATATATATTATAGCTATTTTAAAAACATCCCTTGTTAAAAAAAATGAAAGAGAAATAGTATCAATATCTAATAATTTTACAGAAAAAACAAAAGGATTAATTGATAAAATAATTAAAAATTGAAATTTATATTATGTATTATTTTATTAATATGAAAAAGATTCAATTTTATTGGGTAACTAAATTGAAGTTAATAACTTCATTATGAATAACTTCCCAATTTCCTAATTTTAATTTACTATAATTTTATAAGTTTTTTTCAATTGGTTTATTTCTTTCTTCATTTAAATAAATAACTAAATCAAGTGTTTAATTTATTACTGGGGGAATAACTGCAGCTTATGTAGTAGTATCTATATTATATATAATCAAATTTATTACCTAAAAATAATGCAGGATTAGTATTCATCTCAATTAAATATACTTTTAAATTTGTATCAATCATAATATCACAACCCATTAATTCAAAAGTTCCAATTCTTTTTTCAAATTTATCAGCTGAACATCTAATTATATGAGCAAATATCTTTTTCATTTATAAATATAATGTTTCTATCTTCTCTTATGTAACATTCTTTTTATCTTTTAAATATTACTATAAATTTTAATTATAATTTACTTCAAATTATTACATAGACCAAATAGTTGATTCTTTAGACTGATTAAATGATGGATGTTTTTTTTAAATAGCTGCATTTGTTAAATGTTTATATCTATTTTTTTCATCATCCATATCTTCAACATTATATTTATCAACTGATAAACGTAAATAACCATGTTAAAATAATACAAATAACGGTCTAGTTGTGGCAATCAAAACATAACATCTAATATCAAACTTTCTGCCTTCTAAAAGTAAAGGATTTTCAATATATCTTTAAACAATACACTTTCTTAGATTTGCAGTAAATATTCCATTTTATAAAAATCCTTTTTAAGCTTTTATTTAATTTGAAATTTATTTTAATCTAAATCATATAAATTCTACTTTAAAAATTCCTATTTTAGTTTTTTAGCATTAGAACATAACTTGATACCTCGTCCACAATTAAAATACGTTGGTTTAATTATCCAAATAGCTGAATTATCTGTCTTTAGAAATTAATCTTCTTCAAGACTTAATTGTTCTGATGTCAAATCTATTCTGTATGTTTCAGGGAAAAAATGACTTGAATTAAATTACAATTCTTATTTAAGTATAGAATATCTATACATTTATTTGATCTTTCATATTCTTTCATAGTCTATATGATTAATTATTTTGATGTCAAAATCATATGATTAGGTAAATGATTGATTATTTATTATCCTTCCTTAAATAATTAAAATTATATTTCAGAATTGGTTTACACCCATTTTAAATAGAAATCATTATTTGTCTTACTTATATCTTAATCTAATTATTTCCAACCTCTAAATATTTATATTATAAATTATACTAAAGCTATGATAAATAATTTGCAATCAATTTTCCATTATTCCCTGGACCTACATAAAATTATCTCACACAAACTGTTTTTTTATTTAATGATTTCTTTTTAATATCCTCTGTTTAAGCTCTTATTTTCTTAGAACTTTAACTCTTTTTCAATTTACGACCTCTCTATGTTTATTACATATTTTGTGAAAATAAATAAAATTATAATAAAAATAGACTTTCATCATCCAATGCAATTAAAATGTGCAGAATATTTAAAAGAAGCTGTATTTATTTATACAAAAATAGGTTAACACAAATATAGAATAAATAAGATTTTCATTTATGTCTAAAGCTTGTAAACAGATTGCATAATTATTACCTTTTTAATCAATGTGGCATCTATTACTTAAATAAGAGAATCTCTTTTTTTATATGTTGATGCTTTAATCAATGTTTGGTTAAAATATCAAAATGCTCTTAGAACTAATAATTGAAAGGTTTGCACCAATTACATAGTTTTAAATATAGTTCTTAAATGCATGCACATTAGTATTTTCATAAGACACTTATATCTTATCAGATGTGATTAAAAGTCATCTTCCAAACATATATAAAGAGTGTATAACATAGCTACAATTCTTTATCAAACAAATACCTAAAAATGATTCTAAAGAAGGTTAGTCAGTTGCAGAATAAATAGCTTAAGCTTACAAAACTATTTTAGGAAATATCCATGATTATAAAGTTACCATTGAACTATATACAAGTCTCTAATAAATTGTACATAAATGGCCTTTAATACATGAAATAAATCCCTTAATTTTTCATGAAGTTGAGGAAATAATTGCAATGAGAACTCCAAGAAATGTGGAGATCTAATTTTTTGAAGAACCAACTGAATGTGATAGTCCTACTAAATCAAGTTCAATTAGAAAAGAAAATCAAATAGTAGTGGAATTATAGAGATGGCTCAGTAAAATGAATTATCCTATACCTGTTATTTCTAAAAGAATAGCTAGTAGTGTAATTAATTCATAAAATATGTTTAAACTAAAGGATAATATTGAGATAATGCTTTCATTTATCTATTGTCCTTTAAAATATGATCCTGCAAATTGTGTAAAATATTAAAACTATCTTAGTGGATGAAAATTGATTTCAATCATAAAATCAGTTTAAAAGATATACCAAATCTTAAGGATTGTTATTCTTTATAAGCCCCTGCTCATATTTATCATATAAGATCAATTAGATCATTATAGAGTTTAACTGATGAAGAGAATCATTAAATAATTGCTAAAGTTAACCCAGCTTATTTATAAATTGCTTGTATAACTATATATATATATTGATTTTTAGTTTCATATTTGGCTGAATGTATAAATGAAGATCATTTAAAAAATTGTAATTTCAATCATTTAACTTAATTATTGATATTTTATTTAGAAAAAGAATAAGACATTTCAATATACTTTTGTTTACATTATAATATTCCTTATGCTTTTTTCTACTATATTAATTATGATTAATCCTCTACATTTCTAATTAATCTCTTTTTATAAATTAATTCTTTGGGTCATAATGTTACAGAACATTAATAAAAATTGTATGATTAAGTATGGACATATTTTAAAGCTGCTAAATTGTTTGAAGATATTATTAATTTATTATTAAATCCAAAAAATAAATAAGATTTATTATTTAAATGTTCATAAAATTTTAGAAATAATAATATGTTAGAAAGTTTCACTTTACATCCAGATTTTCATTTAAAAGAAAAAGTGTATTAGTAAAATGAAAACAATTTTAATTTTACTATTGAAGAAAAGATTCATTTAAAATGGGATATAGATTAACTTAAGCCATTTGTTTAAAAGAAAACAATAAAATAATTATCATTTTTCAATAAAGTTTCAAATAAGATTTTACCACCATCTAATGAAAAACCAGCTTCAATGATGGATGTTATTAGAGTAGCTATTTAAAATGCTGAAATAATCAATGAACCTCATAAAAAAAGATAATCAAGAGCTACAAGAGAAAAATTAATAGTATTAAGAAGTGCTTCAGTAATGTTTGATTTAGATGAATAAGATTCTGTTAAAGATCCTTTTGTTCCTTATAATTATAATCCTAATCCTTTAGAATTAAGAGTTGAAACCAAGGAGAGTAATACTAAATATGATTAGAAATCAGTTTCATTTATAAAGGATAGTCATAAAAATATATAGAAAAAGCATTCAAGAAATTTATCATTTTAATTATATCCTTTATCTCTAAAGGATGTAACACTTGGTAAATGGGATCATGAATAAAAATAAGATTAATATTAAATAGAAAAGTATATAAAATTTAATAATTTATTAGTTTAATGAAGGATGAACCATTTTGTTATAATCTACTCTAGTTTTTATCAATAATAATATAATAATTAATCTTAGGAGATCATAAATTATTTTCTAAAACTCATTGTATGAATAATAGATAATAATTGTTGGGAATTATTTTACTGGATGAAAATTGTAAAGTCTTTGATAATTTAATGAAAGTAATATTTAATTATTATTTAAGATATATTTGTTTAAGATTAAATTAACTCCATATGTAAAAGAAAATAGTTCAATAATATGTGGATAATTAATCAATTTAATAATTAAAAAAAAACCAGAATACATGAATTTCTAAGATAATGCTTAAACTTATATTGATTATTTATGTAAAGTAATCATTAACTCAATATCATGGAAAACATCAACAACATAAATTATTGAATTGGATATAAGTAAAACCTTATTATGTGAAACACTTTATTTATTAATTGAATATGGAATGAGTAGAGGATAAACATAATTACTTAATAGAATAACTACTACAACTTGGAGTTGTTTAATTGAAATTTGTAAATAGTGTTTCCCTATTAGACCTAATTAAACATTTTAAGGGATATTTATAAAATTATTGAAATTAAATTTGGAATTTGGATCAGAATTTAATATACATACTATATTTATGAAATTAAATTTATTAAGTGTAATTAAATAATTGGCAGAATTAACATAATCAAATTCAGTGTAAAATAAGAAATTTAATTATTTAAATGAATTTATAAAGTCAATTTGCAATTTGATATCCAAATTTATTAATAAATAATCTTCAAAAGAATGTTTTAGAATTATATAAAATCTTGATTCATGGAATTAACTTAAATAATAATATAAAATTACATCTCATAATCATGCTAATAGTTTTTATAGTGTAGATTCAAGATTAATTAATAATTCAACTCCAGCAACAAGTTAGAGTTTTACAAAAATTAGAATTCGAAAATCTGCTCATTCTTAACTATCAAAAGATTGATTCATATATATGTATTTATAATTATATATAAGCATATGATTATAAAACTTCATTCAATTTATTTAAACATATTCTTAATCTAATCTTTAAGTTATTTCAATGTAAGTGTTTCATTAATAGAGAAATTTTTTTAATTTTATTGTTCTTCTAATTATGTTTATTTTGAAAGACTTAAGGCTCTTTTTTTAATTATACTATCTTTTTGTTTCATTTTATCATTAGTACCTTTTTGAGAACGTTTCTAACTTATACCTGACTTTTTCCCTTTATTATAATTTTATTGTTCATCTATTTCATTATCTTATTTTAAATAATCAATCTTTATATTATTTTCTTTTATATTCTCTTAAAGATTATTCTACTCATTGTCATTTTCTTAAATTAATTATTAATTTTGAGATGTTTAACTTTTAAAGGGTTATTATTATGAATTAATTTCTTTTTCAGAAATTACTTCATATGTAATTATCTAATCCTATTTTAATTCATTTAAAGATGAGACATGCTTATTATTTTCTTATTTAACATAATTTATATTAATACATTGTTCTTTTATTTTTTCTTCTGATTTTTTTTCTTCAGATCTTTCTTAACTTTCGCTTTTTTCTTGTATTATTGGTTATACTGCTTTTGTTGGTTTTTCATCTGCAGTTTCATACATTGTTTCAGATGATTATTCATCTTTGCGGTATTTTGCTTTTTCACCTCCATTTATGAATCTCACTTTTTAACTATATTTTTCTTGTTCTATTGTACTCATATTATTCCATTCTGTCATTAATGATTCAAATAATCTAGCTTTGTTTTCATATAATTCTTCAGGACTATATTCATGAATTTTGTAATCCATAAAATATAGAAGTTGAGTAGACTAAACTATTTATATTGAATTATTACTAATCTTATTGGATTAGGTTTCCCTATTTCATTATTCATGATAACAAAATAAAAATAATAAAATTCTTTGAATTTAAATAATACTATCAAATATTAAAATATTATAACATACAAAACATAAAAATTTCATTATCAAATAAAATCATAAATTAACAAAATAATGACCAATTAAAATTCAGAATGAATAAATAAATAAAATAACAGACTCTATATTATCATTTGATTATTATTATATAAATTTGTGATAATAATGATAAATTTTTGAGTTAATATTCTTTTCTTATTTTAAATTAAATAAATAAATATATATTTCAATTTATAAACTTTAAATTTTGAAATCATAAACCAATATATATTTTCTATATCTTATTATATTTCAAGACAAATATATAACTAAAGTAATTTTAACAGAATTTATTTTACTATTGTATATTATATGAAATGTCTTATTTTAGTAAGAATTAAAATTCTTTTTTTTAGTATAATTTTGAATGAACATCAAACTACTGATACCATTTAATTATTTTTACAATTCTAATTCTACTTCATTGATGACTTTATGATTATATTATAGTAATGTGGTAAATATTATGTTTTGGATGTTTATTTTTAGAAAACAAGGAGTAATTGTAAGAATTGGTTTAAGAAATTCATAAAAAATATTAGTAAATGGAAAAATAAAAAAGTCTAATAGATGTAAAAAATTAATAGTATCGTTAGCTTACTTTTGAATATGGATAGAGTTACGAGGACAAAGTAAGAAGGAAGTAGTGGTTATATGAGTATATGACAGGATGTTTAAAGGAAGTAATAAATTTGAATGATTGATTAGAAAATTCTAGAGTTATTGAATACTATGTTTGGGGACTATATTAATGATCTGTTTCTTATTGTTAGTTTCATTCTAATTTTAGTGGGAATAGTTTAAAATGACAACTAGGAAGATGTTATATCGTCGTAATTATTGAACAATTTACAAATAGACTCACTTTGTTTATAGTTTACTTATTGCCTTTTCTAATTGAAGCAGCGATTAGAACAATATAATTATTTTTAGAGTAAAAATAAAGTTGGCAATCTATTTTGTTACAAACAAGAATTACTTATACTAGATTAAAAGGTTTCAAAAGAGAAGACATGGTTTATAGTGATATATAAAATTACATAAGACAGGCTCGTTCATCATCCATTAGAAGTAGTTAACATCTTGATTCGTAATCAAATGTACCTGATGTTTTACCTGCATCAAATGTAGAAGATGTATTTTACAGCAATTTAAAAAGAGGAGACTTCATTCTCCTTAGTAGGAATTAATAATGTCCAGGAGACTTAGTCATATTGGACATGAGTGATAGACATGGATATTTTTATTCAAAAAGCTATTTTAAGTAGGCTTTTTTACAACGTAAGGAACCAATGAAGACTACAAAAGTTGAAATGAATGCACCAAATAAAGGTGATTTAAACTATTTAAGAAAGATTTTAAAAGGTAAACTAACATTCAATAATAATTACAATTTTGAATAATTTGAAGGTCATATAAAATTATCCAAAGATCCAAAAGGAGAACCTATTTTACCAGAAAATATTCTGTTTTTTGGATAAGCATTACAGTTCAGTGAATGGGTATTTGGAATCCTTATAAATGTTGGAGGACAATCTTTATATAGTAGAAATGTTTAATCAATAAAAAAATAATAGCATAATAGGAATAGATATAAAAATCTCAGTATATTATAATTATTCCTTTATATTATCATGCCTATTATTGCATCATTAATCTAATATTATGGATACTAATCAAATTAATCATTTAGTCAAATTATATTCAATTGTTATTAACAATTCTTAGCTGTTTTACCATCTTATTTAAATTTATTTTTACATTTATTTGATGTATTCTTAATTATCAATGAAAATCGATCACAATAATAATAATAATCGAAAGACTGTAAAGAATTGATATTAGAAACAAAATTAGCTTCCAAACAATAAAGCTTCAATTATCCAGTTAATATGAAAGAAATTATGAATACTACTCATGTATTTTTAAATATTCAGATATTATCTGATGCTAAAATTGAAGCTTTATGTCATGGAGATAATATTTATCAAATTGATCAAACTCTAATTCCAGATTTAGTATTATCTTAATCATTTAAAAAAACATAATTTTATTACAATCTAATTAAATAAGTTAATGATGAAAATATTGAAATATTATAAGAGAAGATTGATACTATAAGTCCTAATGTACCACCTCAAAAATTAAGTATAACTTCTCATTAATAATATAATCCTATCCTTAATAAAGAAGTTGGATAAAATAAAAGACCTTTTTTTAAATAGAATACATAAACACTACATTCTCCAATGATCAATAATCCAAATAGTGCTAGACCCTCATTAGAAATCTATCACAGTATGGATGGAGGATTCTTAGCTGGAAATCTTCTTAATTAATAATAACATAGTTAAGTTAGTCAGGAACCAGAAGAAGAACAAGTTAAATAGATCTAAATTTACAGAGAAAACACACTTGTTGAATTAGGATTAAGTTAACCTTTTTAATATTTTGAATTATTTTCTGTTATTTCTTTATGTCATCTAACTAGAAGTGAATTAATGAGTACTGGAGAAGAGAATAGATCATCATAGAAAAATTCAAAATTAGCATTTTCAGAAAGGGAAAGAATTAAAAAACCTAAATTCAATATTGATTAATACTTTCTAGCTGAGGATGAAGCCTTATTAAAATTAAGCAAATTATTTAAAATTTCGTATAAAACTTATGGGTTTAATAGACAAGAGTAACTTTGTTATGTATTGAAAATTAATGACTTAGAAATTCCTTATATAATTCATTATCGATTATATCATCAAGGATTTATTGATTATGATGAAACTAAAAATAATAAAATGTTTAAGATTCCTTCAAGATTTATAGCTATGATGATTTAGGATAACAATTTTTAACTTAAGGAATCAAATCAATTAGTATTATTGTGTAGATTTTGTATTGTAACTATTTCAGATATTCCTGGATATGAGAAATTTGATTTAGTTAAGAAAGCATCATTATAGAAATAAATTCAATATTTAATTAATAGAGGAGATATAATTATTTGTTTTTTGAAGATGTCAATTAAAGAATAAGATCTCTAGAAAGCAAAGAGTTTAATTATTAATGATTATGAGAAAACTATTTAATTGATAGAATTATTATCTGAAAATTAGTATGATATAATTGGTCTTTTTGGAATTAGTTAAAATGATAATTAGGATTTAATTAAGGAATCATTTATTACTAACAGATCTAGAATAATTATTCAATCAGAAAAACCATATGAATTAGTTTTACCATTTTGTATTAAGAATAGTGTATTACATAATGAAACAATTACTTACAATTTCTAGTCTTCATCAAGAGATGATATACTTTATTAAATTAGATAAATTATAAGTAGTCTTAATCAAGAAGATCCTAAGAAAAGTTCTACTTTATCCAATCGTAGAAATGCTTAAATTTAAAATGATAAAATAAAAATCAATAATAATGCTTTAATTATAGATGGTAATGTATTAGATTTAATCTTAAATGATAAATATTTAACAAATCATTTTGGATTTATTATTCATTTTAATAAAATTATTATTGTTTATAATATGAATAATAATTTAAAGTAGAGATTATTGAATTTTGTAACTAGATATGATAGTGAATATTATTCATCTTTTTGTGTTAATTATAGTGCAGGATCACATGGATTAGTAAGGATGAGTAATTTTTCTTATTAAAGACATGAAGAGATTGAATCAGATGTTATGGGTTTTATTAATTAATATTCAATAAATATAGATGAATTAGAATTATTTGATAATTTAGTAATTAAAACTGGATTTCAATTATTTTAAATTAAAGATGCAACTTAACGTATATGTATTTAATGGAATTTATGTTTTGCTTTATTGTAAATGATATTCTATTGTTTTCCACATTATAATGGTTAATTATTATTTAAAGATAGATTATTAATATTATAAATATTAGTACCTGCAATATTATTAATATATTCAATAAAGACCATATATGTAGAATAAGAATATTTGAGTGTGAAGATAAATACAATAAAGTAGAAATCATTAGATTTAAAAAATAATCATATTATAGAATTGTTATTAGAAACAATAATGGATGTAATTCTACTAACAATAGTTAGATATACTTGTTATATGAATAATATACAGATAGGAGTTTATAATACAAAAGAAGAGATTGCTATATATTTTAGTTTTATATTAATAATTCATGTTTTAAAATTGGCCTTTTTATCAAAGGAACTTTATTTGAAATTATTTTTATTTTTGAGTACTTTATTACTGATACTTTTACATATAACAATAGAAATGATAAGTTTGGATTATGTTATATTAAAAGTATTATTGATATAACCTACTACTATAATGTCTCTTTTGATTTTATTAGCAATAAAAATAGTAATGAATTTATTTGGACAATTTAGTATTTATTTATATAATAATTTTTTGGAGAGATCTTAATAAGATATTGATTTTAATTTGATTTTAGAAATCATAACAAAAGAATTATAGAGTTTAAAGAATATTTAATATTTAATAAAGAAGTTATTTAAAGATTCAGATATTGATTTATCTGTAAAGTAAATTTTAGGTGAAAATAAGAATTAATTAATTTAATTAAATAATTATACATTGAATTTTGAATAATAGGTTTATAATTAAGAATTCATTTAAATGTATATATCAAAATGGAAATTTATAGGAATAATAACTAATTTAAGTTATTTTTTTGGTTTAGATATATTTTTATTGATACATTATGGATTAAGATTTGAATAGATTAATACAGCATTATTCTCAATAATGTTATTTTTGACTTTTTGTTAAGTATTTCTTATAAATTAATCTTGTTATCCTAATTACAAAAAGTTAATAATATATTTTGGATTCTTGTAAACTATATATAGATTATTCATAATAAGTGTAGATGTATTTGATTA